TCAGTCTCTTCAGACTTGTAAAATACCACTGACATGACAAAAAACAATATTTGTGCTGTTTTTAAAACAGGGTGATCCATCCTGAGAACTATTCGTCCAATGTCCTTGTTGTGTTGTGTGGAGAAGGTTTTTGAACGAATTATATTTAAGTTTTTGTTCAATTTTCTTGAAGATAACAACTTCTTTCTTCTGTATAATCAGACCAGCTGAATCAAAGGTAAACCAGTAAACAGTCTTGTACAACACATTCTGTATAGCTTTATTTGACGGACTAGAAATTACAGCTGTACTCTTTGATATAAGTAAAGCTTTTTGATAAAGTTGAACACGAAGATCTTCTCTTTAAGCTGAAAGCTGCTTGGGGTAATTCGGTCGTCAGCAGTCACAAACATCTTGACCTCAACCTTTCGTGGCATTGTCACATTAACTGAATTACGAACAGTTGCTTCCTATACATCTGACTTATTCACATTTAAGTTATTTCTTCTTTTCTATATTTCTGAAAGTTTCTCCCTCATTATATCTCTTTCTCTCTTTATCTAATTTATTTCCCTTTAATTCTATTTAACAGAATGATAGGTTCTTGTATTATCGATTCTTCTTTACTTTGTTTATATTTTTGCTCCAGATTAGAAACAATTTTGATTTTAATTACTTAAAAATAAGGATGTAAGACCAGTTATATTTCAAGCAAGTCACATATGCTGTCATACAGTATTTTATTCATTGTAAATCTGTAAAAAGGCCTTTATAAGTTCAACTTTCGGACCCAATCCTTCTTTTAAAAAACAATTTATGTCGGTATTGTGTACTTTAATTATTGGTATAATTTCAAGGGGCAGGACGTGAAGTGGTTGCACACTTGGCTCAAGCGAAAAAATAGTTGTAAATTTGACAAAATGGTTATCGAGTAATGGATATTTACAACACCGGCACATATTTTCTACAGGAAAGTGGGTTTGTATGCTATTTTGAAAATTATTAATATGTCTATTCCTTAAGACAATGTTTTTGACATTCTCGGTTTTGGGTCTCAGCTTCCTAACAAAGGTTTTATACTAAAAAGTATATTGCTCAAGCACATTTTGGTTGCAAACTTGTACTTCAAGCATTTCCGGTTGCAAACTTATTCTTACTTTTTAGTCAAATATAAAACTGCTATTTAAAGGATTCAACGAAGATCATATTTATTAGTCACAGATTTTTCCTTGACAATTTTATACCATTGTGTTATTTCACTTGCTTTTAAAATGTTTTATACGGCTTTAAAATTTTAGTGGTTTCTGTACTGTTCAAATCTTATCATTTACAGTTGAGTTCACACTAAAGGTTACACAAAGTGCACTAGGAGTGCACTAGATGTGCACTTCTAGTGCACTTCAAAGTGCACTAGTAGTGCACTACTAGTGCACTTCATAAGTACACTTTGTAGTGCACCAGACCTATTATATGTATTAAGCAGTTACCATTTTTTCAATGAATAGCAATTTGACTTTTACAAAAAGATAGATAAATATAGATATCTGTATAACTGTTTTTCATAATAAATTTGAAGTTGTGAATATTGAATGTTGTAAAATATGGCGTAAAATATTAGAACAATATTTTTTCAAAGTCATAAATTTTATTGATTTTTAAACTTAATTGTTAGAATAAGTAAATATAAATAATTATAACTTTAATGTTGATAAGTGCATAAATAAACAAAATCAATGGATATTTAATATGAATCTATTTTATTATAATCTGGTAATGAAATATGAAACATTGAAAAGCTAATTAAACAAAATTCGGGTGGGGGATGGGAGGGGGGGGGGGCAAATTATACCAATTAGATATTTTTGATCCTAACTTATGGTTGTTTTAGTTAAAGGTAATGATTTTAAGCATTAATAGCCTTTAATACATTAAAGATTTAATATGTTTTTAATTGGCCTAAATTTTGTCAATTTTATCTCTCTCATTTATTATCTCTCTTACCTTCTGAAACTAAGATTTACCTAAGATTAATATAAATGATATATATTATTCTAAAAATAAATATTTATATATAATGGTGGTTTTTTAAGTAATGATATGTGTGGATTAAGTATTGATACGTACCTGTGGGACACTAGTATACTTTAACTGACATGGATATTTACAAAAAGATTAGAAAATCTTTCAATTCCATTTTTTTGAGACGACACCAATCTTTATTCTTTTTTTATGCATTGTAACATAATTATGCAATATGATTATTTTCATGAGTTTATTATAAAATGCAAAAATATTTCAGTTTTCTTTTTTGTACTACTTGTAATGAAATTTATTTGCAGGAATACAAAATTAACATTGCCTACTTATATTTATCATCTGCCTTCTGTTATTTACCCTGAGGGGCTCTCTTATCAGCAGGGTACTATAATAAAACACCAATACACAGCATAACTTTTGACACTTCCATCTTCTGTAACTGTATGGTATTTTATTTTAAAAAAACAACAACAAAAAACATCTGCATTAAAGTGAAAAGAAAGTTGCAAAAGTGTTATAATCATGTATTTAAATATTTTCTTTAAAATATATTATCTTCCAATTGTGTTAAAACTGACAAGGTAAATTTGTCAAATCTATAATAGAAAAACATTAACATTTCCCAGTTCAGAAACTAAAAGATGATTTAAATGCAGAATTGCAAGAAATATGGATAAATATTGATATGAGTTCTTTCCAGAATAAACACTGATATTGATTTAAACCAGTTTTTTATGATAAGATTAGAAAATTCCACTTCAAAGACAATAATGACAATAATATCTAACATGCGTTTATGCCATTATTTTTATATTTTTACATTTGATTATAGTCCTTTATCTTAGATGTCTTGCATGTATTTTGAAAAAAAAAACAACAGGAAATTTTAAATAAATATTGCATACATCTGCATTTTTGTTATTTACCCTGAGGCCCTCTTATCAGCAGGAGACCAGTATAATGAAAACAGGCACTCTCAGAAAAATACCAATACACAGCATGACTTGAGGCTGTCCTCTTGTATAAAAGCATTCCCTTTATACATTAAATTTTTAATATAGAAATCTTAAATAAAGTTATCAATTTCATTTATTTCATGGACAGATATAATATTATAAACTTATATTTATCTGCATGATTTCATGGAAAAAATTTAATTATTTATATCGCAAGCATTAATTTTTATGGTTGAAAAACATAATATCACAGTGTATGGATTGTTTTAAAATCAATGAATTTAAATATTCTGTTTCAAACTTGAACATGAGGAATTGCCTCTTAAGTTATATATTATTATGCAGAGTGGCAAGAAATGTGGATAAATGGATAAATATACAAAATTCCGCTTTAGAGACAATAATATCTAATATGCATTTATGCCATTATGATTTTTTTTTGTATATTTGATTATACAAAAATTATGGTCATTTATCTATATGACTAACTAGCCTGAGTGCCAATGCCTGATGAATCCCAGGCTTATGTCTAACATGCATTTTGAGAAAACCAGGGAATTTCAATGTATACTTAAAATCCTATATCCGTAAAATTGACGGTTCTTTGTTATTTACCCTGAGGCCCTCTTATCATCAGGAGATTGGTATAATGAAAACAGTCCATCTCAGTAAAATACCAATACACAGAATGACTTGAGATTTTCCTCTTCAATAAAAGCATTCCCTTCATACATTAAGTTTTTAATATTTAAATCATGAATAAAGTTATCAAATTTATTAATCTAATGGATAATATTTTAATTATTTATATCTTTAAAACATATGCAAGCATTACACAGTTGAATACTAAATTATCACAGTATATTGATTGTTTTAAAATATATTAATATTCTCTTTCAATATTGAACATGAGGAATTGTCTCTAAATTATATATTATAGAAATAATATTTAGCTTAAATTTAAACCTTTCCTTGATTTGTTTGAGCTCATGAAAAACAAAAACAGTTTATGTTGTTACAAACTAAATTAATTGGGCCAGAATTATCACATTGATTTTCCCATTTGTATACTAGAAAAATTGAAATACATGGCCATTTAAAATAGCTTTAAAAAAAAACACTTTTACGAAATTATCCATTATGAAGCATATCTAAATTTAACCTTATTAATTCTATAAATTTGATTTTAAGGGGTATTATTATACACTTACAATTAAATACTGGTTAATAAAAATATGATTTTTATTTATATTCATGAATAGGCAATATATTCCCAAAGTTTTTTTTTCTTACAGCAGCTTAACAATAGATGCCCCCTGTCACTTGATATACAATTATCCAATAAACCATCCAATAAACCATTTAGGTGTCACCTTCCCTAGCCAGCCTGGTCATATGGTCTAGTGCACTAGAAGTGCACACGGTGTGCACTTCTAGTTCAGCTCTAGTGCACTAGAAGTGCACAAGGGTGGGAAGTTTAGTGTGAACTCAACTGTATTTGCACGACTACTCTATGTTCCGGCTTTTGTGCCCTCTCTTGCTTTTTGTTGGGTACCCTACTGAGTGCCTTTGCGGAAGTCCAGTGTGGGGACTGCATTCTCTGAATGTTACTTAGCATTGCATGTTGATCCTTGTTGTATTTTCTTGTTGCATATCCATAATAAACGTGCGTAGTTCTTTTAATTGCACGTTTCTCAGTCCATTAATGAAAAAGCCAGGGGTGTGGTAAACTGGAAATATGTTTTTTTGCCAATTGCCCACGGACAACAAATGGAGCAGAAATTATTACTCGTCCATGTTAAAGAAGTCAACATTTAACATGCAGATTTTTTTTTTTTCCCAGGGAGGAACCCGATCCAGTTTTAATGGCGAATCATATTATTACATTAGTACACATATAAATACTTTTTTAAATCAAGGTCCGCCTAGTCTCGAGTGACGGTCCGCCCTGTCCCAAAATATGGTCCGCCTAGTCTCGAGTCACGGTCCGCCCTGGTACGGTCCGCCCTGTCTCACGGTCCGCCCTGTCCTGCAGACATAAGAAAGTCCTTGATCAAGGGACATTACTCTTATGTTACGATGAAAAATGCTGAAAATACTGAAAATGAGAAAAATTCTATTGAAAAACAGAATGAAATGGTTTCAAGTAAAGGCAGTGACGTAGATATCGACCACGTTCTTTTAAAACAAAGGTTTGTATTTGATTGACAAAATAAGTTATGTGGAAATATAAAATATGTCTGTTTTAACTTCCTGTTGATTTTTTTTGGAGTAAATTAGATCTATGTCTTTAACTGTTTAACCCATTACGCGATATACACGCCTTTTAACGCCTTTTTCACCCCCCCCCCCCTTTTGTCGTCTCAAATGGTGAAAAAATGCCTTATTTAGGCCCCCAACACTTGTTTTTGTTTCAGAAATGTTGTTAAAAAAAGTGACCACTTTTTCGGCGCGGTCCCCCAACCAAAAGATACATCAGGGGGTTGCAAGGATTTCGAGACGTTTCGGCCCTTTACCAAATCGAACCCAGAAAAAGTTCTGTGTTTGAAACCGGTATATTAAAATTTCATAGTTATAATAATCATAAATGACATTTTTCATGAAGTGGAACTCCAATTTCCAAGTACCTTGAAAGATTTACGATACCTCTTATATATTTTACGTAAAAGATTAAATCTGTACCAAAACCGATCAACGATTAGAGTGGGTGGACCAACGCTCAGCGTAAAAATACTATATTTGATATGGTAAATTCAAATCAACGTCAACAAACCTCAATGTTATATGCCCATTTTCAAGACCGATGATATTGTTTTAAATAGCCATTGTGTAAAATTCGCTAATTACATAATGATGTACATGGCTGGAGCTATAGATATTCCGGATAAACAAGAGTGGTTTGTGTGAAATTGTACCATAGCTCGGCGTACAATACTACATGATGCACGATTGTTTTTCGAATAAAATCTCTTTTTTTATCTTTTGAAGAAAACATATTGAATAAATTGTAACAACCAAATTAGGTTCAAACATTTACAAGTACCCAACTTTTAGTTTAAATTTTACAGCCCCAGAACTCTAGTGTTAAAAGATTTTAATAATTTATATGTTGCAGATTACATACGGTTGTTCGTCTGCTATTAGCATTGTCACGTGACTTTACCAACAGTGAACCACACTAGGATAAAATGGTGAAAGATGTAAATAAAAGCACCAGTGATCTAAATCGAAGATAACTCGAGACATTTTCAAATATTCTAAAAAAAATATGTTTTACGCCGAGCATTGGTATGTGCCGAGCATTGGTCCAACCACTCTAGATACTTGTTGCATTTAATGTTAACTTCAATGTTTATAAATATCTCACAATAAATAGCTACTCGTAATTATTTCCTTGATATTGAAAAATCTAACACATTTAATTATCAGGTAAGGAAAGTTAATTAGTTGTTCATGCACGTGAAAATCGAAACATTCGGTCATGTAATTTTACAATGAGCCATAATATCTATAATTCTTTTGTCACTGTCAACATTGTTTGATTAAACTAATTAATAAATATATATCAGGTACAAAGCATTTATAATTTGGTTTCAGTCTTTCAATCACTTTTATAACATCTAGCATCTATCATTATCTAATAACAATAATAATTCAAAATATTATCAGGAGATAATAGCAAACCGTTTTTTCAAAAAATCTTTTGAAGTTTTCTCTGATATTACTTACATAAAGCTATAAACAATTAATTAGTTACACCTTGAAAAAATACGTAGGCCTATATAGTTTAAATTAAGATAAAAAAATAATGTTTTCTAAGGAATAATTGTAATTAACTTTCTTAATCAAGAAGTTTTAGTGGTTTGTTTTATAAATTAAGGATTAACCTGCCTTTATTGTTTGTTACACCTTTAAAAACATTAACGTATATCTAAATGGTTCAAGAGATCAAAAGATAATAAATTATTATTTAAAGAATTAAAGTTTCATAATTGTAATTATATTAATTGTTGTTAATTAATGTAATTAATTGTCTGTACTGTAGAGTAGGGCCGAAACGTCTTGCGGAAAAGGGCCGAAACGTTCAGGGGGCCGATTTTTCCACTGGGGCCATTGGTTTGGGGCCGAAATGTCCTGTTAAAGAAAATTTTGGACTTGTGAGAGGCTATAAATGACCCGCAGATTGATCATAAGGTAACATGTAACCAACGCTGAAAAGCATTTGACTCTATCTCAATCCATTGAGAAGTTGCAGCACTTTGAAATCAGTTTTGATGAAAAAAATCAACGCAAAATAGTGATTTTTGGCAATTTTGAGATGTCCCCTCATTGCCATGGTAACAGAAAATTTAAGCTGAGCATGTTGTTACAAGGGCAATGGTCCAGTCAACATTTGTGCCAAGTTTGATTAGTGTTGAAGCAGTTTTTATAGTATTATAGCAATTTGAACTTGTAACGGGAGACTTTTCAATGAAAACAGCCATTTTTCACAAAGTGCTGACATAAAGCAATGGGTTAACAGTGTTTAAGAATAAATTTGTTAGAAATCATGCGTAATCATGGACAGTAACTTGCACTTAAAATTACCATCAATGAACAGGCTCAATCAAACATTTTCATTTTGTCGTTTTGGGCGTTCTTTAGGTATTCTGTTTTTCTCTATTTAACAGTTTAATACACCCATAAACAGTTTTGATATGAACTACGTAAATAACCGAAGTATATCGAGTGAGATAATATGAGTTGTTTCCTAATCTATGAGTAAAGTCGATATTTCAATTCTAACGCTAAAACAATACAAATCAAGCCGTTTTTAAGTCGCTAGTTTGTTGTGATGTATTGTCAGATTTTAAAATTCATTACACCAATGAAAAGCTTTGGATCTTAGCTTTGTCAAAGTATATACTTCAACACCTCTTTTGACACCAAATTAACTGTTAAACCTACCATATGTCAGACCATTTTACATACAATTTATTCAGTGTGAAACGAAACTGGTTATCTTTACTCGCAAAACTTCTGATAAGAATAGACTGTCGTCTGCTAGGTCAAAAACTGTTTATCATTGTATTAGGTGGTGGTGGTCACAGTGCATGGAGTTGTTAGTTTTCACTCTGGATCACCGCATTAAGCCACATTACCAGAACACAATTCAGCAACGGCATCATTCCTGGGCAGGCTGCCAAGCAGTTTACCAGTTTTGGTTGCCTTCAATTAGAAAGGAACTGAAACTTCTGTACATGCCAGAGCTGAGGTATAGTGCGAATGACTGTAGAAAAGATTTTATGATTAATCACAAGGAAAGTGATCTGAACTGTCTGGGAATTGAACCAGGGTCGCCTGATTCACAGACTACTGTCCAATGCTCTACCTACTGAGCTAAATGGACGGTTGACTTCAGTGTATATGCAAGATCAATTTTTGTTTTTGATACCAACAATTCTGGACAGATAACTCTTGGTTTTCATTAGACATTTCTTTGGTTATTTACTACAAATTACCTAGTTGATATCTAGGCACTGTTTATGGGTGTATTATTAAGGGCCCTGCAATCTGATTGCTCCTGCATGAATGTCAGATGAGTCACACCAAAGACATTTGACACTGAAGACATTTCACTCCCAAGACATTTACCACTGAAAACATTTCAGGCTAAAGATGTTTCAATACCAAGACATTTCACACTTGTCAAAGACATTTCACTCCCAACACTTTTCACATTGAAGATATTTCACACTAAAGATAATTCACACCCAAGACATTTAAGTCAGAAGACATTTCTCTTGCAAGACATTTTACATGTAAGACATTTCACACCGAATACATTTCACTTTAAAGACTTTTCACCTATTCAAAGCCATTTTACAGTCTGAAGATGTTTCACTCCCAAGAAGTCTCACACCCAATACATTTATTTCACACTTAAGCACAATATTTATTTCACTTTTGACATGTGAACCTAGACATTTCACTCCCAATTTGACAATTCATTTTCACTCCCAAATATTTGTCTTTGAAAATTTAAAAAAGAAAATTTAATTTTTGATATAATACTGAATAAAATGATAATATTTAAGTTTAAGAATTTTACAGTACACCATCCACTGATTGATTAAAAGACTAATTATATTGGATGAAATTCAGTGAAAGAATAAAACACACAAAAAAACCAGTCAAAATGTATATATGATTGAAATACTGAAATCGCAATACAATGTACATGAAAAATAAATTCCAATTTGTACACATTTAAAATGCAACTTAAAGGGAAATTTCATTGAGTCAACTTTTGAATAAGCTAAAGCTAATAAGAACTTATATGACAATAATGTTTTGGTAGGTTTGTTGATAAGTCTAAAGTCTTGGAAATGAATGATCTGTCACTAGTGTCTCCTGCATGACAGGGCCTTTAAATATTTGGGTTGTGTTATTTCAAAAGTCAAATAGTCCTTACTACTGACAAGGGCAAGGGGTAGGGGATGTTGTTTTCCCATTACCTGATGTATTATTTGAGCCGTGTCACGACAAAACCAACATAATGGGTTTGCGACCAGCATGGATCCAGACCAGCCTGCGCAGTCTGATCAGGATCCATGCTGTTCGCTTACCAACCCTTTTACAAGTCGAGAAACTGATAGCGAACAGCATGGATCCTGATCAGACTGCGCGGATGCTCAGGCTGGTTTGGATCCATGCTGGTCGCAAACCCATTATGTTGGTTTTGTCATGACGCGGCTCATTTGTTGTTTATGTTACTCATTTAGGCTTTTGGCTTTTGATAAATTTTGTCTGAAGAAAATATAACAAAATCGATGATGAGTACATATAAATATGTAGAGACATCATAGATTTATTAATATCTTGGCAAATCTTTTCTTGCGATATTTTTCAGATTTTCTCGTAATGAGCTGGTACTGCGGTTTTTATCGTTATTGTGTCTGTGTTTTATGTTTGGCCTGTTTCTAATACAGCTGGATATTATGTGGAGATCCCGAGAGGTCTGTATGTTGTCACAAGACGTTACAGTTATCACAAAAACATCGGCCAGACTATTGGCCTTTTCTCAGTTGACAAAACTGTTTAAAAATTTGTATATATTCATAAAAATTTCAAAGATATTATATAACTTCAGTTTTATGCCTCATATTACATGTAAGCTAAAACATGTTCTACAAATACTGTGAATTCACTTTTGTCACATGAGACATTTTTGTGGGTTGTTATATAGATTAGTGGTATGTCACTTTGTGCAAGTAATGTAATGCAAAATAATCTTAGAGCAGATGAAATTGAATTTCATTAAATCTTAAATTTTTGGATTGAGCTGTGCATGGAAACCATGAAAATTAGTGCCCCACAAATAATAATGATTTTGCAATACTACTCGTAGTTTGTGGAAACCATATGTAGTTTATTTTGTTGAAGATTTAACACACAAACTTTGTTTCTTTTTCAGTCAATATTAATGGAGATGTTGCTAAGAGACACTCAGCAGTTATATTTCCGGTACCCAGATTTTTATGACATTGCTCATAATGAGGACACTTGGTGCTGGGACCCAGATACTTTACTACTTAAAGTGAATACATCGTTCTTCGTTCACTGATACATGCCGGGTACCTGTACCCATTGATTTAGTCATATGTTTACAAAGCTAGTTGTGTTTGGTTCTGTCATCAGTATTCATGTATGGTTCTAGAGTGTCCATATGCTAGTTTATATTCCATGAAGGATTTAATATATTCACCGCACAGAGGAAGCATATCAGGAATTTTTGGTGGTCAAGAAAATCTGGAAAAAGGATCACTTTTATACCTCAACAGTGCAAATGTGACAAAAGGAATCGAGACAAAAGAAAGTAAATGTTCAGACATGGGAAGATTTACCTCCCTTGGACTGATGCGGAGGAGTCTATGCAGGATATTTACCACTTTTTCTTTAGTCCTTAATTAAATTTTACAGGTCTCCATTGAAACTAGGAAAGTTTAGATTTACCTGAGAGGAACGGATACTAGTATTAGAAATATAATTTAGAGTTAGTTAAAGATAGTTGTATAATAGCTATATAGAAAATTAAGTTAATTACAAAGTATGAATTACTTTTACTAAGTTGCGTTAATTCTTGAAAGTCTGGTAAATTATTTAAATTATCGTTAAAAAGTTGAAGAAGAAGATTGAGTTAGTTATTGAAAGTTGAGTTAATTTAAGAAAGTTGAGTTAATTTTAGATACAAAGATGGATTTGTGACCAAACAAATTATTTGTTCAAAAAACAAGATTATTACAATCATGCACTTTAATCTTTTCAATCAAAATATTCGATATCATAACAAAAGTTTTGTAAGATTTGTGGTCACGCTACTTTTGATTTATCTTTGATTTGCAGGCTCTACTTTTCTTAGTCATTTATATTGGAAAATGCCACAAACATTCCAACTACATGTATTCTTGCTCTTGAAAACAAGTTTTTGCCATTAATTTCTTCGATAACAAGTTGTCAAAAAGACATTGCATTAACGAAAAGGTTATTTCAAATAGTCTGAATTTCTATAATGTTTTATTTAAAGGTTTCTGAAGTTATGTACCTGCAGTGTAAATGATTTCATGTTAAAAGTTTAGATGTTCTTAATATATAGAGGTTTGATGCCGGCATCAAATATATGAAGGCGACCTGTATAATACATGTATAATTATGTTTGTTTGTGGACGTATTTTTGCTAGTCATTGGGTCAGTGTGTCTACATTATCAATAACATATTTGTAGATGTTGTGATTTATTGTGTCGCCTCTACGGAGTAGTGGCGACATATAGGGATCACTTCTCCGTCGTCTGTCTGTCCATCTGTCTGTCCGTCCGTCCGTACGTCACAAAACTTGTCCGGACTACTCCTCATAAACTACTGGTGCAATTTCATCCAAACTTTACAGGAATGATCAGTACCAAGTCTAGTTGTGCATATTGTCAGCATTTCCGGTTCAATGATTTTTGTCAGAGTTATGGCCCTTTAATAATTTTTAATTTTAAAGTTTGTCCGGACTACTTCTCTTATACCACTAATGCAATTTCAATGAAACTTTACAGGATTGATCTGTAGCTCAAGTCCTTGCGCATATTGCACGGGTTTTCCGGTTGAATGATTTTTGGCCGAGTTATGGCCCTTTGATAAAAAGGTTTCTTTTTCTGTGTGTTGCCAGATACACAAAAGCTTGTCCGGACTACTCCTCATAAACTACAGGTGCAATTTCATCCAAACTTTACAGGAATGATCAGTACCAAGTCTAGTTGTGCATATTGTCAGCATTTTCCGGTTCAATGATTTTTGTTTGAGTTATGGCCCTTTAATAATTTTTATTTTTAAAGTTTGTCCGGACTACTTCTCTTATACCACTAATGCAATTTCAATGAAACTTTACAGGATTGATCTGTAGCTCAAGTCCTTGCGCATATTGCACGGGTTTTCCGGTTGAATGATTTTTGGTTGAGTTATGGCCCTTTGATAAAAAGGTGTTTTTTTTCTGTGTGTTGCCAGATACGCAAAAGCTTGTCCGGACTACTCCTCAAAAACTACTGGTGCAATTTTATCCAAACTTTACAGGAATGATCAGTACCAAGTCTAGTTGTGCACTGTCCGTCTGTCTGTCCGTCTGTCACAAAATTTGTCCAAACATGAAATTGGCCATCATGTGGCGACACATGTAAATACTGATCGCTCTTGTTACAAATAACTGTCAATTAAGGATAAAAGACCCTAATAAACATGTTATTATACTGATATTTTTTCAATTAATGATGTATCAGTCGTAAACATGGTCTCTCATGACAAAAATGTACGAAAGATAAGTATTTAAAGAATAAAACTGTTAAGAGAAGGCAGAAGTAGTTTCATTAGGATGTTACATAAGAATAGTCCTTAAACACAAAGTCGTGTTCAAAAGTGTTCATTTATTCCTTAAAGGGACTCCAATGAAGTCCAGCAATTGTCATGACAGGACTGGAAATATTTTTTTCGTGATTCTAATACCATATGAGTATGGTCTATACCAATAATTTGAATGCAAAATTTCAGATCATTCTGTAACTCTGTTTTCCAGAAGAATAATTCTTTATTGTACAAGAAGGCCTAAAAATTTCAAAGTTAATTGATTTTACTCATATTGGGCAAATAAAGCGCTAAGTATTGTTTGTCAATTTGCTTCTTAGTATTTTTCTTCAATATTATATTTTTTCATGTTTTTAACATTTTATGTGCCCTTGTTGATCTTTGTCAGCTTTTCAAATTTTATGATTTTAGACTTTGGAACTAAGTGGAGCTCCTTAACATAGCAGTATGTAAAGTTCTTCTTAAATGTTTATTGAGCTAGATACTTTCAAGGATTTAACCTTTTTAGTTAAAAAAATAGTATTATGCATCTTTATATACTGAAGTTTGAACAATAGAACAATATGCATATGAGCCGCGTCACGCCAAAACCAACATAGTGCGTTTGCGACCAGCATGGATCCAGACCAGCCTGCGCATCCGCGCAGTCTGATCAGGATCCATGCTGTTCGCTATCAGTTTCTCTACTTGTTATATGGTCTGTAAGCGAACAGCATGGATCCTGATCAGACTGCGCGGATGCGCAGGCTGGTCTGGATCCATGCTGGTCGCAAACCCATTATGTTGGTTTTGTCATGACACGGCTCATATACTTATTTTGTCTGGTCAGTCTGTGTCCCAAACAAATTACCTTTTACACGAAGTTGATGCAAGATGAATATTAATTATGCATTCACTAAACCAGAACTTTCATATCTGTTCACCATTATACATCATTTGATGGCAGCTTCCTTGATATACATGGAAATAAAACCTTGACCCTTAAATAATCTTGACCTTTCAAGGTCAAATTTTCAATATTCAGGAAATTTAAATACCGTACAAATTTAGTTCTGTGGGATGATGCATTTCATTGTTGGTTACATGACAGTAATCTTAAAATTCCCATCAACTTTAAAAAAACAACACTTTTTCTGTCTTTCATAACAAGAGGTATTTACTTCAAACATTGTTCACTTTAATCTCCCACATATCATATGACATGGTTTATTTACATGATAAGGGGAAGGGAACCTTCCCATTAATTCGGGGAAACATAGCCCCGTATTTTTGAAAAAGTGCGAGAAAATTACACTTTCTGTAAACTGAATTTTACGGAGAAGCAACCCTTAAACAGCCCTTGCTGTAAAAGAAACAAAAGCCCTGGCAGTTTGTTTTAAAGAATTATCTCTGGCTTCCATTATGGAACTGACAAGTTTGAATTTTATGAGTATCAGGATTGAAAATTCAAGATAATCAGGCAACAGCTAATAGAGCCTTGGCACACTATGCGTATATTCAGACTAGCCTGGCTCTGATAAGACTGGTGGCAAAGGCTAATTACTTTTAATCCCAGCAGGATATTGGTTTACACTTAATAATATTTATGCTATTTGAGCCGTGTCATGACAAAACCAACATAATGGGTTTGCAACCAGCATGGATCCAGACCAGCCTGCGCATTCGCGCATTCTGATCAGGATCCATGCTGTTCGCTATCAGTTTCTCTACTTGTAATAGAGTTGGTAAGCGAACAGCATGGATCAGACTGTGCGAATGCGCAGGCTGGTCTGGATCCATGCCGGTCACAAACGCACTATGTTGGTTTTGTCTTGACGCGGCTCATTTATACTTGAACTACACAGCCATGTTTGTTAGAGGGTAAAATTTGTTTTATGTGGTTGTTTATGTTTTATACAGCACATGTAATACAGTGCAGCCTCTGTAGAGCAACCCTTGATAAACCAATAACCTCTGTACATCAGACATAAACAATCTTTCTACTTAGTAAGACTTCACAATAGATTTAACCCCTCTAAAGCAACGCCAGCAAAATCTGTCTCTCAAAGGGGGTTGCTTGGCAGAGACTGTACTGTACCGCACATGACATGGCGCTTTGATTATATCACTTTTGTCTGTTTTAAGACAGAAGAATATAGTAATATAGAATTGTGTTTATTTGTTAAAGTGACATTATGCTCATTTTTTCAGAAGTTGAGCTACATTGACTACATATTTCAAAACATTGACTGTAATAATGGTGATTGACCCACAGTTGATTTTGGAAAATATTTAGGATAAAATATAAATCTGTCTAAAATATAAAAGACTAACCCACACTTTTTATCAATTGAATATTACAGGTAAATTTCAATGGATATTTATAGAAATTTCCTTGGATCATGTGAGTTATATTTATCGTTCATGCAAAGGAAAAAGAATACTTAAATAATGGCTAAATGTAAACTTATTTTGACTTTCATCTGGTTTTTGACTTTATACTCTAGTATGGGCATAATGTCACAATAAATCTGTTTTGTTATGTTGTGTAAAACTTTCTGTTATTGAATAGATATTATTATGCCCCCATTTCGAAGAAAAGGGGGTATATTGCTTTGCACTTGTCGGTCCGTCGGTCCGTCGGTCCGTTGGTCCGTCGGTCCGTCGGTCCGTAGACCAAATGGTTTCCGAGTGATAACTAAAGAACCCTTAGGCCTAGGAACTTCAAACTTGGTATGGTGATTGGTCATGACCAGTAGATGACCCCTATTGATTTTGGGGTCAAGGGGTCAAAGGTCAAGGTCACATTGACCTTGTAAGCAAAAACGGTTTCCGATCAATAACTAAAGAACCTTAAGGCCTAGGAACTTCAAACTTGATATGGTGATTGGTCATGATCAGTAGATGATCCCTATTGATTTTGGGGTCAAGGGGTCAAAGGTCAAGGTCACATTGACCTTGTAAGCAAAAACGGTTTCCGATCAATAACTAAAAAACTTTAAGGCTTAGGAACTTCAAACTTGGTATGGTGATTGGTCATGATCAGTAGATGACCCCTATTGATTTTGGGGTCAAGGGGTCAAAGGTCAAGGTCACATTGACCTTGTAAGCAATAATGGTTTCCGATCAATAACTAAAGAACTTTAAGGCCTAGGAACTTCAAACTTGGTATGGTGATTGGTCATGATCAGTAGATGACCCCTATTGATTTTAGGGTCAAGGGGTCAAAGGTCAAGGTCACATTGACCTCTTGGGTAAAAACGGTTTCTGATCAATAACAAAAAAACCCTTAGGCCTAGGAACTTCAAACTTGGTATGGTGATTGGCATGACCAGCAGATAACCCCTATTGATTTTGGGTTAATGGGTCAAATGTCAAGGTCACATTGACCTTGTAGGTAAAAACGATTTCCGATCAATAACGAAAGAACCCTTAGGCCTAGGAACTTCAAACGTGGTATGGTGATTGGTCATGACCAGCAGATGACCCTATTGATTTTTTGGGGTTAAGGGTCAAAGGTCAAGGTCACATTGACTTTGTAGGTAAAAACGGTTTCCGATCAATAACTAAAGAACCCTTATGCCTAGGAACTTCAAACTTGGTATGGTGATTGGTCATGACCAGCAGATGACCCCTATTTATTTTGGGGTTAAGGGGTCAAAGGTCAAGGTCACATTGACCTTGTAGGTAAAAACGGTTTCCGATCAATAACGAAAGAACCCTTAGGCCTAGGGACTTCAAACTTGATATGGTGATTGGTCATGATCAGTAGATGACCCCTATTGACTTTGGGGTCAAGGGGTCAAAGGTCAAGGTCACATTGACCTCTTAGGTAAAAACGGTTTCTGATCAATAACTAAAGAACCCTTAGGCCTAGGAACTTCAAACTTGGTATGATTATTGGTCATGACCAGTAGATGACCCCTATTGATATTGGAGTTAAGGGGTCAAAGGGCAAGGTCACGTTGACCTTGTAGGTAAAAATGCTTTCAAATCAATAACTTAAGAACCCTTTGGCCTAGGAACTTCAAACATGGTATGGTGATTGGTCATGACCAGCAGATGACCTATTGATTTTGGGGTCAAGGGGTCAAAGGTCAAGGTCACATTGACCTTGTATGTTAAAACGGTTTCCGATCAATTAACTAAAAACGCTTAGGCCTAGGAACTTCAAACTTTGTATGATGATTGGTTGTGGCCAGCAGATGACCCCTATTGAGTTTTGGGTCAAGGGGTCAAAGGTTAAGGTCATGACCAGTAGATACTTGATAACCCTTATTAATTGTTTGATCACTGGGTCAGAAGTCATAATAACCTTATCACATGACTAATTGGCTGCTGATAGGGGGCATACATGTTTTACAAACATATCTTGTTCTTAATTGTGGCGCATACAATCCCTAAGAAAATTAAATACCGTAAAACTTCTAATAAATGTTCTTCCTTCATTAATGCCTAACCTCCCCTGACACTTTTTTTTCTGGAAAAAAAAATTGAAAGTTATAGTTATTTTATGTCTGTGTGTAATGACTGTGAAACACAGTTTGTAATATTTGCTCATTAATTCATGTTACAAATTACACTCCAATAGTGTTCTTGTTTGTAGAAAATAAATGGAAAGAGAAAAGTAATAAATACAGGGCATTTATTGGAAGTTTTATGGTATTTTAAGAAATAATTTATGTAGAAATTTAAGTTGTTCATGAAATCTTGCCATATTTTGTCAAAATTTCCTACCTAATGTACACCAAAAGCAATTTATGAATTTTTTTGTACATGTATGAACACAGTATATAATTATGAAGTGGCCAGTTTAGTTTTAGGTATTTATATACACTTGCTAAGACTTAAAGGCTCATTTGGCCCCGAAAATGCTTTTATTTGTATTTCTCAATAGGTTTTTATTTTTGATGATCTGTTATAACAATTACAGTTCTGTTATTACAATTACAGTTCTGTTATTACAATTACAGTTCTGTTATTTCAATTACAGTTCTGTTATTACAATTACAGTTCTGTTATCACAATTACAGTTCTGTTATTATTACAATTACAGTTCTGTTATTACAATTACAGTTCTGTTATTACATTAACAGTTTACAAAGCAATATTAATACAGCTGAAACATCCTTTGCTTTTGGTCAAATAGTAAAGTTATAGTGATTTGGTATTTTGTATATTATGGATGACAAAATTATACTTTACTGTTTACATTTTACTAATATTAAGATAAATGATTTCACAGGTATTTGACATGTTAATTTGTCACTACGCAAAAAAAACATACATATAGTAAAAAATGTATCTTTTTTTTTTGGGGCGTATTTAACAAAGTGCCGAACACCTGTGGTTCAATGCTGCATTTTGCTTTCTTCACATATACTCTAAATATGTAAGTAAAATATTATTTCAAAAAAAAACAATAGTGTGTCTACCTTTTCTTCAAAGGTGAAAATTGTATTTTTTTCTCAGGCTTTATGTATCTATACTAAATACAATGTATTTCTTCATTCTCATGTTTACCTAATTGTGCTTTGTTCAATCTGTCATTCCAATATTACCTTTATTCTTTTTTGAAAAACATGGAATTATATTTTTTGTTGCCCCATGATAAGCAGTTATGGCCTAGAAATCTACATGTATGTATTGCAATACCAATTTTACCAACAAGAATGATTACCTTTAGTCTCTTTAACACTTAAAACTTAGGTACAGTACTGATAATATTTTCATAATGCTGATTATGATCGATATAGTATAATGCAAGATTATTGAAAAAGATTTTTAGGTAAAACTTTATCCAAGGTTAAAGGTTATAGTTTTGTAACTTTATGTGAAGAGTTCTGTACCCATAAAAATGCTGCCAAATAGCTCAGTTGGTAAGGCTGCAAAATAGTATTCCAAGAATCCCTGGTTCAAGTTCTGTACAGGCTACACATTTTTCTCACCATGTGACTCTTGATTTTTACTTCTGGAAACTTAGATTCTTGATAGTCTTCAATAGTTGTCCATCAGTATATACTGTAGGAGTAGTGGCCCTTGTTGAATAGATGTTATCCCAATTTCTGCAAATGTGGTTTTTCCCTGTCTGATCCTGGAGTACAAACAAGCTTTTACTGTTACAGCTCCAGGGTGCACTACCATTCATAATAAAGTGATAAAAATATTTCATTTATTATCATAGTAACTATAAAAGTTTGTTTGTACCTAGGACTAGATGGGAAAAACCCACACATGCCTAGTCCCTGGGTATCTCTATTCTTGTGAGAGCCATAAATAGTCATAATAATTATGTATAAAAATTCTCAACTAGTTTTGTATGTTCATCTTCTTGTGTTAATTGGTATAAATACAAACCACAGAACCTTCAGTCTCTCCTGTGATTCTTTCCCCATATCTGTTCCTATGGGACTGCAAATTTAAATGTTATTCTACATACAATTGTGATAAATTTAACCTTAATTTATTATATTATTCAAGACCTAATATTAGTTTTACATTTAAATTTACTGCTGTAATTTGTGTAACCAATAATTGTAGATGATATATATTTGTGATAGTCAAAAGAAAATAAAAAATTGTTGGATTATAAATGGTGTTTGTTGAGTTTCATGTTAGTAAACCATTTAAATGTGGTAGTGTGACCGAGTGGTTAATACACCAGACTAGTTACCATAGGATTACTGGCTTCATGGAATTTAAACCTTGTCAAGGGCAGGCCATTGTTTCCATTAGCTTGGATATTTTATGTCAGGAAGATACTAAGCAAGTTTGACATATTCTGTATTTCTCTATTTTACATATAGTTAGTGGTTCTACTTGGGAGCTTGCTAGTCTGGGATAATGTACAGAGGGGCAACTGTTGTATTCCTGTATCAGATAAACAAGCTAGAAAATCATCATATGAACAATACTTAACAGTAATTTAGTTACACCAGGGCCAGTGTCTTCTTGCAGTCCAAAGACTATAGGAAACTTTTAAAATTGGCTCTCTACTTCAGGGTTCTACCTCACCCTTTATTGCAGGTCATGTGCAAAATGCATTCAGTCATGGTATAATTATAAATATAAAGGAATAAAAACATTTCCATCAAATACTGTAGAACCGGATCATTTGCAAGACTGTGGTGTTGTAGTATCAGTTGCCAATATGCAGCAAGTTCCATGTTCAAAAATGCGTTTGATGGTAACTTTGATGTCATGTGATCAACAAATGGCTGAAACTATTGGTATAAATCAACAGAATCTAATCTGAAGTATGGTCAACTTTTCACATACCAAATTTCAACTCACTACTTGAAAGTTTGCCAGTCATGTTCTACCATGAATCAAGCAAGGAAGGTAGTAGTTATGTTTTACAATGGCTGATGTAAGGGTCTGTCTCCTATTGGTAAGGTCAATGTTCTAAATGTTCTACTGCTATCACAGTGTAGAATTAATTGCCTTTCAATGTGTATGAATTATTGTGATTACAAACACCTGTCACTTCCAGTCACTGTATCATATATTGCAAGCTGACACACTTCAACTTGTACCATCTTCTATTGATGAATTTCTTCACAGGGATGAATTAAACTTTAAACTTATTATTAATGAAATAAAATTTAAACCACTTACATGATCTTTATAATTATCTACTACACAAACTTTTCTATCTCCAATGTTTCGAGGGGTTAAACCCCTCTTTTATCAAGGAGTTTCTGTTTATCACATGTGATTTATAAAAATAAACAGAAACTCCTTGAAAAAGAGGGGTTTAACCCCTCAAAACGTTGGAGATAGAAATGTTTGCATAGTAGATAATTATTAACTATCTGTTTCCAGAATGAATTTAAAGTGATCTTTATAGTCCAAGAAAAATTTAAAAAAAAAGAACAGTAAAAAAGAACAGTGAAGAGGGATATATTCTGCACAAATATGTATTATCAACAACAAACCAATATAAGCAATATAGATTATTTTATTTTTAGCTTTCCATTCCAAAAGGACAAAATAAACCTCCCCAGTCTGTATATGTTTCATTTATACAAGAATCTATGAAACATAATGTAAAATGTTTGTACATTAGTACATACATAAAATTATAATTATACTCCCATCAACATACATGTATGGACATATTAATAAACATTTAACATTCTGTCACAGCCATATAAGATAAACAAATACATGTATCATGTGGACTGAAATGAAAATCTTACTTGCATAGTAAAAACAGTAATCTGATGTGCTGGGTCTACTTCAAAAATTCAGTTTAATTATATTGTTAATCAAGATATATACACATATATGCAGATCTTAACATGTTTAGTCATACCAGTTTTTCTAGATAACTAACCTGTTTATTTGTTTTGGGTTTTACGTCACACCGACACAGTATAGGTCATATGGAGACATTCTAGCTTTAGTGGTGAAGGAAGACCTCAGGTGTCCTTTAGTGCATTATTTCAGGCACCAATGGGCACCTGACTAGAACCAACGATGTTCGGTAAGCTAGCTGGATAGCTTTGAAAGAATCCAAAGTCCCTGCCGAGATTTTAACCCACAGCAGTGAGGGGCAAGAGGTTTGAAGTCAACGAACTTAACCACTCGGCCACGGACACTCCTATTAACTAACCTGTAATCACCAATATCTTCACAAGTAAAAGAATTATTTTACCAGTAGCTTGACCAGGGACTAGCATCCTTTTACTTAACTAGATCATTCAGGTTTTGTTTTTGTTTTTTGTTTTTCCACATCTTATGCAATCTTTGTTCAAACAACATTTAATTAAACCAAAATACAGGAAGCAGATCATATAAATAAATCCATTGCATCATTTTAGAAAATGTAGTCACTTAATCATAAGACTTGTCCAAAAAAATGGAGATACTTTAAGGACGGGTGATGTCTTTTCTCTAATGGTTTGACGGTAGGAAAAAGAAACAGTATGTAAAATGGGTCTAACTTGTCATGCCAAATTAATCAAGTTAGTTATGTATTTTCTCAGACAAAAGGTGTATCAAGACGTAATTATAGCAATGCTGCTTTCAATGTTATGTGACAGCTTAAGATAGTCCCGTTTTCCTGAAAAAATGTTTTAACTTTTGCATCATCAAACTTTCACAATTCCTTAGTAGCTATATATATACATGTACTATGTTTGATGCAGAAGAAAACCGAAATATTGATACACATGTATATTGTGATTTTACAACATTGTAACACCAATCTGTTTATAGGATTCAAACAGGAATACAATGTTTGTTGTAATATAGTATATTCATCCTCCTGCCTCAGTTGTTTCTTCTATTTCAACACCACGTAAATCCTGATGTATGTAACTAATCCATCATAGCGGCCCCCTTCCCCTCCAGTGGCATCATCAGCAATGGTGAAGGTCATCAAGCATTTCTTTGGAGACTGATCTGGGAATACCCTCCTTCATCCGTGTCATCCATGTCAATGGGGGAATCCTTTCTTGTCTAAAAAATAGAAAACATTACTTGTTCATATGCGTCCTGATCTTACAAACAGTTAAAAAAACAGTTATTCATTTGAAACTTTTTGTTTTTCTGATGTTAACGCCAATTTAACACATTTTTTGTCTCAGCTGTTTATCCACCTAACTGGCTTTCCTGGATAACTAACCAGTGATTTTCAATTTCTTGGCAAGCGACCAACTATTAATCTGATATGAGCCGCGTCACGACAAAACCAACATAATGGGTTTGCGACCAGCATGGATCCAGACCAGCCTGCGCATCCGCGCAGTCTGATCAGGATCCATGCTGTTCGCTTACAGACCCTATAACAAGTAAAGAAACTGATAGCGAACAGCATGGATCCTGATCAGACTGCGCGGATGCGCAGGCTGGTCTGGATCCATGCTGGTCGCAAACCCATTATGTTGGTTTTGTCATGACGTGGCTCAAATGTTCCAGATCAATTGTCACAAAGAACCTGCGACCACTAGATTACTAATGTAAATTGTGCTCTCCCTATTGAACAAAGTGGCTGTGGAGATTAAACTCACAAAAATTGGCTTATTAACAAACAAAACACTCTAGAACCACTAAGCAAAAGAATCTATCCCTATACTTCTGCGGGAGTTTTTTTTTATTGTTTTGTTTGTTTTATAGTGATTGGTGAAAGTGTGCGCCTGGATATTACAGAGTAGATTTCTTTTAAGGATTTTAACAAGAAATAGTTTTTGAGCTAAAAGACACATGTATTGCAGAACAAACCTTTCACAAGTATGTAAACAAATAACCTAGAGGTATACCTTTATATATATTGACATTCTGTCTGATAGAGGGGTCTTCTTCCAAATCCTCCAGGAAATCTGTGTACTCACTGAAATTAAACAAATTTATGTAATAATGTTATAAACTGATTAAAACTACTAGTCTAATAAGGTATTTCTTTATGACAATATCACTGTCAAGATTATCACGGAGTTGAATAGACTTGAGTTGTATGTAGATCTGTGAGATTATATAGTTAATTCTATGTAAAATGATTTAATTCATGACAGAATAAGTCAAGATTATATATTAAAACTCCATGGGAAAAAAATCTTATTTCATGACAGTCATTGTCAAGGTTCTGTCATAATTTCAAGATTATATAAGAACAGGGTTCGTACAGACATCCAGTATCAAAAATCAAGCACTTTTTAAGCATGTATTTCCATTTTTCAAGCACAATTTGTTGCGTCTATATCCTACATAATATTCAAACAATATTACATGCATTAATTTACAAGTCATTTTTTTGTTAAAAACACATTTTCTGGCTACAGCACACTTAAGTTTCTATAGATTAACCAAAAAGATGGCAACAAATACAACTTAACTGCCCACCTGTTTTATGGCCCCCTGTTAAAACCCTAACTAAATATATACCCCCCCCCCCCCCCCAAAAAAAAAAAAAACAACAACAAACCAAAACAGAATAGTATTTTTGATAATTATTCCTTTCATGTAGATTTATAACTGTGCATATAAGCTGAAAAGGTGTGAAAAAAGCACAGGTAATCAGTAATCCGCTCTTTTGTTGTTCAGTCAGGCATCATATTGATACAAAAAATCTCAAATTCATACCCTGGTGACGTGCACACATTGCTGAATTAAGTTAATCACACAAGCCCAAAATCAATCAAAAAGCCTACACTTTTTACTGATGGAGATAAATGGTGTTTGATTAACTAAGGGGCACAACTAATGCTGGAAGCTTTCACTACAATTGTAATGGCTAACTGTTTCCATTTGTGATTTATGTTTTTCTTTCGTAGGTTTTCCGTTTCATTTAAATATAAATACTATAATATGATATATATCTACATTGTTAAATTGTTTTACAAAAATAATGTCAATATTCATTGAATGGTTAGTAAAAATCATTAGCATTTTACATAATTGCTATGGGTGGGGTAATGCTGTAATCTCGCGATGAGCGTTACATATCAGAATCTGGCTAAATGCTGTGTTGAGACCTTGGAACACAATATGAGCATTATAGAGGGGTTGAACAGAAGTTCAGATCAACTGCAATTTGTGCCTGTTACATTGAGCAAACATTACAAAATTCATTGTTTTTGGTACTGAAAGGGATCGTTCTTTGTTGTTTTTTTGGTAACTGTTGATTTTTACCGACACTAGTCTGTCATTCAATCATTTTCAAGCACATTTGTAGCGAATCTAAGCACTTTTTAAGTACTTTTTAAGAGAGTAATCAAATTCAAGGACTTTTAAGCACTTTTTATCATTTTTAAGCACTATTTAAGAAAGGGACTGAAATTTAAGCACTTTTTAAGACTGTACGAACCCTGATGAAGTTTATATTTAGAGGACTTACTTCATGACAAAATTACTAAAAAGTCATAGATTTTCTTCAAGTCAAGTTAATGTAGTAAATTCTGTAACTTCATTACAAAATCACTGTCAAGGTTATGTAGTTAATTCTATATATTAAAGACTTACTTCATGACAGAATCACTGTCAAGGTTATATAGTAAGTTCTATATATTAAAGACTTACTTCATGACAGAATCACTGTCAAGGTTATATAGTAAGTTCTATATATTAAAGACTTACTTCATGACTGAATCACTGTCAAGGTTATGTAATTCATCATTAAGGTGATGTAACTTCCACTTTCTACGTCTGTTACGTTTCTTCTTATCAGCAAATACTTTCTTCACGATCACCTAGGTAACATATATTATATACATGGTTTTTAACTTCTAACCTACTGAATTTCTAAAATGGTCGTCTCTAGTTTCCGTTCTCGGAACTGTACAGAATCAGATTTTGGGATATCAAAATGAATATTTTAGGATATCAAAATGAAAATTGACAGTAAGGCAGTCAAGTACAGACATACAGATTGACCTACCTCTATGCATGTACTGGTGGCAAAGGCTTATCACATTCAGTTCCATAAGGGCAAGAGTTTATGTCATTTCATTTTTGTTTACTTTAGCTCATATTAGATTTTATAACAAAATACAATTCATTTATCAACAAACAAAAATAAACAACTACAGATTTCATGTTTATAAGGGATATTGAATGAGTGTAAAGTTTAATACTGAAATTTTAATGAACAAGTTGAATAAAAATATGATTATTTCGAGCCTTTGGTGAGCATTATATTATTATTGAACGAGTTCAATAAATTCAGTAATGAACTTACACAAAAATTTAATATTCTATTTATCACATACCAAAAATAAAGATTGTTTGTAGTGAAAAAAGAACCATTTATATAGTATAACCGCTAACATTAAATCACATTTTAATGCTATGTTTATATAATGCAAATGACATCCCTTTGTCAAAAGTATATGCACGACCGTGCAATACCATTTTTATGGAGTCGCAAAATCAGCCAGGTATGTGATAAATCATTTAATCATACAATAATTTATTAACCCTAGTGTTGGCTCATTGGTACCTCTTTATTCTCCTGTGTTGTAACTGCTGCTATCATTATGTAACATCATGTGATGTATATATACATGTAAATAAACATTCAATAAAATATCAACATACCACATCAGGAAGTTTTTCTTCTTTCAATTTCTCTATGTGCTCATTGTTTAAATTAGCATTCAACATGTCAAACCTAGAAAAGATACATGTTATGATCTTTAGATATCTAAAAGCAATCAATAAATAAGGAGAGGGCAAGGTGACCTAGTGGTAAACGTCTTTACTCTAAGTACAGAGATCATGGGCTCTATCCCTACTGGGATGGCAACAATGTTTTCTCAAGTCACACCAGTACCAGTTGGTTCCAGAAACAATATTTTAATTTCTTGGGCGGCGGAAATTTGCACACATAAAATTTAATACGAGATGAAAAATTTGCCTTTTCTGATTCTGATAACACCCCCAAAATTTATTTTTTGGATCCCAAAAAAAAGGGACGGGGGTCTTTTTTAAGGACCCCCAAAATTAAAAAAATTTTTTTTTGTTTAAACCAAAGCGGGTTCATAGGACAGCAACGTTCGACTTTTTCTTAGGGCTTGGGATAGAAAAAAAGCCTTGATAATTTTAAAATTTTCAAAATTTAACAAAAGGAAAAATTTTGTTTTTAAAACGGTTACAGTTATGGGCCTTAAAGGAGTTCCTATTTTTGCTCTCAAAGAAGATTTAAAAAATTTTAAAAACTTTTTTTCAAAGCCGGGATGTCAATAAAAATATAAAAAATTTTTTGAGGGGGTTTTGGGAAAATTTTAAATGTAAATTCTAATGAAAAAAATTGTAATGCTTCATAGATTTACCCCCTTCCTGTCTACGGGTTTGGGGGTTTCATGATAATGAAAAAGGGTGGGCAAATTTTCAAAAGGGCCCTATGTTAATGGACTTTGAAAATAATTGGGCGTGCGTGGCTGAGTGGTTAAGGTCGTTGACTTCAAACCACTTGCCCCTCACCGCTGTGGGTTCGAATCCCGACAGGGACTTTGGATTCTTTCATGTGAGGAAGCTATCCAGGTAGCTTACAGGAGCGTCGGTGGTTCTACTGAGGTGCCCGTTCGTGCCTGAAATAATGCACGGAAGGGCACCTGAGGTCTTCCTTCACAAGTAAAGCTGGAACATCGCGATATGACCTATACTGTGTCGATGTGACATAAAACCCAAAACAAACAAACAAAAACAAAAACTTTAACGTAAATTCCAAGTCGAAAATGGGACATAATTCTGTCAAAATGATTGATACAGTTACCTACTCCTGTCTACAGGTTGAGGTCATAATGGTGAACAAGTGTGCAAAGTTTCAAAGCCATATGTCAATGGACTTTGAAAATACTTGAGGTATTACAAAAACTTTAACATAAGTGGTTACGCTGACGCCGACACCGATGCTCGGGTGACTACAATAGCTCTACTTAATCTTATCGAATAGTTGAGCTAAAAACTGTTTATTTTTCAATATTTCTAAGAAAATATTGCAATACCTACCCTAGTACAGTATCACCCGTGTTAAGAAGATGCCCTATATGTGTTCTACAGAAATACTGTTGATCATTCACACCTAGATCACTCATCCTAGATACCCAAACATCTGCTAACACATGCTGAAATATAACAAGTTTATAACTAGGTTAAGCACAGTCATAATAGAGGGTGTTTATTCTTGTTTTTTTATTTGGTTGGGTTTAATGTAGCATCAACACAATATAGGTCATATGGCGACTTTCCAGCTTTACTGGTAGAGGAAGACCTCATGTGTCTGTCTGTACATTACTTTAGGCACAAACAGCCACCTGAGTATAACCAATCAAGTTACATAAGATAGCTGGATAGCTTTCAGACACGAAGAATCCAACAGCGCTTGTGCGACTGGAACTAACAGCGATGACAGGCAAAAAGTTTTGAAGTCAACAACCATTACCACTCATCCATGTACGCCCCCATAATAGAAGTAGTGGTGAAATTTCCTAAATTTGACCTCAAGGTCATTTAAGTGTCAAAGGTAATATTTCAATACCGCCCAAACTCAGAGCTCTATACCCATCCCTCACACCCAACCCCTAAAATCAGAGGTCTGTTGTGTCCAAATATTTAGTCTCTAGCAAAAAACTGAAGACTGCAAAATTTGGAAGTTCACCACAAAGAAGACAAATAGAAAGAATAATAATAAGCTTCTGTATCCCTCCCCAAACTATAGGTTGAGAGAAAGTCATAAATTATCCTCTTGTGATTTTAATTATGCTAAATTACCTGAACTATCAATGAATGATCGGCCATTTTTATGCTGTTAATGATAAAATAACACACTTTAAAGTACTTTAAATTTCAAACACTTGTTTTCAACAAACTGGTTAATAAACATTTAAACAAGAGGGCCATGATGGCCCTAGATCGCTCACCTGACTTATCAAACTCATCCAAACAATTACCTAGACAAGCATTCTGACCAAGTCTCATGACAGGTGAGTCAAAAATGTGACCACTACAGTGTTAACAAGGATTATCCATATTTGAGCAGTGCGACCTAGTTTTTTACCCAGGTGACACATATTCAAACTTGACCTAGAAATCATCAAAACAAACTTTCAGACCAATTTCCAGGATACTTGGATCAAAACAGTAGCAACTAGAGTGTTAACAAGATTTTTCTATTTTTAGCTCCGGTGACCTAGTTCCTCATGCGATTTCAAACTCATTCAAGCCAAGCAATTACCTAGACAAGCATCCTGACCAAGTTTGATGATAATTGAGTCGAAAATGTGACCACTAGAATGTTAACAAGGTTTTTCCATATTTGGGCGGTGTGACCTAGTTTTTCATCCAAGATGACCCATGTTCGAACTTGACTTAGAAATCATCAAAACAAACTTTCAGACCAATTAACAGAATATTTGGATCACAACAGTAGCCACTAGAGTGTTATTAAGATTTTTCTATTTTTAGCTCCGGTGACCTACTTTTTCATCCGAGATGACCCATGTTCAATTTATTCCCAGCAATGACCTAGGCAAGTTTCCTGACCAAGTTTGATGACAATTGAGTCAAAATTGTGACCACTAGAGTGTTAACAAGGTTTTTCTATTTTTAGCTCCTGTGACCTAGTTTTTCATTCGAGATGACCCATGTTCGAACTCATCCAAGCTATCACCTAGACAAGCATCCTGACCAAGTTTGATGATGATTGAGGCAAAATTGTGACCTCTAGAGTGTAAACATGGTTTTTCTATTTTTAGCTCCTGTGACCTAGTTTTTCATCAGAGATGACCCATGTTCGAACTCATCGGAGCTATCACCTAGACAAGCATCTTGACCAAGTTTGATGATGACTGATGCAAAAATGTGACCGCTAGAGTGTTAACAAGGTTTTTCTATTTTAAGCTCCGGTGACCTACTTTTTCATCCGAGATGACCCATGTTCGAACTCATCCAAGCTATCACCTAGACAAGCATCTTGACCAAGTTTGATGATGATTGATGCAAAAATGTGACCGCTAGAGTGTTAACAAGGTTTTTCTATTTTTAGCTCCGGTGACCTACTTTTTCATCCGAGATGACCCATGTTCGAACTCACCCAAGCAATTGACTAGAGAAGCATCCTGACCCAGTTTGATGATGATTGGGTCAAAAATGTGACCACTAGAGTGTTCACAAGGTTTTTCTATTTTAAGCTCCTGTGACCTAGTTTTTCATCAGAGATGGCCCATGTTCGAACTCATCCAAGCAATTGACTAGACAAGCATTCTGACCAAGTTTGATGATGATTGGTTCAAAAATGTGACCGCTAGAGTGTTCACAAGGTTTTTCTATTTATAGCTCCTGTGACCTAGATTTTCATCGGAGATGACCCATGTTCGAACTCATCCAAGCAATTGACTAAACAAGCATCCTGAAGAAGTTTGATGATGATTGGTTCAAAAATGTGACCGCTAGAGTGTTCACAAGCAATTGTGGACATACGACGGACGAGGGACATTCACCGATCCTAATAGCTCACCCTGAGCAAGCTCAGGTGAGCTAAAAAAAATTAAATAATTGGATTATATCATTATTCACAGTAAAATTTTATGAATTTATAACAAACCTTTTGTGAAGTTTGACCTCTAACAACAGGTTTATCCTTGTCCAGTACAATGTCCACTTGCATCACCATGTACTCTATCAGTTGTTTAGGTGAACACAGAGATACAAATGGTGACCTCCAGTACACTTGACCACTTACTTCAGCAACTGTCAAAATATTCACAATAATAGCTAATTTCATTGTTGAAACATTGACTTTTGCGTATAGTTTTAAATACCAATGATTCTGTATGGTAATACAGTAAAGTTCTAACTTTACTGATGAAGATCCAAGGATCACTGTCATACAAACTGTCATACATACTGCATGGCTTAATGTTTGATGTTGTTGACTATTAACAATCATAGTTTGAGCGCGAATAACTACTCATCTGCAATCAAACTAAGTAATATTATATTATATAACAATTTATTTCCTTTCATCTGATGAAACCTTAAAATCAAGGACAGTTTTTTCTCTTCTTAATGTTACTGATGTACCAGTACAAAATGGCAGAAAATGCCAAATTTTCCCAGAATGGACTCCAAAATTCCCAATTACTTAAAAAAAATTCCTAGCTTGACTGTTGTACTGACTTGTATTTTAGTTTTTTATCAATGTATGTTTTAAATGTATCATGATATTTTGGGCATTCACAGACCTATTCCTAACTAGGTAAAACAAAAAAAGGTCACTGTTATAAATACATGATAATCAAACATAACTTGATACAAACATACCTCTCAGTGTGTTAGGGTCTATCAAGTGTACAGTCTGTGTGACTTTATAACATACACAGATAGGGTTAATATTTCCCAGGGAGGCGGCTAACTTCTTTGGAAGACATACAATGTTGTCCTGAAACGTAAGTTATCAAGCTGTTAAAGGGAGATAACTTTTAATCAAACCTTGAACTGAAATGGCTCAAAGGTCTTCTCTTAATCTTACTGCAAGTTTTCCTGCCATAAAAACTAACATTGGCCAGTATCGTAGCAAATTGGTAATTTCCAGAATGGTATTTTTTCAGAATCTTGGGCATTAGATTATTGTACTTAATTCCAGTTATAAATAAACGATTAACAATTATTGAATACTGAAGATTATGAAAAATAATGGTCCGGAAATGACAGATTTATTACGATATTGGCTGACTACTGACTCCTGGTGTATTCCACTGTTCTAATCTGAAGCACTCATTCAAAATCAAACTTTCATTTCAGTGTGACTGTTAACATTAACAGAAAATGCCAGAAAATGATTTATAAATTGATTAAGGCCAAAACGCTATATTCTTAAAACATCATGTATTATGCTATATGATTTAATTTTCATGGTTTTTTCATCATCTCCATAATATGTCTTACTGCATGAGGTAGATAATTTCCAAAAATATTGGCAGATTGCGTTTATTTTCCCGCCAGTGTTTAAAAAAAATAAATTCTCTGAGAGTAACGACCAGTGTTACCTACCTTACATACAGGCACTATGGTAACGGAGAAAGTGTGTTTATAGTTGAACGTATTGTTGCGGATGTCATGTGATATCAACTCTTGCGCCATCTGGTGTCTGTAAAATAAAATAATGTCGTTAAATTTATCTCCATATAAAAAGACAGTATGTGAAAGACATACTTTATCATTTCCAGAACTCCTTTATGTTATTGGTTTTACACAAAACCCATGATTTGTCACTTCTCATAAAATCTTTTCAAAATTTTACAACATTTTTCATTTCCACATTCACTGCCTATATTGTACATTGAAAGAGTGAATTTATGATTGAGATAGGACTTCACTGAGACTATTCTGACATGATAGGACTAGAAATACTGTTATTAGAGATTCTTTTTATCATTTGATCAAGGTGTATTACAAATGCTTGTGTGCAATATTTCAGATTAATTGCTCATCTTTTTTTCCTAGACTAATCATTTTTTATTGTACAAAAAGGCCAAATAGTTAAAACATCTTAATTCCTTTAACTTTAATTGTGCTAAGAATCACATTTAATATCCATTTTCTATTTAATTCTGAGTATATCTTTTTTTCATATTTTTCAGTTTCAAGTGACCCAATTTATATATGTTAAATTTTCACATTTTATGTTTTAAGGCTTTTGTACCCTAGTTGAGCACCTCAAAGTAATTTTGAGTGATAAATTGTGTAGGTTGCCATAACAATCATTATTTATTGTATTACTATAAATAGATTCATACTTGCACGGTACCACAGCAGACAGAAATTCCACCATCTTTTTAGCATCATCTTTCTTGGAATAGAAGAAATCTAGACCATCTGAAATAATTTTCAACAAATATTAGTTTAGTTTATATTAAAGACAGTTTAATGTAAGACTTGTTTTTAATTCATGAAATGGTAAGGTAATATGTATGTAAATAAAGTAGCATTGGTACATATTTAAATTCTTTAAATTCAAATATACAATTTTAATCTTTATCATGTACATTTTCTACTCACTAGACCTTAGTTAATACAAATCTAAGTGCTTCTGGATTAATCACGAGTGTTTGACCACTGAATGCTCTCAAATTTTCACTGTCTTCTTAAAATGAACGTTAGTCTTGCTAGACTGCATGGATTTGCTGGTTTGCCAAGCTCTATACAATGACCTAGTAACATCATAACCTCTGCCAGAATTTAAAGGGTTAAAATATAAGAAAGAGGCATCCAATGCTGAGTGGTTAAGGTGGTTGACTTCAAACCACTTGCCTCTCACCATTGTAGGTTCACGCCCCATCAGCGTTTTGGGAGCCTACATGTAAGAAAGTTATCCAGCTAGCTTACAGAACATTGATGTTTCTACTAAGGCGCTCTTTCGTGCCTGAAATAATACAGTCTAACTTGCCCATGCGACCACGTGTATTAAGCGACTTTTGTCTTAAACGACCACTTTAAATTCCCCCCGATCATTTTCTCTCTATATCTTTAATGTATTAAGCGACTTTTGCTCAACGCGACCAGCGACCGCTAATTAGTCACCTAATTGACATCAATCTTTTCATTAAACGACCACTTTTACCTGTCAAGTAATTGTGTTTTTAGAGAACGCCACCTCGTTATGTCACAAGTGTCAGCAATCAAAACACAACAATAAACGTGTGAAAAACTCTATTTCCCATACCGTTTTAGCGTATGCAAATGAAGTTAAGTATACGCGTGACGTGTATTATCCAATAATATCGGATAAACAATGCAACGCTCCGCCCATACTGAGATGGTGTATACGCTTCGCTTGTTGACATTTAGACTGCATTGAATTGACCTTGAACTTGATCAGCCATTAAATTAATCGTAACAAATAGATGTAGTTTGTTTATTTCAAATGAAAAAATGCACAACAGAAAACATCTTCACTAATGGGGTTTTCGTGTTGGAGACAAGGAAAAACAATGGAGAAGTTAAAAAATTCTGGAAAAAATGTCAAACATGTACGTAATGGATCAAAACTGTTTTGTCAATAAATATCAGAACGTTATTTTTACATTTGCATCCGTTTAGATTTTCGGAGCGTATTTATTATTCAACATTTATATAAAAATGAAGTTGAAAAACAATCCCATCGAATAAAAAAGATGTCATTTATAAATTTTGACTTTTATATCATGCTGACTGTCTTAAGAGACCGTTTCATTAAGCGACCGTTTTTGGTGTTTCCCTTGCCCGGTCGCTTAATACACGTTTGACTGTACATGTAGGGGCACCTGAGGTCTTGCTCCACCAGTAAAATCGAAAAGTCTCCATATGACCTACACTGTGTCGGCACAATGTTAAACACAATTTAAAAATAATAGTAACATACCATGAGCTGGCTTTATGTTGACAGTGTTCCAGTGAGCTTTGTTTTTTAATATCAGCTGTTCCAGGTAGAAGAATGTCTTTTTATGATCAGTCTACAATCATTTTATATAGAAGGTAAGTTAAATGAAAATAATCGCAAAATATGCGTAACTTGCTGTAAATTTCAAAGATATTCTAAAATAAAAAATTTAAAAAATCTGTTTTGTTTGTTTGGATTTTGAAGTGAATGAAGATCCAAATTACCAGCTTTCTTGTAATTACCAATTTCTTGGCAAGTGACCGACTAATAATCCCTCATGATTTCTGAATCAGCAGTGAAAGACAAAATTAAATGACCGTAACATTCCTTGTTCAAGATCAATTGTAACAAAGAAATTTTGCCATGTCCAAAGATGAACCAAACAACATCTAGATTACTAATCCGATCATTTCCCTATTGAGCTAACTGGGAGATGAATAGATATAGGCACTGAAAATAACCAAATATGGTTAAAAATGTACTTGAAAATATCCAGTAATTAAGTCTTCTCGTCAAACTTGCCAGAGTTACGCACCTTTTGTCTGATCTGTACAACAGCTCGCCAGAAATCTTTAGCTTCCACCCTGTGGCAGTCATCACATTGTTGATTACTGACTGTAAACTCAACAATAAACACCTGTTGTAATACTGCACCATTCATTACCTGAAATTGTAAACAATCAATGTATGATACAGTGGTAATGTGTGCCAAAACAGCTTGACCAATCAATTTGATTGAAAATTTGAAATCTTTTGGTAAATTGGTCTCAATGTGTTCTGCACACTGTCTAATTATAACGTTTTTATAAGTAATATTTCTGCCAAAAAATTTTCATTTCTTTCTAGAGCTTCAAAGATACTGAGCTGACACAAAGTTTTGCAATTGATACAAAATGACTAAGTGTGACCTTGACCTGAGAAAGGTGAAACCTGCACTCTGTGCATTGTCTCATTATGGTGAACATTTCTATAAAGTAGTTGCAAGTTCTTCAAACTCCATCAATTAAAAATATACAGACCGGACATGAAAAACTGCTAACAGATGGACTGACAGATGACCAGGTGCATAACATTATGTGCTGGATTATTTTTAGGGGTACATAAAAACACTTAAATGTTTTTAACTCGTATTGTTTAAGAATCTCATTTATTAAATGTTGATTTTGAATTTGAATTTAATTCCGTGTATGTATCTCCGATATCATTTTCATTTGTTCGGTTTAAAGTGCTCTAGTTGATCTATGTGATCTATGTATGATTTTCAAAATTTTATGGTTTTATTTTTAGCTTTTGGACCTCAGTGGAGCTCCTATAATGACGGACATGTGCACTCAAAGGTGTTTAAAACCAGAGTGCCTTTTGAAGGAATACTGCTGTATATAAAACAAAATAAAATACCGGTTTTCTTACCTCTTTTTGTATAGTAAGTTTCACTTTAATTCTCATAGAGTGAGGTTCTGTCCACACAAATCCGGCATCTATCAGTCTAACCTGTGACCAAAATATTCATGTTACAATATCCACAACAACAAATACATGTATACAGAAATGTTAAAAAAAATAAAAATCTTCAAATCTAACAAAAGATAGGAATAACTGACCTTAGTTAAAACATATTTATCACAGTTTGTGATGAAAGATCAAGACTTACTGCTCTCTCACACATTTCTTTCACTTGTACATGCTAGAATCTATAATCTCAAGGTTCAAATGCAGGCATATTTTAATGGTTATTTTTTTATCAAACAAAATCTCAAATAAAGTTTGCTACAACACAAAGCAGTGTTAGATTCTTTTCTTCTTCTTTAGAATCGATCTGTTTTCCATGGCAAACATGCATATTTTTCCCCAAAATTCCAGTTACCTACAAAAATTCATACTTAAAACAGATTTTCTTTTCAGTTTACCTAATTTCAATTTTAATGACTAAATATTCTTATCTGGCAGACATTGATCTGTTTTCCAGAATGGTGGGGGAAAAAAAGTGAATTTGTGTACAACTTACTTTATTTAGCCCTTTTATCTTTTTCAGGCATATTGAAAGTAGTTCCCTTGATTCAAGCTGAGCCAGGATCCAGTGATCTGGTGGTTGTTGGTACCTAAATAAAAATAAATAAGCATAATTAAGGTATATTGACCATAGAGAAAACAATAGTTTCAGTGTAAGAAAACAAAACTGTGATATCTATATAAAATGAAACACAAAACAGGGCAAGTTCATTAATTACAAAAAAGGGCAAATCATTATATATATAGAGGATATTGAATGAGTGTAAGTTCAATACTAAATTTATTGCACGAGTTGAATTATATTATGCGAGTCTCTGGCGAGCATAATATTATTTTATTCAACGAGTGCAATAAATTCAGTAATGAACTTACACGAATTTAATATTCTATTTATCACATACCCAAAATAAAGGCCGTTTAAAGTGAAATAAGAGTCATTTTTCATTGACGCGACTATAGCATAACGCTAACATTTAGCGCGTCTTTACACTATGTTTGTATAACGCTAATGACGTCACGTCAAAATATATGCACGGCCGTGCAATACCATATTTACGGAGTCGCGAAATCGGCACGGGTGTGTGATAAAAGTACATTAGTTACAACACAGGGCAAGTCCATTAATTACAAAACAGGGCAAGTCCATTAATTACAAAACGGACAAGTCCATTAATTACAAAACAGGGCAAGTCCATAAATTACAAAACAGGGAAAGTCCATTTATTACAAAACAGGACAAGTCCATTAATTACAAAACAGGACAAGTACATTAATTACAAAACAGGACAAGTCCATCAATTACAAAACAGGACAAGTCCATTAATTACTTAACAGGGCAAGTCCATTAATTACGAAACAGGGCAAGTCCATTAATTACAAAACAGGGCAAGCCCATTAATAATGAAGCAGGGCAAGTTACTAAAAAAAACAAAACTGGGCAAGTCCATTAATTATAAAACAGGGCAACTCCAGTAATTACAAAGTTCACTTATTACAAAATAGAGCAAGCCTGTTTATTATTTCTTAACTGACCAAGTCATGTAATTACAAAACAGGGCAAGTTCATCAGTTACATATCAGGGCAAGTCCAAAACTGCGAAAGTCCATTAATTACAAAACAGAACAAGTCTATTTTAACAAAACAGGGAAATTATGTCCAGTAACTACAAAAATGGGCAAGTCCATTAGTTATAAAACAGGACTTAAAATATGGCTTACCTTTCACACTTTCTACAAAAGTACAATACAGCTTGTTTGGGGATTCCTTCTGTAATATCTACTTCAGACCTTAGACATGCCACACACATGTTTGTAGGGTTAGGTTCAATCTGTGTACCACATTGACAACATAGTCTACAAGAAAACAAAACAGTTTTTTTAAATGAGGTTGCAGGCTGTATGATATAATCGGTGTGTAATTATTGCTAGTCCAAAAGCTGTATGACAGGTTTTTGCACATAGGTTGTCGCTTAGAAGTGTGAGATTTTCCCCTCGTTTTCTACCAGTTTTAATAGGATTTTATCATTTTAGTGATTTTTCAAGTAAGAAATAGGGAAATTGGGTCGAATCAGTTTGAGACCGAATCCTTGGTAAACAAGATTTTTAATTAGTATTTAACTTTCTGAAATTGTTTTACCAAAAAAAAATCACACTAAACTTACATTAAACCCACGGTTTGTTGAAACTGCTGTTGTAGAGGCTCCATAATTGATATTAATTGAGCAATCGTCAAGTGAATTTTGACAGATTGCGCACATGCGACCTGTGTTGTGTAATTTTACAATTCCGGTCGCCGTATATATTGAGCTGTAAAGGACGTGGGTATAGCTCAAACTTGCCGCATCGGTACATCCCTTGATTACCTGGGAACCTAATTATTCTCTCCCTTACTAGTTGATGGAAAGCTGTCTGCATTGCAGACTGTTCATCCCTAAGTGTATTCTTATTAATAGATCTATCAGCGTTGCACTAGAAGTACGAGGAATGATCAAAAATAAACCGGACTGTGACTGTCACTTGAAGAATTTTCAACCTTTCACTTATTGTTATATATATCACACCTAATCGGAAAGCAATACCTGTAACTAATCTGATAACGCAAACAGGTTGTCCGTTACAGCGAATTTAAAAACCATGGTAACGCACACCCGGCGCAGTGCGTAAATTCGCCTTGGCATTAGGCGCTTTAAGCTGCGTATATTTTACAATATGGCATAACTAGATTTCAAAATACGCCATTTGAAACGTCAGGAACCATATCTTTGACGTTGTCAGTAAAAATGAGTTCATTTAAACTTTATTTATAATTGCTATTATAATTCAAACGTCACATGTTAATGAAATACTCCCTTTAAAATAATGTCGTCGGAATGTCTGGAAAATCGATCAGTAAGAAAAAATTGTCAAAAGTAAGACGAGAAACTGTTTAAAACGAAGAAAAAGATTATGGCTATCAAGGGAAAAGTCCCAGAAAGCCAAATCATATTTTTTGATTGGCATAAAGAATTAAGAAACGGTAATAGAACAATAGAAAACAAGTAAGGGAGAGACAGAAAAAAAATTCAAGGACATTGGTGACGTCAATCTCCAAGACGTTGAATCATGGCAGTCGATTGACTGCGGACATTGTCAACGATGTTCGACAGTAGCTACGGGACGGTGCAGTAAACTCTAAGGATTTTAAAATGATAATAATTAATGCAATAATTACATATATTGTATTCTTGGTTAACAATTGTATTCAATTATTTTCTTATTTTACGCAAAAGTTTTAAGGAGAAATTGTGTCAACAATTACACAGTCACTGTTCAAAATCGGCTATGCGTTTTATTTATTTTGTTCATAGTTGAAATATTCTTTTATTTTTTCTTATGTATGATACATTATCATTCAGCAACATTATTTTACATTATTTGTAATACATAATATAGTTTATTGCATGTGCGATTTTTCCAACAATCAAGTTACAGAAGGAAAGAACGGAAGTTTGCGTCATTACAGGAGCTCTTTATCATCATCCATTCTTTTACAATACAATATGATACCCACTTGTACAGAAATATATATATATGCAGTGGATCCGCCGCATCAACAACATGACTGTACCACGTATTTGCCTACTCCGTGAATGAGTAAAAAGCTGCTCCGTTATGGAAAATACGCTTGTGACGTCGTTAACGTGAATTTTAAAGTTATACCGTGCGCCGCATTGCTTGACATATACATGCCAATAACAGCACAACTTTTTTCTTTGTTAATATTTCTTGTTGGTATTTTTTTGTATCATTCAGGGGATATATTCCGATTTATTTTCCGTGAATTTTTATGTAAATTCATTTAACGGGTAAAGAATCATTTACAAAGTCCGGTTAATTTTTGATCATCCCTCGTACACAAGTCCGTTTGGCGCTTTGTCCTGTTGTCGCTAGCGCCAACACGACGCACAAAAGCATTCCAATTCAGCCACCATACAATACTGAGAATGCGGGCTTCAACTATTCTAAAAGTTAAATATGTTATTTTTAGATAAACCATTTCATGTATAATTGTAAAATCAAAAGAATAAAGGTGGGAAAAGCACTTTCCATGCTGTCAGTAGTGTCATTATGTTTCTTAACTGAACTTTCTGTGTTGTTTTGTGTTGGTCCAACTTATCATGCTGCCATTGAGCAGTTCACCTTAACTTACCATGCTGTTTTATATATTCTTGCATGTCAGACAGGATTATCTACCGTTTACAGCGGTGCTAGAAAACCCTGTCTTACACCCCCAATGTAAGACAAGTCGCGTGCTTTAAATGACGTCATTGCTGCGCGCCTTTTATGAATGAATTTCGTTCTTAGGATGACGTCACTTAACCGTTATGAATGAAGTTGTAAGTTCATACGCTACTATAAGAAAAAAGTACGTAATGAAAATATCAGGATTCGTTATTTCTGTTCTGAAAATAATTGGTATGTAATATGCAAGAAAAAGAATCAAACACCGACTGTCGGTACAGACGGGAATATCTAGCTCTCGGGTAACTGTTTAAGCGGAAACTCGACAGAGCCTCGTTACCGCCGTAAACAGTTACCCTCGAGCTAGATATTCCGGTCTGTACCGGCAGCCAGTGTAAGATTCTTATATTACCATACCGTCGTTGTGTTGGCTGAACTTTTCTTAATTACCATGCTGTCATATATATAATACTCAGCTTACCATGCCGTCGTTGTGTTGGCTCAGTAAATCACTCGATCATTACTTTTCAATGTACGAGCTTGTTTCGTCTCAATAGTCATTGTATAATATCCACATGAAAATTCACACAATTTCTTATGTCATAACATCACGGACTTTGTCAATTTAAGTCCGTAATAACATGTATGTTATGTCATATCAAAAACTTTAAACTCTGGCATAAATTTTAAATGAGTTACACATTTTTGAACTAAGAAAATTATCCTGGGTAAGACTTTTGATGCAAGTAAAATCCCCTAAATCATTGACAGATTTCCATGTATAGTAGTATAATTATTTCTAGTAGACTGTCGTCAATTTGATGCTTATTTGAAATCGGAGAATATTGCAATAAAGTTAACATAAACAAATCTTGTATCACTCTTTCAAAATTTAGATTGGCATCGTACAGTATGCCAAAGAGACAGCACGAGAAAACAAACCATGTATTGTAATTCAAACGCGGTAAAAATTGAATTTAACTTTCCTGAATATTATAGTTTACATCGAAAATACAGATATTTAAAGACTTCTTTTAGACTATCCGGCTGGAATTTCTCAAGGCTGGTTAAATCATTAGCTATTCTGATATTCTTATTCCTAAGCTCTGAAAAAAATTGATTATAAATCAACATTCATGGAATCCGCAGATGAGTTTATACGAATGTGGACTGTTTAATTGTTTAGTTAATACTTATTCCATTAAATGATACAAATTTGTCATATTGAATGTTCAATAATAATAATGGCCGTATAGAATTGATATATCCCTACTAAAAATATGATAATGGTCTAAAGCAAGAGAACATTACTAGGGTGTTCATTATAAAGCAATTTTACCAGAAATTCTTTTAGAACACGATTAACCATAGCTTTTTTTTCACTTCCACTACACTGTTTTACTGTAATTCTGAATAGAATGGCCATACATAAATTTTGTTTTGTAAAATCATGTAATTGAATTGTTTCATGTTGTTATGTATGGATGAGAATTAAATAAAGATTATATATACTTTGATCTTTTATCTGAATAACAATAGATTGTATCACTCTCTTTTGTTAAGAAATATGTTGTGGCGACATTCTTATAGAATTCTTACTCATAATTGAAATTACTTCGATTCGGGATTCATGCATTTGTGACTATTCAAAAGTTATAGAAGTTGGACGGTGTGGCGAACAATAATAGTCGTAAAATAGAGAAAGCATTCACAGGAAATGCAAAATACACGATAACTCGAAGAAGGAGGTCAAGATTACCTTTGCTCCGAAAAGTCGCAATCGAAGACACGCAGATTACTTCCGGCGGACTTGTAAAAACAATATGCTAGATATCATGGGAAAGATGACAAAAAAACCCCAACAATCCTCATTTTATCCTCATCCCCATTATAATTATTATCATCATTATTATGATGATGATGATGATGATGATTATTATTATTATTATTATTATTATTATTATTATTATTATTATTATTATTATCGCATCGGTATTTTCTTAAACTGAGCTGACATAGACACAGTTTTATTACAATCATATAAGGCTTGGTACACTGAGCAGAATATTTACCATATTGTTCCCGATTGACGCACTCTCCAATTAGCCTCCGACTCTTGCCTTATAGATTTATAATCCAGAATGAATGAGCAATAAAAAAACATTTATTTTTAATTTAAAATAGCAATTAATGACACTCTAGTAATATTGACCTGAGACATTTGAATATTCAATGGCCGTTTGTCGGTAATTGTCGGATTCCGAAGTTATTATTTACGGATTTTAATGTATGGCAAAACGGTATACATGGTTTATGTATAACACAACACTTGCCTAACTAGCCTCGGTGATAAGGAGCTATTACTCCTATTTTCAAGCTTCGAATCTTAATGAAACATTTTTTTTTAAAATCTATTTCATTTAATTATATTTTTGCGCAACTTGACTATTATTTTTTTGCATGCATCACCATTGTAGGACTGTACAAATTGAAATTATGAAACGTTACAAATATCACGGATTTATAAATCCGTGCAAATATACATCTATATATCAAAGTTATTTTTTTATTTTTATATAAGGCATTTTTTATCCATTAAAATGCTGCTTATAATTAAAAAAATAACTAAATCTGACGACAAGAAAGTTTGTCGAGGATTCGAACTTGCAACTCCGCAATTACTATGCTATCATTCCTACCACTATAGGCCATAGAGATGTAAGTCGACAACATTCCTATTATTAAAAATCTGGGATAATAATTAATATTTCAATGGGGTATATAGGAGCTGTTTATCTCTGTTATCTATGTCTCTGTAAAAATCAATTAATTTATCGTAATGAATTACGGAAACTTACGAAAAAGCTTCCGAAAATTAATGAGTCTCAGGTCAATATTGCCAAACAATAAAGACATTAAAAATATAATCCTGTATTGTAAAATAGATCACTATATTGAATAATGATTTTTTATAACTGAATTATATCTTTAAAAAACATATTTTAAGCACATTTTTATCGTTCTAATTTGCGCCCCTTTTGAAAAAAGAAAGCCCCACCGGGGGAGAGGGTGGCGTTAAATAGAGACAATGAGGGCTATTTTTTACAGATCTGGCAAAAAGGGTTATCCCTCGAAAGCATTAAAAACAAAAACAAAATACATGAAAATTGCAGTCTCGGTTTAATTGAGTCTGTTCCTGAGGGATAATGGAAAAATGCAACATCCCTCACGCCCCCTTGAACAAGCTTATTAAGCGGTGCTCAATTTTCAATACTTAACGTGCTGGAATCAATTATCCAGACTGACCAGAAAAACATAATAACATTGATGTCCTCTGTTTTCTGCAAGTACTGACACTGAAAAATAAGAAAAAAATAAAGAAATAATGCATTTGCAATGAAAAGTTGATAGTACAGTCATGTGTTTAAACGATATAATTGTGTTGTATGATTACATAGATAAATAATGCTTTTGTGGAAATCTCTACAGGATTCTTGTCTTATTTAGATATTTACTGATAATGCAAACTAAAGTATCAATTGTAGTAGAGGATGATTTTCAGATAGGCTAGTTCAAGATATTGTTATTGTTCAAGTAAGTGTGTTTTATTTAAATGATAGAACGGAAGTAAGAATTTACATACTAGTATATATAACAATATAATACAATACTGCACAAATTAACATGTACTGTCATTTTAAGAATTTTTGATGACATAATTAAAATATCAAGTTGGTCGCATTCTTATAGTGTCATATTTAACTTATTGTTCATATTGTTATCAGATATGGTCTGTTCTATACGTACTTGCACAATGTGTCCGTGCAAAACAATGCACGAGAATAGTAACCATCGATAAGACACTGTGAACAACGGTTTCTTTGCAAGATTCTTATTTATATTTGTAAACGCCGTAGAACATATTCAACAATATATACCAATGCCACTTATTATATATTTCGATATTATGTTTGTTTAAGAACGAGTTTTAACGTGCACAATCCGATATATTGATATACCAACTATATATTATACCTGTGTTTAAAAGGTATTTAAAAGGCATAACAATCAGGAAGTATATTAGTATTTATACATATCTAAGTAGATATAAATTGTTTATAAATACGCTCAGATAATGCAACTTGGCACAAAGTGTTAGGATAATATATATTCAATGTCAGAAAATATTTGAACGACAGACAAAGTGATTTAAACTTATAAGGATACTTTAAAAATAAAAAGAAACAAAAACTTGAAAAAAATGACGAAATACGTGGAAAAACTAGATATTGCATTTGCAATGGACTGTACAGCGAGCATGGGTATATATATTGCAGTTGCTAGGGAGAATATTATACAAATTGTAAGAGAGATTAAAAATCGGAGGCAATGTGACGTAAGACTGGGTTTAGTTGAATATCGCGATCATCCGCCCGCCGAGGAAACATTCGTTACAAGGTCACATGACTTTACACAAATCCCAGGAGAGATGAGGAAGTGGCTAATGGATTGTGAAGCTGCCGGTGGTGGCGATCTTCCAGAAGCCGTGGCAGACGCTTTACAGGAGGTACTTCTACTGAGTTGGAGAGAAGATGCTACAAAGATATGTGTATTTATAACTGATGCACCACCTCACGGGCTTGGAACATTTGCTGACAAGTTTCCACATGGTTGCCCTGATGGTTTAGATCCTCTTGTGATCAGTCAAGCATTGGCTCAAGCTGGTATTGCAGTGTATGTAGCCGGTTGTGAACCCAGTATATGTGCGTATAAAGATTTCTATTTGGCTCTTGCTCATATTACTGGTGGACAATACGTTCCTATGGAGAAATCCGACTCATTAGTTAAGCTAATTATTTATGGAGCTATTGAAGAATTGTCGATTAGAAAATTTGAAAATGATGTCGATGAAATAGTTCGTGCGCAAATAGCTAAAGGTAAAGAACTTGATATGGATTTTATTTCAAGACAACTGCATATACAGGTATCTCAGCGTGGAGAAAAGGTGTCACAGATGCAAATGAACAAGAAAGAGTTAGCATCAGCCAGATCTTCCAAACTTGCCCTTTCTTTGACGACGATGAAATCTTTTAACGAGATTCAAAATGTTTATAAATTACCAAAAAAGTTAAGAGAGTCAATGGTCGAAAATTTGCATCTGAGTATGACTAGCACAGATGATCGTCCCTCTGTTGCTGGGGACGAATGCTCTAGCTCAGACACACCTTATTCCGACAGGTATTCGCTTGCTGGTGATGAATATTTTAGTCCTGTTGTTGAATCTGATAGGGTTGATGAGAAGAAGCCAATACGGACAGTAAGCAAAACAAAAGGGTTGAAAGGAGTTCTTCCACCACTCCGGGAATTAGTTGACCCCTCAAGACCAGGGAGCGCAGATCTTCAAACCCGTCGGATTGCTGAGGATACGACGTTGAGACCAAATTCTGGCGGCATCATAAAACATCCAAGTTTAACATCTCCGAATCAAATGGAAAAAAATAAATTAGAGAGCGTGGAATCAGATTTTTCTCTTTCTCAGTCAGTCAGGCTGGTTCAAAGGTCTCTTTTGAAGTTCAAATAAGGGATTTGATTAATACGTTTCGAACTTTCGACTATGCTAAATTCAATTCAACTCATGATTGTGCTCAATTTTATCATTTTACTAATGTATTATTCATGCTCTCTTAAATAATCAACTGCGTTCCGCGAACTTGTTGATATTTACTCAGCTGTTTCATATTCTTATTATTTACATGTGGCAAACATCTAGAAATTCGGAAATACATTTGTACGTGGTATTATTTTTAATGTCTTTCACCCCGAAAGTATATCTGGAAACTGCCTTCAGAAAACTAGTTGGGGTTTGCGCATATACTAGGCAAGGAGTGCTTGTATTTAATTTTGGAAGATATCTAATGCTTTAATTTTGAAAGAAATAACTTTCTGTTAACACATGCGTGAAATGTAACACTTAAACGTTAATACATACATGCATATATATTTGTGTTGTTCTTTTTGTTTTCTTTTTGTTTTCTGAAATACATGTAAATGTTCACATACCCTTTTTAATTCCTGTAAGAAAAACGTGTCAGCGTCGCATGAAATAATTCAAATTTGTGATTCCTTGTCGCCCGTTTACTTTGCGATTAATTTATGTTTCATTTCTTGTCGCCCGTTCAAAATTATATAACTCTAATTTATTTAGAACATTTAAGAAAAGTAGAGGAAGGGCACGTGCATTTTTTAAATAAAATTTGACCATATGACACTTTTCAAAGCATGGCACTAACGTGTTATATTGAAGGTTCAATGATAACCGCCTTATCAACACGTCAAACATATGTTCCTTATCGTCCCTTATCGTCAACCACATCCTATATGACAAGGTTCATAACTCTAGAAGTAATATTGTCAGAATTATCACCACTTGAACTTGAAATTGTCCTTAATTCTTTTTTTAACCCTTACATCTTTATTTCTTAAGGGATCAACTTCAAACTTCATAAATATATGTTTCTTGTCATCAACCACATCATATGTGACAAGCTTTTATAACTCTTGCTACAACATTTCCAAAACAATTTCCCCATGAACTTAGATTTTTTCTTTAAAAAAATGTTATTTTTTACTAAAACATCTTTATTTCTTGAGTTATCTACTGCAAACTTCAAATTTATGCTCCTTATCATCACCCACATGACGTATGACAAAATTTAAAGCTCAAGCACACATTCATTTTAGAACGACCCCTTGAACTTAGAATTTGAATTTATGTTTAAAATGTTATATTTTTACTATCACTTCTTCATTTCTGAAGGTATGTACTTCATATTTCAAGTATTTGTTACTTATTATCAAAAGAAAAAAACGAACGAACATACGTACACCGTGTTTTTATATCTTACCTAAAACACACAAATCTCCAGACTTCACACTGCCATTAAAGTATCCGGGTAGACCTATTGTGTCAGGATGTAACTCACCGACAGAAAATATTTCAAAGTATCTCGACTTTATACTTAAACCACATATGCTTAGATTGCCATCATATGTAAAGGACACCACAGATTTCATCAACAAATTACGTAATATTAAACTACAAAGCAAAAACACATATTTGGTAACACTAGATGTCTCTTCACTTTATACTAATATACCACATACGGATGGAACTGATGCGTGTTTGTATTATTTAAGACAAGGAAATAATAACAGCAGACTTTCGTCAGATGAAATTGTTAAACTTTTGAAACTTATTCTTGAAAATAACTACTTCAAGTTCGGGGATGACTATTTTCTTCAGAAAATGGGTACCGCTATGGGAAGCCCAGTCGCCCCCGCGTACGCAGCACTTTTTATGGGGAAATTCGAAGAGGAGTTTTTGAAAGATAGTCAGCTTAAACCGTCATTGTGGCTTCGTTTTCTAGACGATATTTTTATGCTTTGGGATCATTCTCTTGAAGAACTTAACACATTTATTGACAAAATCAACAATGTTCACCCAAGCATTAAATTCACCCACACCATATCTCAACAATCTGTTTCGTTTCTTGATGTTCAAGTATCAAAAGGAAAATCGTACGAACTTCAAACTAATGTTTATGTAAAGGAAACTAACAACCACCAATATCTTGATTATACATCCTGTCATCCAAAACGGTGTAAAGACGGAATACCCCACAGTCAGGCTAAGCGTTACAGGAGAATTATATCCGACGACGACGTGTTCTCTACTTCACTGAGCAAACTACGAGAATTCTTCATAAGTAGAAATTTCCCTGAGACGGTTATAGATTCAGCGTTTCTTCACGTGTCACAGATGTCACAAGAGGATGCCTTACGGCCACAAGATAAAGAAAAGAAAAACGTTCTTCCATTTATTGTGACATATAATCCGTCCTTACCTAATATTGGAAATACTATTCATAAATATTGGGACCTACTAAATCTGTCAAAAAACGAAGGTGTTAAAAATATTCACAATAACTACACACCCATAATTGCCTATAAACGTCCAAGAAACTTACAAGACTTTTTAGTTAGATCTAGATTTGATACTGACAGTGACTTTACATCACATTCTGGAGGTTGTTGTAGAAAACGCTGTTCTCATTGTGTTCGTATTAATAGTGGTACGTCATTTTACAGTTCAAATACAGGAGAGATATTTGACTTACGTCAACATACTAACTGTCAAACCAAGAATTGTATATATTTGATAACATGTAAAAAATGTAGCATGCAGTATGTTGGTCAAACCAAACAACCTGTGTCTAAACGAATGAATAGCCATAAATTTGATATATGCAATTTTGTAGATCCTGCATTCTCCACTAATGTTGCAAATCATTTTAATAAGGACGATCATAATTTTACCGACTTTTCATTTATGCCCATAGATGTTGTTTACAATACTTTAGATCGTTTGTGCAAAGAAACATTTTGGATTCATAAGCTAAAAACTCATTTTCCAGAAGGAATGAACACAAAGTTGTTATACTCAATTAAATAATTCATAAAATATCAATCCACGCTACAAATGCTAGAATTACGCCACATAGATATTCGTTTTTTCCTATTATCATTTTTTATAATTAAACCCTATAGGAAATATTCGTATTTATTAATCCGATATCTATTGTGTCGTTTTTATATTTTGATGCTTTGTTTGGTGCACTTATCTCTTTTATCATGAATTGGAATTGTTCGTATTTGTTCGTTTTTCCGCTAAAGTGGGCGTGACGTTAATTGTAAAATTACGACGTCACGTCCGTTGATATTATTATTATTTATTTACCTTGAAAAAGGCATACATTTGCCGAAACGTTGGAAAAATAAAAAATGATATTATACGTGTTATTGCTGTGACTTTATTATTTTACTTATTATCACGAATTACTCAAGCAGAATAATTTCCTCTTGAACTTGAAATTTCTTTTATAAATCAGACTTCAAAAATATGTTTGTTATCAAGACCTTTTTCATATGTGATAAGATTTATAACTCTAGCTGCTGTTTTTCCACAATTATCACAATTATATTGTTATTATAAATTTTTTCTATTCTAGACTTAAGACAATTAGTCTTTGGCATTACTCACATCATGCATGACAATGTTCTAGCATCTAAAGTCTAGCATCTTTATTTCAGGAGTTATTTCCTCTGTGAACTTATGATTATACTTTTAAAATTTATATACTTTTTGGCTTCAGATTTCAAATTGTTGACTTTTTTCCATTAGATCATAGAAATGTCTGTTTAACTTTTATTGACATGGCCACATGCAGATTATATGGTGCAAAAATATAGAACATTTGAGTGCTTTCTTGATACTGATGCATAAATATATTTATATAATAACTGCTTTTTTCCATAGTTTTGTCTTCCTTTTCTGTAACCAGTATTTAATTAGCCGAGCGTCGCTGTCTCCCTGTGATATCTCTTGTTTTCTTTCTTTGTCATAGGAAAATATATCAGATAATAGATAAACGTTTGAAATTGTCTTAGCTGCTAGAGATTCGAGCATTGGTAAATGTGTTTTTTTTCTGGCAGGAAGGGAAGAACCAGTAATTTCTTAACATACTCCTTGATTGACATATGTTCCATGTAAACGGACCCTAAATCAATGGACTTGCCGTGCCTCCAAGCGACTTGAAACCAGTGAAAACAACAGCATTGGGAAAAACCTTTTTTAACCTTTTCCCTGATATTTATAAGCGTGTTTTGCCCGCCCCCTTTTTTTTTGAGGCCTCAAACAGTGAAAAAAATGCCCTATTTAGGTCCGAAACACTGTTTTTCGTTTCAGAGATGTTGTTTAAAAAGTGACCACTTTTTCGGCGCGGCCCCCATCAAAATTTTACATCAGGGGGATGCCAGAAGGGGGATGTGATGTGCCCCCTTCTGTTTGAGGGGTTTGAAGGGGAGGTAGTCCCCATCATCGCCAAGAAAATTTTGGACATGTGACAGGCTAAAAATGGCCTCAGGTCGATCTTAAGGTGACGTGTAATCAACGCTGACAAGCATTTTACTCTATCTCATTGCATTGAGAAGTTGCAGCACTTTGAAATCAGTTTTGATGGGGAAAAAAAACAATGCAAAATAGTGATTTTTCGCAATTTTGAGACGTCCCCGCGTTGCCATGGTAACAGGAAATTTAAGATTGAGCATGTTGTTAGATAGGTTATGGTTCAGTCAACATATGTGCCAACCGAAGTTTCATCAGTATTGAAGCATTTTTCATAGTTTTATACCAGTTGGGACTTGTAACAGGATGCTTTTCAGTTAAAACGACCATTTTTCACAATATGCTCATGGGGTAAAAGGTTAATGGCATCCTAGGTGGCTGAAAACAGATGCAGTTTATCATTCGTTTTAAATAATATTAAATATGATAATACTATCCTCTGGGGTCTTTATATTCTGTTGACTACTGCGGAGAGCACATCAGTATGTTTAGGAAATATATATCGATTTGACTGCGTTGTTGTAGAATAATGAATGGTTCGATTTCAAATATAATTATGAAAGTATGATAGGCCAGACTGATTAATTACAATGCATTTGAACAACAAACCGTGCATTATTCATAATACTATTAAAACGCAAGAAAATTAATTTCTATTTCCAGTCAAACATGCTTATAACAAGAAATTTGATAATAATATGTTGAACTGTTCCTGATATCATTTGGTTTATATGACGTGTAGGCATTACTTTTTATATCATGCAAATATCATATGTTATAATGCACTCGACTGTCGTATCTGTGTCACAGGGTAGAATTAATAATAAACTCCTGACGAAGGTTCGTCAATTTAATATAATACGAAGAAAAAGCCTAAAAACATAAATACATGATTATAATACAAGTTAATTAAAACATACATAAAATACAACAATACAACAATTGAACGATGCAAATAAGAATTAATTTCAATTAAATTAATGATATGAAAATATTCTTACCACAGCGTCTCAATACAAAAAGTAAAAAAGTAAATAACTTAATAATAAGTTATTTTCTATGAAAGATTCTATTAAATAAACTTATAGAATCAATGCAGAAGTGCAATTGTTTCTAAACTCGTAAGAGAATAAAGTTGAAAGTGAGCTGGAGAAGGAAAGTTCGTGGGGAAAATGTTAAAAACCAATCTAAAACTTTTTCTCAAAACTCTTTCATGGAACGTACAGCACGATTGGACATACAAAAACAGTTCACAAAATTGCACGAGATACAGACATAGTTGAATTGTTTCACCCGTTTCCGTGAATTTCCGCTAATAAGCGTACATTATGGAACAATCCGATACAATACAATAGCAGACGATAACAGACGCCACGGAGACAAACGATAATCGACGCATGCGCGGACATTAAAGATACTTTTCCCGCGACTAAATGACGAACAGTGCATGGCAAAATGAACAAATAATATAATAAATAAAACGACCCGTGACATATGCATGATAGAGGAATAATGTTTAAAAGGGTGTTGCTATCTTGAAACATTATGTTAAACATGTTTTCCTTTAAAATAATGATACCATTACGTCACACTGTTTGTTTGTTTGTTTGTTAATTGTATGTCTATAGAGATCCCTATAGATCATTTTATATTATTCTGAACATATAACATCAGTAGTACACTTACTTACTATTAAAAGAAATGATATTTCCTTATCAAAACTACTCGCTTCATAATCAAGATATAGGGAGACGCACAGGTCACCACAGATGTCGCGGGTCTTATAGAAAAGTCGATATAATCCTCCATACGACGTCTACTCATTAAAATAAAAGGGAGAGGTAGTTCGAACCGCACAAACACATGTATGGACATCAGTTGTTCGCCCCTAAATTGCGCGTGTACAATCTTTGAACAAAATGTTTTATTAGCAATTCAGTTAATCAATTTATAGAGCATATCAAACTTTTATAGATGTATGTAAAAAGATATTTCTGGGAACCGTTTCAAGGGTAAATAAATACAATTCTTTTTAATTAGGTTTATTCTGCAAGTGCTCTTTCAAAGCTTCATATATCTTCAGACAGTAATATATTAATAACATAATAACAAGTTGTGAGGTAAATACCTAAAAACTATTGTAGCTATAAATTGGTTAGCTCAATAGGTAGAGCGTTGGATTGTGAATCGGGCGACCCGGGTTCGATTCCCGGACGGCGCAGGTCACTTTCGTTGTGATTGATCATGAAATCCTTTCTACGGTCATTCGCACTGTACCTCTGCTCTGGCATGTACGGAAGCTTCAGTTCCTTGCGAAAGTGAAGGCAACTAGTACTGGTAAACTGCTTGACAGCCTGCCCAGGAACGATGCGGTGGTTGAACTGTGTGTTTTGGTGAATTCAATGTGGCTTACCGTCGTGATCCGGAGTGAAAACTATAAACACCACCACCACTAGCTATATATTGGTACTCGCATGATTGCACAAAAATCATTATTGAAATATACATGCAATTCATTTCTTTGAAAGGGGGATAATAAATCCCTTAAAGTTGTATAGCAGCGGGATGATTACACTATCATAATACTAATAAAACTATGAGAACGTATATACGTTACAGACAAAAAGTAAAAGCTTAAATGTGCCGTCCATGAACTAACGTTTAGTAGTACGAAAGAGATAATGTTGCTTTCTTGTGGCAAACATGATGGGACGTTGATCATCTACACAAAGATCACCCAAGAATAAGTCATTGACATTAATGTAATCATATTGCACTTTAAAACAAAGGTGAGTCGGATTCTTCGGTCTCATTCTCACGCATTGACGGTTGGCTGTTCTCTGGAGGCTGTTTGCTTAGGTAGTGTTTGAACGCTGACCTTTGTAACTCATACCTGCAAGTATGTCATGTGGTGAAGGTAAGATGTCAACATGATTGTGTTGCCTGGTATCTGACTTCACCTAATGGCGACAAGCTAGTTTATTAGGCTTATATTAGTCTCAGGTGCAATATGAAAAACCCTGTACGTCAATGCTCCAGAGTGGGTTATGTACAGTATTGGAAGAAGAAGAAGAAGATGAAAAAGATATAATAAAGAAATATGCTCAGAATTAAATTGAACGTCAATATTTATGTCATTGGTCTTTGTTAAATACTTTATACCTCGTACTTGTACATATTTCACGCCCATACCCCTATTTTCTTTAATTTATTTATTCATTACATTATTCAATCACGTACTTGTTACTGTACTTATCACGTAATCATTTTATCTGTAACACATTAACGGCCTAATTCACTTCATATTTGAATTCTGTCACGAGAAAAGAGAATCTTAGCGAGAGCTGCGTTTGAAATCTTCTCTGAATCCTTTTTTTTCAATAAGTGTGTTCAAATCATATTATTACATGTTCCTCTCCGAACGCCCAATCATTCTTAGAGGAAATTCACTTATATATCCATGACATTTTGTATGATGATTTCTAAAACTAATTATTCTGGAAAACCGAGGTGGGCGAATAATCTGAAATTTGCACACAAGTTATAAATGCTATATACCTTCATTAAATGGTATAAAAATCTCGAAAAATATCTATATTCCGATCATGACAAAAAACTTAGAGGAAATTTAAGTTGGAGTTCTAAGTGGGGGGTTAAACTTGCATTCCCTACGTGGATTAGTAGTCGTAAGGTCTATAATAATAATAATAATAAACTCTTTATTTAACGAGAGTAGTTTCTTCAGAAAATAGAGCTATATCATTTAAGCATCAAAGGTAATTCAGAAAATAGAGCTATATCATTTAAGCATCAAAGGTAATTGAAGGGGTCAGTGCAAGATGGTACCTAACGTTATTTAACATTATCTTGAGAAAAAGGTCATTTTATGAATTTTTAGTTTTAATTGAAATATATTAAAATTAATTCACTAATAAGTAATATGTTATTAATAAAAAACATTTGAAGATAAAGTTATATGTTTTACACAATTTTTAACCATTTTATTTAAAGAAAAGTTATATTTAGCAATTGTGCTTATACAAAAACGGTTCGAAATCCTATGGAGTTAGGACCTTTGTAACTTTTAAAACAATTGCATAAAGTATTTGAGCTTAAAGTTTACATATCTTTCAACTTTTCAATCAACTAAAATGATACCATATAACCCCTAATGTATTTGCAGATTAATATTAAGCTTAAAAAACTTAAGGCGTATCAAACAAATCATCAATTGTATAGTTTGTATTTGTTACACATTCTTCAGTTGATAAATTGATGAATATCTGATTGATAGATTAATTAATTAATTAATTAATTGATTAATTGACTGACTACAGGAAACAAAAACAAATGAGTTTAAAACATATATATTCTTTATAGAAAGAAACAAAACTTTAACATTCAAGCCAGTTCAAATATAAAGAAACCTACCTGACGAATAAATGTTTTGTTTTCAATAATTCAGAATATATATTTCAAAAAAATTGCGTAAAGGAACTGTCACAAACGTATTTTCACTAGACGACTGCATTAAAATAACCAAAGTTACAAATATTATAAAATACATCAGCTTTAGCTGTACTGAGTATAGTTTCAATATCTCGAAAAATCAAACAAAATGTACCAGAACATGCCTTTGTCGCTAAAATGTAAAATATTTATACAATTAACACAAACTACATATTAAAGCATCCTAAATGCTCAAATTTAAACATTTCCTCTTAAACAATGAATTTTATGGTGATATACATGTATAGAAAATATCTAAACAATATCTTTAAGACTTAAATGTCTTCATGCAAAATTTTAAAAAGGGATAAATATGGTATATGTGCAACAAAGGTTCTATCTCCATGAACACAAAATTCACATAATAATATTTGTAATAATTTTCACACAAATGAACATTTCTGCAAATTATTTTGACAAGACATAGAAAAAACATTGTTGTTGTAAATTTTCATGCACATATTGACATAAAATCAAAATATAATCACATTTTCATATAATTTCTTCGCCTCAAAACAAGAAAACATGGATAGAATTAATGTAACAAAGGTACCAACTCCACCTCTGGAGTTAGGACCTTTGTTAAGTTCCTCCAAGAACCATTTTCACCTTAAAAACAAAGATGTGAGTAACAAAGGGAGGTTATTCTAATTCCAAATAACGTTCTTTAAATCACAAAGGTCCTAACTCAATTTTACCCTAAATTGGAGTTAGGTACCTTGTTGCACTGACCCCTTTTCGTTGCTTCCTTTTCCAAATTTAACATTGGCCGTGTTGATAGCCGAAGTAGTGGTACTCTACCTTTATAGATACTCTCCTCAAAATAAAACACAAAGAGTCAAGACTGACACCTCGCCTTGCGCTAGCGATTTTCTAAAAACTTTAACTCAGTAAGTAAACTTTGTTGCACGATATATGTTATAAAAGAACAGCTATTTCTCTCTATAGATCATTTTCTTCTTATATTACGTTTGTTTTGTTTCGCATTTCTTCTTATATGTTATGAATTTTGACGTGACAAAAGTTCGAACGATGCCACGCGTTTCCATGCTTTCAGCCGTTGTGCAAACGGTGCAAGAGTTCGTTAGAGCATTTGGCATTTGTTTACAGTACAGACTTGTTTGATTCTCTTGTTGTCTACAAATGGTATTATTTTATAATGAGTTCAGGAGGACTTTAGTAATTTAGATGACATCCTATTAGAAAGTATTTCTAAGAAAGTGATGCATGTGACAAGTCCTGAATTTGGATGAAGTTTATTTCTTAGAAATTTGTTTGTTAAAGATTGTTTGCAATCCGTTCATTTGATTCGTGGGTTATAAGATAAGATTGGCTCATTAAGATTATTTTACATTGGCACCTACCATGCTAAATAATATGAAAAAGGCAAAGCCTCAAAGCGAGCTCGATGTACTTTTAACGTGAAATAGTATGAAATAATCGCTCATTTTTTATTTCAAATGCAGTGACGAGTGCGTGTGACGTCACACGTACATTGTTAAATATGGCTCCGCCCCTGTCGTTAAATGAATAACGAGTTTTGAAAACGTTGATAAAACTTTGTTTGTTTATTTTATTTTACTCTATAATTTTTCAAGCGAACTAAAGATTATTAAAAGTGAAATAAATGTAAAACTTAAATCGTTTGCGACATTTAAATAGCGTACTTGATTTGATTGTTTTGCACGTGCTGCTTGGCGCTACATTGTGACGTCCCGTAAACAATACTTTAAACGTCTGTACAGCATTAACGACTGAATAAAAGATAATGGTGTTCGGATTCATTTTCTTAGTTAGACCATTTTCTTTCATTCTAGATAGTTTTCACAACAAAATTCGACCAAAAAATGTTTTTATTTATCAGATTTTTCAAACAAAATGGCGCCTTCAATTTTCATTTTACATTTTCCGTTTTAAAACTGTCATTCGATATTTTATACACAGCTTCCGTTATTCTGGTTCCCTGTCCAATTATGGTTACCATAGACGTGAGCGGGTGACCAGTCTACACATCCGTTTTCAGTCAGAATTCCTCAGTTTTTATCCTTATCTTTAAATTCGAAAAGTTGCGATGTGTCCAATTCGGTACTTCGGACGAAAGTTTTCAAAACCATCACTTAGCAGGTACTCGTGTTACCGTAAAGCTCGCTTTGCGAGCAGGCCCTTCGGGCCAGCTCGTCGAGCTCGCTAATAAATGATTAATTAGGGTATCTTCACTGCTTTTTAAATGGGTCTAATATTTCGTGATTTTTATAGACCTGGCATCCATAAAAGTTGAGATTTTTTTTGAGAGATTTTTAATACTTAGGGATATAAAAGCGGATAGGGTATAATTTTGTTGTTGGTCAGGTCTAGGATTTCATGATATTTACGGACTGTCCGTAAATTCATAGATTGTCAAGAAATTTAAAGATTTTTCAATCCATAAATTTAAAGATATTCAATGTGAAATTTGCTGTTTTTAGTTTTAAACTAAAATCCGCAGCTTAAGACAAGTTGTTTTATTGATTGTTTATATTTACAAAGGTAATGGGGTGAGTTTCATCTTTGTATGATGATTTTGAAATTTTTGTTAAAAGTGAAAATTGAAAGTCATCAAATTGTTCTGAATCTTACCATACTGTTACATTTATTCATATATAATAAGTAACCTTATCCATTTTTACCTGCGGTTTTGAATTTTAATGCAACTTCTACTATTTTCTTATTTCATGTCTGTAAATGTACAGATTAAAAAATCTGTAAAATTATGGATCGTCCAAAAAATTACAGACTGTCCATAAATATCATGAAATCCTAGACCTGTTGGTAGCAGTGTAGATAAGAGAAATAAATCCTGCAGCTTAAAATAAGAATTGAACTGTCTTAAATGATGAATTTGTGGCTTCAGCTCAAATGACTTTAATAATAAATAATAAATGTCTGGTATAAATATCCTTGCAAGGACTCTACACAAGTTTTAACTGAAGCTCGATTGAAAAATTTTATTCAATCAAAAATGCGTAAATGAACAGGTGTAAATTTTCTTACCTACAATCCATTTGATGATAAAATTACTTTTTAATATTAAATGTTGATGTAATAAATTTATCAAACACTTACAATCAAGCAAAAAATATTCTTATTATGATGTATGACTTTACTCAAGATTTTGAAACATATGCCGATAAGATAGGACAGAAAATAACCATGGTAACATTTAGTGGTGTGAACACCGTCATATGATGAATTGAATTTCACAAATTGATGTGTTTACGTCCAGCTGAGAAAGACGGTCATGGTTGACATGTTCTGTTCAGATGCTCAGTTCTTTGAATGGTCGTTTTAAGAAGTAATTGAAAGTTTTTGAACTTTCAAATATTAAATTTATGAAACAAATGCTCAAATTGTATGTCCGAGATTATTTTTTGGCTTATTTCAGTGTTTTATCTAGAATTTCAAAATTATGGGGGATTGTCCCCCCACTCAACTGAAAAATGTGGGGGATTTGAAAAAAATGTGGGGGACTATTACCTTACAATATGATTTACCGAAAAGAATTCATTTAATTTACGCTCCGTCATTTTTAATAGCTATAGCCTGCTCAAAAACGGAAATACAAAAATAAAATATTGACGAATACTACAAAACACACGCGAGATGACCCAGTCAGCTGCTACACGCGATTTAGTACGTATTTTGGTCATAACCACTAGTGAAAACAAACATGTTCAAGATGCAAATTACAATGAAAATAAAATGAATTAAGTTGAAAAGATCGTCAGATGGGCGACTTGGCGCGCATTGACTTCATTATAATGCATGTTCTGCATAAAATATGCGCAAATAGCACAATCACGCGGCCTAGATGCAACACTATTATTTTATAACAGATATTCAGTCATATTCCCAATTGAAAATAGTATATTATTTTCCCAATCCACAGGAAAAGATTCCCTAAAGAAAGTTTCAAAATAAAAAAATATTGAATAAAAAATTCTGAAGTCAATGAGAATAAGGGCTTCTTCACTATTATAGCTTAGATGTTTGAAGATGCCATCCTAGACAGTGATTGCATTCATTTAATCACTGCAAAATTTCAGTATTGCATTTTTCCAAATTTTTAACAAAGCTTCACTGAAATTCCCAATTCATTGGGTATGGGTCATTTTCCCAAAACCCTGGGAAGAATCCTGTATGTGTGTTTGAGCAATATTTCAAAATAATAGTTAAGAATCAACAAGAATAAAAGTATTTATAACTGTTTTCAGCACTTATCTATATAAAAAAAGTCAAATCTGTTAAGTTTTCCAGAGATGTAGATAACGGAGATAAGTAGCTCCTGTATACTCCATTGAAATATCCTTCATGCCTATCAAAAAATGAAAAATTAGGCATTTTTGTAGCAAGTAAAACTTAATGGATGTACATTTTATCCCTTTATAATAAAGTATACGCCATTTTAGAGTTAAATCTTCTATCTATTGCTGCATGTTAAAATATTGGTAACTTTCTATGCCTTTCACTTAAAATTTTTTTAGCAGAGCATACCTAGTAACCTTCTGTCCTGAGCCAGTTTTTTCATCATATGCATAGTTATGTAACAAACGTTAAGTAGTTCTTTTCAAAAATTGATTAATCATTTAAATAAAAACTGTAAATGTTTTTACCTGCAGCCATAGACAAATGTATAAGCTTTCAAAAAATGTATTATTTTACTGATCAATAAGTTTTACTTGCTTTAGAAAGCATGCATGATATCTTTACTGGTTAGGAAGTTGCCTAGCTCTGTTATCTATGTCTCAGGGTTTTCACATATTGAAAAAAGTTTGATCTTTCTGGCAGCTATAGTATTCATAATTGGTAATTTTTTTGTGCCCCCACCTTAGTGGCAGGCATTTAGATTTACCCATGTCCGTCCTTCCGTTCGTCCGTTCTCTTTTGTGTCGCAAGTAACTGAAGAAGTATTTGACCTAGAGTCATGAAACTTACCAGGAATGTTGATCAGCATGTGTAGTTGTGCACCTGGGTATTTTCGCCTGGATTTATTTAGTATTCTTAGAGTTATTGCCCTTGACTTAGAAATATTTTGCAATTTTCAACTTGTGTCGCATGTAACTCAAAAAGGATTTGACATAGAGTCATTAAACCTTACGGGAAGGTTGCTCAGCATATGTAGTTGTGCACCTGGGGTTTCGCTTGTGGATTTATCGAGTATTTGTAGAGTTATTTTCCTTGACTTAGTAAAAACCGTTTCATTTCCTTGAGTGCTTGTGTTAGAATCACCAACTTTACAGGAATAATGATCAACATCACTGTGAAGCTAATTAGCTATGCACCTGGGACTTTGCATGTGGATTTTTTTAGTTTTGTTAGAGTTATTGCCCTTGACTTACAGTAGTATAAATTTGCAATTTCCAACTTGTTCATGCATATCTCTAAAAGTATTTGACTTGTAGGCCTGAAAGTTTACAAGAATGTTGGTCAGCATGTGTACTTATGCACCTTGGGGTTTGCTTGTGGATTTATTCAGTATTTGCAAAGTTCTTGCCCTTTACTTAGTAAAATTTTTAGTTTTCAACTTGTGGCACACATAGTCCAAAAAATATTTGACCTAGAGTCATAAGATTGACAGAACAGTGGCGTGTGGGGGCACCCGTGTCCTATGGACACATTTCTAGTTAAAAATGAGGTTATTTTGTATGGGAATTCAGTGTTTTTTTTTTTAAATTTTCAAAACAACCTGTGGCTTTCTGAAGGGGAAAATATAGCCCGATAAATCAGAAAAGGAAGAAATCAAATTATGGAATTTACCCACACATTTTTGTAAAATTTTCAATTTCAATTCAATTTAACATGCATCAGGACTCGAGCTAGTGGGCGATTCGGGCGAAATAGTCGCCGAATTCCGTCTGACTTCGCCGACATCCTACATGAAAGCGAAGATGAAGTCGCCTGATTTTATTGATCCATTATTGAAAATTACCAACAATAACAATAACTGTGAATAACATGTTGTGTGTGTTTGCTTTGTTTACCCTCGCCGCCGGAAAAAGGGACTGTCATGCATCTCAATCAACGCGAAATGTCATTAATCCGTTTGTTTACCAACATGTCATAAAAGTCTAATTAACAGACACTCGAAGAACAATTAGACTTCGCCCACGGCGAGATTACTGATACGTGCGAGAAACCAATCGTAATTCACGTTTTAATCGAGGCGACATTATTAAACCAATCGTTAAATCGCTAACATACAACTACCCGTAACAATTATTTATGATGGACGGATCAAACGTCAATTAAATTTTCATTATCGAATGATTGTCAGAATTAAGATGACCGCTCGACATATAACTGTAATGGTAATTTTAAATGAAAGTTATGATAACCTTTTTTGTCGACTAGTTAAATTTGATAAAATTGACGGCATATTACACTGTATTTATTACAAATGAAGTTAAATTAAAGATCGTTTCTTTCGTTATCTACTTTCATTTTCTTTACAACATAAGTGAATATGAATATAATGTCCGGCGCAAGCTTTTTAATAGTAAATCAGAAGGGAATAACTGTTAATCCACCCATGATATGATCCATGATAGGAATCAACTATGGCTTTTTTATCTTCATTTAATGCAATGATTGCATTACATGATACTCATTCTTATTACTTGTTTCAAACTACTTTTAAATTAAAATTGAATATTCTGTTGTAACACAAATCCAATTCATTTAACAAGATATGTACAGTGAGTCAACATAATTGCGATAACATACAACAAACATCGATAAATGAATCTCCTCACTTCTCCCTAAAGCAGCTGGAGGGAGAAGTGACTTCTCCCTAAATTTTGAACCTAGCTTGAGCCCTGTGCATTGTACATAGCCGAGGCTATCTATAGGGACAGCATTCTGTCTTTTAGCTGCTGTTAAAGTTGTTCTGGTGAAGAATGTGCACAAGGCATTTAAGGGGAAGATATTAGCATTTTTAGGGGGAAATATACCTATTTTAGGCTAGGGGAAACAGCCTTTATTCGGCTGTAAAATTAAGGAAAAAAAATCACTGGAATTAGGGTCTTATATCAACCCCATGTGATACTGAGAAAATGCCTTGGTTAATTATTATTGACAAGTTTTGTTTGAGTACTTCTCTAACTCAAGATCTAAGTATAGGTTAGAGTGCATATTGGGTGTTCTTCGTAAATAAGAAAGCTAAAAAGGAGCGGAGCTTGCGAAGCGACTGTAGCTTTCTTATTTACGAAGAACATCCAATATGCACTCTAACCGGCTTAGTGCTCCGCCCATTTTTTCCGCCCAACACACTGCGCGACGTCACACGATAGCCTAAATGTGTATAACCAAATTTGGAAGAGGTAGCGGTACACATGTTTTGCATAGCTTATTCCCGCATTCTGTCTAGGTAAATCAGACAATATCAAGGTGCATATCCATATCAGTACCCTCTTTGCTAAATATTCTCAAACGGTACCCTCTTTGAACATACACAGGTCATTCTCTGCTAAAAACAAACCAGCGATGGATAACAATGCAGTAAAAATTCATTGTACATTGTAATAAGGAAAGGAGGTATGACACGTAGAAAAGATGTATACCACGGAACACTAGAATGTTTTATTTATGTGCTGATTTGTCATGTGCCCGATTTTCATGTACTGCAACTTCACAATAAGCTACAACAATAAGCTACAAAAAGTCGACATGTCTTGCCTCGCTCGTCACCTAGACATATTTTTCGGGCTGAAATGATCCTGTAGCTTGATTATATATGCAGCATACATATTTATTATGTTTATATACACATCATCTTCGGACAAATGGCAGTATATTGTCAAAAATAAATGTAAAATTAATAAAAACACCCTTCTTTCGGTTTTGCAGCGGCACGGGCTGTAATATTTACATAAAAAGTAAGAAATATAACATACATACTTTGTTGGAATAAGTGAACTTTTTATTTGGAAATTATAAAATGATACTGGTTCGTAAGTAATAAAACATTTTAACTGTTATTTTGCCTGTTTTCATTTCAATGAACCTCTTTTTTTAATTCTATGCCGTAGTGACGATATACATGTGCGTGTACGGAAAAAACATGATGCATAAATATTGATTAGTAGGAGTAAACTTCAAGATCTCTGCACATGCGTATATTTCACTTTAGCGCTCTTCGAAACTTAGCTCCGCCCACTTGCGTTTTATAATATAAAACGTCCAGTTTATATAAAATCTGTTCTATTAAGATTTGAAACCTGAAAATTTGAAAAATCCTCGTCGGTGATTGGCTTAAAAAAATTGGCGAGCACTAATGTTCCTTTTCATCTTTTATTGTCATTTTAGGACAGAAATCCCACCATGTCACAGAAGTTGCCTGCAGATTCTGTGAAAGAAATGGGACCAGGTAAATATAAATATGCACCTTTAAAACCTTGGCAGCAATTATTAAATGAATAAGTATTGTTGGTAAACATTAAGATTTTAAAACCATGTAATCTATTGTTAATGATAAACAAGTCTAGCTTTACATTAAAAAAATTTCTTTATTTTATTCAGTTATGACGAATGGCAGTTCTATTTAGTGGTTTTAAGTTCAGATTTAAATAGGGTCTGCTCTTATTAAGCAAGGCAGGATAATCATTGCATTTAAACAACTAGCTATTAGTGGCCAGGTAAAATCTACAGTAACATCAGAGACATAGATAACGTTATGTTATCTATGTCTCTGGTAACATGTTATGACTCGCATCACTTTTTTGGTAAATTTCAATTACCTCAATTTCTTGTTAGTATTTATTTACCTGCCAATTTTAAGAATTAACCTAGCTGCTTTCAAGTACAAAAAACAACAAAAAACAAAACAAAAACGCCTGCCAATCAAAATAATTTGACAGTGTATTCACACTGGGGTTTGTGTTATGCCTAACATGTTTTCTTAGATTGCATAAAAAAATTACAATAATTTCTTTGAAGGAAACGGTTTATTTGCACTAAAAACATAAATTTTATCGTAACAGATGATGTCACCAAACCAGCCATCCGCAATGCGGTTTGGAAGTACATCGAAGAATGCGACCTAGCCGACTTTCCTCGGCCGGTCAATAGGAGGATACCCAATGTTAAGGTGAGTTATCTTTCCTGTTTCGATGTGAGTTGTCTGTACTGGTCTAAAGAGTTCTCGGACCTGTTTTTAGTAGAATTTAATGAAAATGCTAATCTTGTTTTCTGATTTGAGTGATCTTTCCTTTAATTTTTAGAGTTGTCTATCTTAGTTTACCTATAGCTACTGGTATGCTTGTCTGATAAAAGGTGTCTATCCTAAATTGGCTGACTTTCAATTTTCATATTTACCCCCAAAGTTAATAAGTTGATTCCAAAAATGGAAGCTGGACAAGTTTGTTTATTTAACAAGTGCAACAGGCTTTTAGCTAAATAGGAAGTGTTATATTATTGTTTCAGGGTGCTGCCACTGCGGCAGAACTTATACCTACAATGCAGGAATTCAAGAAAGCCCAGGTGATCAAGATTAATCCAGATAAGCCCCAGGAACAGGCTCGATTCTTGACCCTCGATGTAAGTAACATTTTTAGCTCGACTTTTCTATGAAAAGGGGAGCTATCCTACTCGCCCCGGCGTCGGCGTCACACCTTGGTTAAGTTTTTCGTACCACCCCACTTTATTTCAGAAGTATTACAAGTATGGCTTTGAAACTTACCATACTTGTTCACCATCATAACCTCCATCTACAGACAAGAGTACATAACTCTGTCAAGGTTTTTGACAGAATTATGGCCCTTTTTTGACTTAGAAAGTGTATTGAGCTTGGTTAAGTTTTTTGTACCACCTCACTTTATTTCAAAACCATTGGAGGTATTGCTTTGAAACTGACCATACTTGTTTACCATCACGACCTTCATCAACAGACAAGAGGACATAACTCTGTCAAGGTTTTTGACAGAATTATGCCCCTTTTTGACTTAGAAAATACATTGAATATGGGTAAAATCCACTTATTGCCTTAACCCTTTGAGATATTGCTTTGAAACTTTTAATGCTATTTCACATCATTACCCCCATCTGTACGCAAGAGAAGGTAACTCTGTCAAGGATTTGTTTTAAAATTAAGGCCTTTTATCGACTTAGAATCTTGGTTAAGTTTTTAGTACCAGTCCACTTTTTGACTGAACTGTTTGAGATATTAATTTGAAAGTTGGAATACTTGTTTACAATCATGATTCCCAAACATGTCCAGGAGAAGGTAATTCTGTCAAAGATTTTATTTGAATTATGGCCCTTAACTGTCAATGTTTTGTATTATAGGCAAGCACTAAAAAACTTAAAAAATCTATCAAATCTATATATTATGCTGATTGTACAAAAATATACTGCTTCCTTGGCATAGATTTCTTGAAAAATTATGTTATTATGTCATTTACCAAGGTGTTCTGAGTGACGTAAAAATACCTTATTCTCTCAAAGTGGGTTTAATACTATTAAATTTATTTAAGGCTCAACTCAGTTTTTTTTTTCTTTCTTACCAGCCCTCTTTTGACTTAAACATTTCAAACTTTGCTGCAGTGTTCAAGGGTATCACACAATTCAGTAAAATAATTCTTCACTAAATATCTTAATGCTCATGGCCATTGTTCACTTTAAAAATACAGAGATTCTTGTATTGCCTTTTACTGCAAAAACTTTTTTTATTGGCAAGCAATAAAAAAGTCGAGCGCGCTGTCTTACGGACAGCTCTTGTAAACCTGCTTCTAGTTTATAGTGCAAGTGGTAGGTGGTAGATTGTGCACTGATGGTAAATTTATACCAAAGGTTGTGTTGTGAATTGAAATATTGTAAACATGAAACTCTGAGACATGATTGTTAATTAACTTTAAGTTGTCTGGTGGCATCAACTGAATGAATCTATTCCACGAGTGCAGACCAAGATCAGCTGGTATATCTGTACAGTCTGATTATGACCCGCACTATTGGCTGTACTTATTTTGAAATTTTCCCTTTTTCCTAAAAATGATAAATGATTTTGTCCAGATTAAAAGATTGGCAAGTCCATTTAAAATATCTAGCATAGTAAGGATTCAGGAGGGATTTGTTTTATTGTAGCATACATTGAAATATTAAATAGTAACACAGTGTTTGTTTCTGTTTAAAGTCTCCTTTTTTTTGCCTCTGGGCATATAGTAATTTCTCCTATCTTTACTTTAAACCGACAGTGATTTTCCATAAAATCTGAGCATAGTGTGAATGTCTTGTAATAGATGAATAGATGAAACCAAACTAAATGATGTATATATGTTAACATAACCTCTGACCTTTTACAGGCTGGTAAGACCTTATTGGTTCCAACACCACGTCTCAGATCTGGGCTATTCAACAAGATTACCCCACCCACTGGGGCTACAAAGGACATCTTGAGGATATGCTCGACTTCTCAGGTATATATGTCTAATGTGTTTCTTATATGTTACAGATAACAGAATGTTCTATATTATATATATACAGGTGAAAAGCATTACATGTCACTGAAAATTTTATGGTCTCTTTGGTATATATTGTGTGTATGTTGAATAATTAAAAAAGGATTTCTAATCTGTGTGAAATGAATTCCAGGTTCATGATTGAAAATAAAGTAAATTTTCTGTATGTTTTTCTGCTAATTGATGGGGGATAAAAGGAAGCTTTAAAAATGTTCTTCCCTAGCTTGCTACTTGCCTAATAATATCACTTTGATATAGAATACTACAAAATACTATAATACTACATATGGTAACCATGGTAACGGTATAGCAATATATTAACAGGGTGTACGAGAGTACAGCTCTACCTTGAGTCTCGATGATAAAATGCAAGTGGATTTGGTCATCATAGGATCTGTTGCTGTCTCCAAGACAGGTATTCATTGTCATTTATGCACTAGTCACTTGTAACCCTAGAAACCCTCTCCCCATCTTAGGGAAGTGCAGTGAATAGTGGTGAAAATGAGCAGCGTTTTAAACATCGATTGTACACTATTTAGTTAGTGTGATGTTTTTTCAGGGCAAAAAAGTAGCCAGGAGATTTTATAACTGAAATTTTACAATTTGACAACATTGTAGGGAGGAACCTTTACCAAGGGTTGGAAACTTCAAACCTTGGGGCCAGCATTATTCCTCAAGGGATAGGGAGTGGGTGTCACATTTCAATTGACTAGTGTATAGTCTGTTTGACAATCACAACTGCAGCTTTACTTTCTATGCTTATAACTAGCTTGAAACTTCTCCTCGAGTGATACCAGAATTTATAGGGAACATTATTTGAATATATAGGGAATACTTAGGGGAAATTTCAAGCTGTTTTTCCTTTAATACACCTTTACAGGTTCAGCGGTATCTTTGCATAGCAAACCAGCCATTTTCATTTTTTCTTATGGAAAATCTGTGTAAATTGTGTACAATTTTTGTCATTCGCTCTTAGATAAGTTTAGATACGCTCCTAGAGAGTTTAGTGTACTGTATATAAACAGCAAAATTGAATGCTGATATATTTAATAGTATGAAAAAAGGAAAAGTTATGGTTTGAAATGCAAAGAACCCTGATACACGGTATACATGAGCAGTGTGTGATAAGTTATGATATAAAAACAGCTGGGTGTGATATGTTAACAGGGAGTTGGAGAGTATGGCCGACCAGTTGGTTTAGATGACAAACTTCATGTTGATATGGTGGTTGTTGGGTCTGTGGCTATGTCAAGATCAGGTACATAGATCCATCATGATTACTTTGCCGTTTTAATTCTGCCTATTATGGGGTAAAAGGTATGCCAGAAATATTTTGCGTGGCAAAATTTGTCGACTTACTGTTAAAGGTCACAGATAAAACAGATTTCGTGGAAACAGTTGTCTTGATATTTATTGGTGAAACTGTGAATGAAATATAGCTTTATGATACTTAATATTGGTGCTAGGGAAAATAAACAAGACATTTTGAAAGGTTACCTTTGCAATACATAATAGAAACATATAACCAGTTTCTAGCTTGTTTTAAAGAAAAGTGTGCAACTTTTCTGCTATAGATTTGTTAGTTTTTACTTTGTTTAGCAGAAAAATTATGGTAGGATTCTTTCATGTGAAGAATGCATAAATCTTTCTGTAACAGTATTGCTAGAAAGTCGCTGTTTGACCTTTACAACGTTCCAGTGCCTGAAAAATCAACAAAACAAATTTTAACTTGCAGTCCAGTATAAGGGTTTTTGTAAAGGCTCTTGTTAGCACCCTTGGCAGGCTAAGTGTTGGATTATTTTGCTAAAATGCTTTTCTGAAATGTTCCATATACTAATATGCTTTACTCACCTTCTTTGTAATCTTTTATTTTTGTTCTTTTTCCTTTGCTTCTTCATCATTTATATCTCTATAGTATCTTAAGTTCTTAACATTTGATTTTCATTATACTGAGTTTATTAAACAGGAAAAACATTGTTTTAGAAAAAAACAAAAAAAAACATTCATGAAGGATATTTTTATTCTACAATTGCTGCCTTTTCATTTTGATATTGGCATGTTTGCCTTCTACCTTTTATTTGGCTTGAAAATTATTATAAACTGTTTTAAGATGATCAAGTATTAAATGAAAATTTAGGTTGATAATTTTACTAGCATTTTTTTTTTAATGAAAAACTTTTACAACTTTTATGTCATGAAATGTTAAGATATTTATATAAAAGGGGTTTTCATAAGGTTTATTATTACAGGACTTCGTATTGGTAAGGGTGAAGGATTTGCCGACCTAGAGTGGGCTATGATGTCATCAATGGGAGCAGTTACCCAGGATACTGTCGTCATAACAACTGTGCATGAATGTCAGGTCAGTTATACATAGCATGAATGTCAGAAAAGTCTTATTTGAATGTAGTGTTAGACAGATCTTTCTATTTAAATGTCAGGAAAGTTATGCTATTGGGATGTAATGGAAACTTTTCTATTTAAATAACATGAAATTTTGTAATTTCAGGAAAGTCTTGCTTTATGAATGTCAGGAAAGTCTTGCTTTATGAATGTCAGGAAAGTCTTGCTAAAGTCTTGCTATTAAAATGTCATAAAAATCTTGCTATTAAAATGTCAGGAAAGCCCTGCATTTTGAATGTCAAGAAAGTTATATACTTATGAAAAGGAAGTCGTGCTACTAGAATGTCAGGAACTTCTTTAATTTGGAAAATTAAAAACGAAATTTTCTTGCAAGGCCATTTTTTCCAGTTTTGTGAAAGCAACACAGGGAACATCCATTAATATTACCAATATTGCCACAAGAAGCAGTAAAGATTTTTATGCCCCCGCCATGTAATGGCCGGGGCATATAGTGTTACCCTGTTCCGTCATTCCGTCCTTCTGTCCTTCCGTCCTTCCATCCTTCCGTCCTTCCGTCATTCTGTCATTCCGTCATCATCAGTTTCCGTTCATTATCTTAAGAACGGTTGCACACATTCAACTCAAATTTGACGTATGGATATGTCATGAGAAAATACAGGTCAAGTTCGAATTTGGTCATGGTTCGATGATTTTTGGCAGAGTTATGTCCCTTTTACTTTGAAAATAATATGAAATTTCAGTTTCCGTTCATTATCTCCCCAACGGTACAACACATTCAACTCAAACTTGACATATGGATATGTCATGAGAAAATACAGGTCAAGTTCGAATTTGGTCATGGTTCGATGATTTTTGGCAGAGTTATGCCCCTTTTACTTTGAAAATAATATAAAATTTTCAGTTTCTGTTCATTATCTCCCCAACCGTACAACACATTCAACTCAAACTTGACATATGGATATGTCATGAGAAAATACAGGTCAAGTTCGAATTTGGTCATGGTTCGATGATTTTTGGCAGAGTTATGCCCCTTTTACTTTGAAAATAATATGAAATTTTCAGTTTCCGTTCATTATCTCCCCAAAGGTACAACACATTCAACTCAAACTTGACATATGGATACGTCAAAGGAATGCGCAGGTTAGTTTAAATTTGGTCATGGTTCAATGATTTTTGGCAGAGTTATGCCCCTTTTACTTTGAAAATAATATAAAATTTTCAGTTTCTGTTCATTATCTCCCCAACCGTACAACACATTCAACTCAAACTTGACATATGGATATGTCATGAGAAAATACAGGTCAAGTTCCAATTTAGTCATGGTTCAATGATTTTTGGCAGAGTTATGCCCCTTTCACTTTGAAAATAATATGAAATTTTCAGTTTCCGTTCATTATCTCCCCAATGGTACAACACATTCAACTCAAATTTGACATATGGATATGTTTTTGGAATGCCCAGGCCAAGTTTGAGTTTGGTCATGGTTCAATGGTTTTTGGCAGAGTAATGCCCCTTTCACTTTGAAAATAATATGAAATTTACAGTTTCTGTTCATTACCTACCCAACAGTGTTACATATTCAACTTAAATTTGACATATGGATATGTCAAAGGAATGGGCAGGTCAAGTTGGAATATGGTCATGGTTTGATGATTTTTTGGCAGAGTTATGTCCCTTTCACTTTGAAAATAATATAGATACATCTTACGAATAAGCAGTTTAAGTTTGAATTTGGTTGTAGTTCAATGATTTAAGACAAACTTATCATTCCTGAATGTTGGAAAAATTTTGAACTTTCAGTTTCAGCACTCTTACTTTTAGCCATTATTTTGGCTACAAATATGCAATATGCTATTTTTAAAAGGTTTAGACTGAATAGTTTCAATGCCTTGAACATTTTATGAAAATGGTTTGTGTTAACATTGAAAAGTTTTAAGGACTTTAAACTTAAAATGAAAAAAATAATTAATGCACCATCTGAAATTTTGGCTGCATGCGGGGGCATCCGTGGCATGATGACACATTTCTAGTTTTTGTCATATTTTTCCATATTGTTGATATTTATTGTGTTGTATATAGATTGTTGATATTTATTGTGTTGTATATAGATTGTTGATATTCCGGAGAAGTTGATTGAGGATCATGACCTGACTGTAGACTACATCGTCACTCCACTAGAAATCATCAAGTGTAACACATCCGGGAAAAAGCCAGCTGGAATTATCTGGTCTAAACTGGAGCCTGGCAAGGTTAGTTCTGTAAACAAAATACTTACTGGTGAAAGTTGTTTTGTACAAGTCTCCACCACTGGGGATGTTGAAATGTCTTGTGTGAGGAAGTTGCTCAGCAAGCTTCCTAAAGGTCAGCGGTGGTCTACCAGGTGGCAGCTTGTGACTGACATACTAGAAATTAGAAATGCACAGAGGACCTCTTAGTGTCTTTCTTCACCTAGTCTTGATGTAAACTTGGTGAAAAATGAAAACAAAATAATAAATTGAACAGACAGTTATTTCTTTTGGTTATGCTGTTTTGATGTAGCGATAAAATCATATTCTTTTTACCCCTACTGCTTTAGGGTTGAGTTATTTACATTTACCCTTGTCTCATGCTGTGTGTTCATAGGCTGACAAAACAGTGCAATGTGAGGGCATCTTTGTCTTTTGGACATATTTCTAGTTATATTTTATATTATCATGATAAAAATACAATCATTGAGCACTTGTTATTGAAACACAATAATTTGAAAGTTTTTGTAAAGCATGTTGATAAAAAAAATACTTACTTTTTTTGTAGAATTCACAAATTTATATACCTAGATAATACAAAACAATAAAAACAAATATTTCAAATTATAAACTGTTGTGTATATGTTTAGCTAAAGAGAGTTCCAATCCTGCGTAAGTTATGGCAGGCCGAGAAAGATGCCGGTAAAGACGTGACACTGAAGGACGGTCAAGAGTTTGACATGGAGGCTGCGGAGAAAGAAGATGCAGAGCGCGAGGAGCGTAGACAGCAACGTGAGGGGGAAGAAGGTGGAGACGGCAGACGTAGAAGGTGCGATATAAATTTACCCTAGACAGGGCTGCCGATTTTCCGAGGATTCGCGGAAATCCGCGGATTTCGTGAGCTCCTGGGTCATTTTTGAGATCGATGTAAATTCGACAAAGACAATAAATTCATTCATATTTTATACAGTACCCAAAAACCGGCACGCTTCGGCTTTTATCGTTACGCTAGCCGCCTATGGTACGTCTGTAAGCGCTTTTCTCATTGGTCAAATCGAGTCTTTTTTGGCATTCTATTTTAGAATAACCAATCAAATTACAGTTTACATTGTCGCTCTTGCCTGTTGTCAAAATGCGTCAAAATGTCGGATATTTGTTTTGAGGGCTGATGAAAACCTGAAGTCCAACTAAAGTGTCTCTGAATGGCTTTAAAGGCAACCAAGGAAGTCAAATTTAGAGTCCAGGAACTTGATTTTAGGGCATACCAAATCATCAGAATCCAGGAGCTGCAAAGAGGGCTTGCGCAGCCCCCTTGACCCCCGGCGTATTTTCTTCTGATTTTGCAATTTGCTGTTGGCAGCCCTGCCTAGACCAGTTAGGTTTTAAAACAAAACGAAGATTGTAGTTGTTATCATATTTAGAGTAGAATGTCTTCATATTCTAATCTGCCCTATATACTCAATGGGGAGGGCATCAAATTAGTTCTCCAAGTGTCACTGTTTTGATCCTCGGGTGTGGTGAAATTTTTTCATGACAGTTCAGGCATTGAGTCAAGTGGTCATTTGTCTCTCACTGTTGATTAATAAATGTGAAATTTGTAAGTTATTAAGAAAAGCTGTAAGATGAACCTACCAATTAGATATGACCATAGATGTGTTAAAATAAGTCTTTAAAATGCCAAATCTGGCAGGCCTTCAATTTCATGTGAAATAATGAAAGTATTTTCAATTGTACAAGCAAAGGGATTTAGGCTAGTTGGAAAAAATCCAATTCTCATTGTGAAGATATGTATAATATGAATTATGCTGTTATAAAGTTTAGTAAAAGTGTAGTATATTGTTAAAATTTTGTGTAAAAGACTTATCAGTTTGTAAATGATTAATTAATTGTTTGGCTATATGTTTGTCTCAGACTCACTACTGTTTATGTTTAAAGATACCGCAGAAGGTTTGGTGGTGGCGGCAGGTTTAGTGGTCGTGGACGCGGTAGAGGTCGTGGACGTGGCCGACCAATTAGTCGGGAGAGGACCGAGTCTGAAGGTGGAGAGGGTACAGATGGTGAGAGACAAGAGAAAGGGGCAGGAGAGGGAAGTGGAGATAGACCTCAACGTAGAAGGTAAAGTGCCTCATTAAATGTATGCACAATCTGAAGTTTTATATACACTATGCACCACTTTGAGTCAATTGTAACCTCGTCCCTGAATGCTCTTGAGAGAAGAAGGGACAGTGACATAGGGATCAGCAGAACCCTGATAAAATCTCTGCCCTGCAAGGTACTATCAGATTGTTAAAGCACTACCAATTCGTGTAAAAAAGGGCATATGTCATGATTTTAAAGTCTCTACAACATACTGCAAAATAGCCACAACTAAGAGGGAAAAAACTGTTCAATCACAGCTCAGTACAACTGCTTAATTTGCTGTCATCAGGTGACACATGTGATAACTGAAGGCTCTTGTTTTACTGCATAACCATTATGCAGGTCAGTACTGTCAGTACAGTTCATGGATCTTTACCATTTGGCATTATTTTAGCTTGATTTGATCAAGATCACTAAAATAAGATGTTACTTCTTTTTTCATAGTATGGTCTTGCTTTTAGCATTGTTTTAGTGTATCCTGTTCACTGTAACCAATATTCTTGGTTTTAACATTATCAGTGAAGGCCCACAGGAAAGTATGTTGAAGCTATATATCTCAGTATAATGTATAATTTTATTTGGAACATTCAGGCAGCGTAGATTCAGGAGACGTCCCAACCCAAGACGTTCAAAGGAGTCTGAAGGTGAGGCTGATGGAAGTGGTGATGCTGCTGACAGGGATCGTACCGAGTCAGAGGGCGAGGGCAAAGAAAACAGGCGCCGCCCACAGAGGAGGTAAAGATATGCATTTGCACAAAATAAATTGACTAAAAATTGCAAATCTAATCACATTAAGTAAAATAAACATAATGTAATGACTCACTTAAGGGCTGACAATAATTTTTTATTACAGGCTGAGTAGGTAAATGAATGTTTTATAAAATATATGATCAAGTGCATTATTATGTTCTTAAATTTAATCTGAAAGGGATAAAGGTATATCATTTTCTACTAAACATGTTTACTAAACACTTATTTAAGAGCACAATAGGAGGTCACTGTCCAAGGCCCATAACATGTATTTTGACAGAATTATGGTCCTTTTGGAAATTTATTCATTATCCAACCTCTTGTTTTAACTATCAGAGACTGAGAATAGTGAAGCATGTTGTTCTCCCAACTGCTCTTATTAAATGTTTCTGTATGAATATATAATTGTTCAATGTTTCTATCTGAAGATATAAATGTATGCTTTAAGGTTCCGCCCACGACGTGGTCGCCAGCCTGCACTGTTTGTGGGAGGTTTACCAAGGTCCCTCAGAGTAAGCACTTTCAAGACAGAGGTGCGCGGACGCGATGTTGATCCACTCAGGGTGATCTGGCACGGCGGTAATGGTCACGCTTTCCTTCAGTTTGAAAACAGCGACCTGATGGAGACGGCCCTACAAGCTCTTGACGACCTGAACATCAACGGGAAGAAGTTACGCGTTGAAGAGGCTAAAGGTCGTCCTCCACGTGGAGGGGAACGAGAAAACCAGAGTGATGAAGTGAAGGCCGAGGCCGACACCAATGCCGAATAAGGCATTTCACCAAAGATTTAGTGCAGATTTACTCGGCATTTATATCTGTATTTTTTGGTTCCGGGATCTGCTGAAATATTATATGCTTGTGATTAATGTATGACAGTTCTGATTGTACTACCAATGTTTGCTGTTTTGATTTGTGTACAGACAATGAAAAACCCCCTTCCACACATGTAGTGACATTTTTCTTGAGTATACCATGTCGGCATCGGGCAGCTGTAGTATCGCTCTAGCTATGATCATAATTTTCTCCTCCAAAGTTAAATACTGCAGGCTGTCTTTTCTGCTCAGTTTGGCCAGAGTGCAGAAAAGACGTAGTTGTTTAAAATGAAAAGAGAAGATGTTTGTAAGTTAAAATACGTCAAAAATGAAGAAAGCCATGAGTTCGTTTTCTTACACAGTTGAAATGTTAATGGTTAAAGTTAAGAAGATTTTGTTGGACTTGTTAAAGATTGTTGATTTTAATTCTATTTTCTACGAACTTGTTGAAAAAAAAAAAATACAAAAAAAAAAATACCCAAAACACTACTGGTATAAAAAAAAAAAAATCCTTGAAAAACTGCTAAAGAAAAAATAATATGAGAACATTTTTTTTTCCCTTTGTTTATAATGATAATGATGGAGTCACAAACCATGAATATGTCTTAATTTGAAATGTAGTTTATTATATTTCTTTATTCAGTGTCAATCAGGGATATGGGTACAATGTCCTATTATATTTCAATATGAAGAATGTGTACAGAATGTTCACTATTATATTATTATAGCAAAAATAAATGCATATTTCCTGGAGCACATATTCTTTTTTTTTTTTTTTTTTTGGGTGAATTTAATTTATTTGACGATTTTAATTTGTCCTGAGGACTTTTTTTTATTATTATTTATTTTATTACTTTTTTTTATTATTTTTGAATTAAATGGAGCTCAAGAAGAGATTATGTGATTGTTTTATATATAAATTAAAAAAAGAAAGAAAGGGAATACAGATACAGGTCAAGGCTTTTCTATATATATATATTTGTTAATGGTAGAAAGAAAGAAAATATTTAACCTGGCTTATTTACCAGGCAAATAGTTATAACAGTGAGCAGATATAAGTATTTTCTACATAAAAAAAGCAGTGAATTGTATTTTCTACATCAAAAAAGAATTGCAGGAAAAACCTTGTTTATGAATTTTGTCTGTGTTCGATAGACGTTTTAATTTATGTGTTCAAATATTTTAATGTAGGAATATATTGCATTTATTTATTGATATTATAAAACAACTTTAGGTGTAAGCAATATTTGACAACTTTTCACTCAGATATATATAATTCTCTAACTATGCAAGTTGCGACACAAATTTTTTTTGTTTTTTTTTTTAAAACCCATGTTTCATACATACTTTAATGCTTCTATACTTCTGTTTTGAATGTCTTGTGTTTTTGGTTTTTTTTTAAACAGCCCTTGATGGTTTAGAAAAAAATTTTGAGCCATAGAGAAAAGGTCAAAGGTTTACACAGCGAAATAGGTTAAATTTTAGTTCAGAATATTTATTTGATTGTAGCTTTGTTAAATTTTGTCTGTCAAATTTGTTTTTTGGCATCATAACTTAAATTGCATCATACCATATATTCTGTAATAAATGCCCCTGTTATGTGTTCTTAAATGGGAAAAAAAAAGGGTTAGATATTGTGAAAGTGAAGATGATATTTGCTGTGTGGTATTTTCTGCTTGATTGGAAACACCAGCTTTGTTTAAATGTTTTCCTGGATTGATAACTAGATGTTATTGTAATGGTAACTCAGTTTTTGTTTTATGTCAAAATTTAGCAGAAGGGTTTATTAGAGATTATATGGTATTCATTTAAATGTGAACATTTTTTTTTCTGTAGGAGCTCCGATTTCTTATTATTTTCCATAAATTAGATATTTAAGCATAAATGGCAAATTCTTAAGACATTAAGTCATATAGAAAATAAATGTATTATTTTATCCTTTTGTCTGAGGATTGGCTAAAACTTACACTTTTTTTGCAATATGTTAAACATGGTATTTGTATTTATTTGTTTCTTGTGCATATCATTTTATCCCTCATTCATACTTAAACCTTGACTTTGCGAATCTGTACTTTTGTTTGAATGTTTGAATTTGTTTCCAATGATTAGGTATTTTTGTTGTTCTGTTTTTTTTGTTTTATATAAAGAATAAGGCCATTCCTTTGGTTGTAAGGTAATCTAAGTAAATCCAAGAAACAAACAAGTGTGCTTGAACAGGTGCTCTCTCAAAAGTTTTTGGACAAAAATTTCTTGCTGAATAACTAGTTACATAATTAAACTCCTTTTCAGTGATAAAGAGAAAGATGTGAAGGGGTTTTTTTTTTTTTGGGGGGGGGGGGGGGGGGGGTTTCATGCAATTTGTTCCTTAAACTCATTTTTAAAAGAAGTTTTCAGACAGAATATTTTGACTACAAACTTTTGAAGAACAACTTGTCAAAATTTCGTATTTATTATTTTATTTTTTATGCTTATTTTTTTTTCTTCGTACAGAAGTTAATACTTAATTTGAAGTCCATCCCATGAAAAGACTTTTTTTTTTTTAATTGTTTATGTTTGTGTTTCTATATGATTGATTTGATATTTATGTGTGAATGAAATGCTTCTTGGACTTGTCATCTGTTTATCCTCTTTTATGATGGTGATGAAATTATTTCTAAATTACAATATTTGTTGGCGTTTTTTTTTATGTTTTTTTTTTTTTCTTACTTGAATTGCAATATTTGAATTGTTGAAAATGTTGTGAATTCAGACTTTCCTTACAATGAAATTCAAGGAATTCATATTTTGAAGATGAAAGATTTGTCTGAAAAAAAAAAAAAAATTAGAATTGTACAGAAATTATTTCCGTCATCATAAAGTGTTTTTTTCATTATCTACATACGTTCGTATCTGTAATCACAAGTATTTTAGGTAAAAAAAATTAAAACATATTTTCATGACGTTGCCTTTGTTATTTGTTTAAAGACCAAAATTTTCTACAGGAGCAAATTTCAAGTTAAAGCTGGTTGATGCAATATTTCTGATTCAAATTAACTTGTGAGAAAAACAGTTCTCACAAACCATTTGTGGGAAATAATATCCCTTTATATAAAATGGCACTTCAAGAGGAGCAAACTGTTTATTAAACTAAAGTTATCCGACCCAAGATGTTTTTGGCGTGGAACTCCAAAGGGCTTTGTATAAACTCCAGAAAATTGTTTGTCAATCCCAGCACATGCACTTATTATGTTTATCAATCAAACAATGTACAATCCTGTTTTAAAAAAGACTTTCAATTTCTATAATATGGTAGGTGAAATATTTTTTCAAAGTTTATGTACCATTTGATATGAAAGTCTAGACCTGTAACTTGTGTGTAAAATTCAGATTACTAGTAATTACTCCTACTTACCCAGAATAAGCATTTTCACTGTGCAGAATGAAGAGTGATTGCTTTTATTTCTTTATTGGGGTGAACATCAAACAAACAAATTGAATTTCAATTTAATTTGTAGTATATTTCTTTATTATTTTTTAATAGTTTCCTGTGTGCGAGTTAATCTATAAGAATTTCAAATTTTATGTTTGTCTTTGTGACCTCGAACTAAAACACTTGATAACATATTTGATAATCAAAACAAGTGTAACAGTTCTTGCAAACTTATACAATTCAATGTGTATCATGTCTTGCGATAACAAGCGCACAATTCTTCAGTCTGGAGTTCCTTCCCCTTGCACTATGTTTCTGTAGTAAATGTAGGCAGGGAAGCAGACTATTATTTGTGATTACTGTACTCTCTTGGGAGCCAATAAATATACCCCTGTCACATTGTGGAAGGGGCTATACTGGAATCACCTTGTGTCAGTCAGTCAGTCCCTATGTCTCCAGTTTGTCAGCTCTATAAACCTTATACCCATATAAGCATTTTCTTCAAACTTGGCTCAGATGTTCACCTCAACAAGACTGTGTAGAACCAATGTTACTGCTGTTCCAGGTCAAGGTCACCCTTGGAGATCAAAGGTAAATATTCGGACAATTTCATGTTCGCTCTATAAATCCTTAAAGGGACTCCACTGAGGTAAAAGACTAAAACATAACATTTGAATTTCTTACATAAATGAGCTGGGGCACTTTAAACAGAAATATATATGCAAAGATAGTTAAGAAATATACTTTCAAATTAATTGAAAATCACATTTTTATGCTTTCCTTAGCCCGATTTGAGTGAAAAGTGTTGAAATGCTTTTCATTTTGGGTCATTCTTTTTACAATTTGAATAATTATTCTGAAACAAAGTGCACAAATGATCTGAAATTTTGCACAAAGATTAGTGTTCTAAACCTACATCAAATGGTACATTTATCTGGAAAAAATATTTTCAGTCCCATCATGTCAAAAAACCTCAGTGGAGTCCCTTTAAACCTCAAGGTTAAAGCCACCTATGAAGGTAAAATGTTTGACAATTTCTTGTCAGCTCTATAAATCCAGTACCAGTTCAAGAATTTTTTTTAAACTTGGCTGAAATGTTCACCTCAAGAAGGCAATGTGCAAGACCCTTACTGCCACTGTACAGACTCCTGACAAAGAGATCAGGTGGGGTTATTTAAAAACAGAACACTATTTCAAGAATTTTTATAGTTTATTTTCTAATGTAGATACAGAAAAATAAATCATACATTCAATGTGGAGAAATTTCTCGCAATCCTTTAATGCAATGATTGATATAATATCGTAGCAACAGCACATGATCATTTCCTAGCAACTGCATTTAATATCTTAGCAACAGGTACAGATATTTCTTAAAGCTACAGTGTTCGATCATATCCTAGAAACAGAGTATGATCACATTTTAGTAACAAAATTCAATCATATCCTTTCATATCATAGCAACAGAATTCAATCATATCCTACTTAACAGAATTAGATCATATCCTAGTAATAGAATGTGATCATATCCTAGTCATATGATAGTAACCGAAGATCAATTTTATTTTGTGCGACATTGTTCTAAAATGAAAATTTAAGATACCCTTTCTACCACTGATACATGTCAATGATTTAATAACCAAGTTTTTTCTTCTCAATTTGTATAGAATATCATTTATACTTTGGGACAATTATGCATTAAAGTCACCAGTAGATAAATGCTTTTTTTTTTTAATATTGGGAAAAAGTATGATACTCGGCAATGTAACCAAATTTATATGGCTGTCATGTTAAAGGATTTTGTATTGCAGTTTTCTACAGATTTTTGTAAGGTGACTTTCATACAGTTAATATCTTATTTCATGAAGTGCAATATCTTTGAATGACATGATTTCTATTTTGTTGTACACATTTATACAAAAATACAAGAAATCATGAGCAACCTTATCAGTATAAAATAAAATAATCTATAAAGTAAAAAAAAAAAAAATTTTTTTTTGTTTTTGGTCCAAACTGATTTTCAAATTTTGAAGGAAGAAACCAAAATTTTTTTTAACAATATTTTGATATATCCATACTAGAAAATCTTAGCCATTGGTTCTTTATAGGAACAATTTATTATATTTAGATATGCTGACAAAAATATGATTTAAAAAAATGCAAATATCATCTAGCAGACATTGAGCCAATTGTCAAAATGAAAACAAATAGCACATACATCCTCTTATAATGAAAACAGACATACAATATTTATCTCTATCAAGATATGAATATTTTGTATATATATCTACAGAATTGAACTTTTTAATATCTGTAACAGCATGCAAGTTTCACATACATGTACTTTCATAATATTTACTTTTTAATTTAATGGTTATTAACTGTATGTTTCTAAATCTGTTGGAATTTTAAGATGTCAATATTTAATTAAAGCTTGATCTTTAAACACAATTAAAATTTTCCTTTATCAAATCATTGATGATTTTCAAAATGCTTATTTTTAAAAATACATGTATAAAGGGATCAAAAATAAAAGTTGGTAATTTTCAAACAATAACTTAATTTACAAGTTGCAGTTTATATGCCTTGGGAAAGTTCATTTATAAACAACAGAAAACATAATTTATACCTTCAAATATCACAGAATTTATCACAATGGTATACAGTTCATGGAATGTTGTGAAACACAAACAAAGATTCACTTGCAAACATAAATTATAGATACAGTATTTACTCTATTAGACAGATTTGCCTATAAGTCAGGGGTATAAATTATACACTTGTGATGTGCCTTATGAAGTAAGGCTTATTAAGAAACCTTCAATAACAAACGGGGAAACAATGTGTCCTACAAGTGAATAAATACTGTACACAATCTTTCACTCTTCTCTCTTACACATAAAACTAATATCCTAATTTCAAATCAATACTGGAAATATATGTTTTTATTAAATTATTACTTTAAACAAATTAGCAACACATGTTTCAATTTGTTATGTCTAAATAATAAATACAGCTAAAATAAATCCTTTCATTTCCTAAGAATAATTATAAGTTTAAACCTTGGAAATTTTTCTACTCCATGAAAAATCCATTCATATATTCCAGCAAAATCAATTCAACAAGATTAACTAAAAACAAATCTTTATCACATAAAAATATAAGTGTAAACTTCTGTAAAAATATTAAATAATCTTTAGTGCATAGAAAATATTTCTTCAATTTAACTCAAGGCAATAGCTAGAGTAAGAAATGGTCAGTACCTCTAGAATATATCAATGACCACATAATATAAAACTTTGGTGTGTGTATATATAACTATATAAAGCATGTAACATCCCATAGTTCCAATAGCCAATAAAACATTTCTTTTCTATTAATTTCTACATAAAAAAGCAATTACTTCTATATCTCTTTATCATTATTTGAGAAATATGCTATTATCTTTTTAATAAAAATTGTTAAAAAAAGCAATAATCCATGTACAATCTAAATAAAAATAATATTTTCTATAAATTTCTACATAAAAAGCAACAATTATACTGTATTGAAATTTGAATGAATGGCTATCAACAGTATTGATATCTGTTTTAGCCAAAACATCTTATCTTGTGACGAGACAATATGTTATAATATCTATATTCTAAAGCAATTAAATGAATTTTACAAAAATCTTGGATATAAATGAAGCTGTATTAGGAAGTATTAGGATATCTATTAAGGTAGCCTACCAACTTACAGTAAATGTATGCACAACTAATTTTTCATGTGTATAATAATTGTATTACAGCCAATTGTCTCAGACTTCTGTTTTGATCCTGGTCACACACAAAAAAATGCTCAATTTTTACAGACACAGAACAGTTGGCAATATAGGCCAACACCTTAAATGTAGTTCATTCAAAATTTTCATTTCTTGTCAAAGTTTCATACAACACGTAAACAACAAATATCAAAATTAACAAACTACTTATAAAATTTCAGATGAAAGCAAAAAATTAGAATTCATGCAATTCAAATAATGGTTTTTGTTTGTGTAAAAATGTGAAAAGTTTAAGGTACATTGAATTTCATGAAACATGATAGTGGATATAGCAAACATTAAATAAGACAGCATGTAAATTATACAAATATGTAGACTAGGGGGTTCTAAAAACAAACTGTTTTGTAAATGATACAGTATATATAGTTCTAAATGGTACACAAATGTTCACTACCATACACAACAGCACTTGCTGTAGGGAACTTATAATGAATTTAAAACTTGCTTGTACAATTATTATCATGTGTAAATGATCTTTCATAAAAGGTACACAAATATTCACTCCAATATACCACCGGCACTTGCTGGAAAACTCAATTTAAAACCTGCATGTAGAATCGTACACAAATATTCATTACTTTATGGTTAAAACAAATCCTAAATGGTACAAAATTGTTCACTACCATAATTATTTAAATGATATTTGAGAACAACAATATTTTATCAGTGTAACACTGTTTCTTTGAAATCTTGAAGAGTTTTTCAACATACTACTTCTTAACATATAGACAAATTCAAGTCTTGTATAAACTAAGACTTAAATCCAATATAATTCCATGCTCTGACATTATTATAACACCAGCTTAGGAAAAAAACAACAGAATAATTAGCAGAATAATTATTAGCAATTGTTTTCCTGTTAAATTAAATGTTACAGGCCATATAATGTATACAGACACCACTTCTGTTATTGATAAAAAAAAATCAAGTCATTTATAGGATAAGATTCTTTTTTATCATTTTAAGATGATAAAATAAGACCCCTGTCTTATAAAAGTTCAGACTTATAGACAAGTTTATATGATAATGAAATATTTGAGTAACAAATTTGAGCAATCAATCTTTTAAACTAAAAAATAAAGTCTTTTGATATGAATAAGTCAAAATCAACAAAAATAAAATAGTAACTGGCAGGGTAGTATATGTTTTGACAAAATGAATAAATTCTTTTGCATTTTCTGGCTGTATTAAAATGTGGGGAAAATCAAAATGAAATTGTACACATGTAGGTCAACAATATTGACAAACATTACTTAAAAATATCAGATCAACTTCTACATGTAGCAAAATTCAGATCATAGTCTAGCAAATTATTCTGAAATCAAAACATTCACATTTAAAATACAAAGATCAAATCATTTTTTCCTAAATTTTAAATAATAAGGTTTTAATTCAAAAGCAGTTTCTGCATGGTGTAAACTGAGACAAAAATAACATCCCAGTTGTAAACTAGAATAAATGCAACACCTTTAAAAGATAAAGAAAAACAAGAAGTCATGGAAAATTGGCTTTTACCAGTCCATTAAATTTTGTAATATCTTAAACACCATAATACACCTTAATATACATTAAAACATCTTAATATACCATAAAACCTTTAAAAAGCATAGAGAGAACCTCTGGTAAAATATCAAAAACAGACAAGTTTCATAGAAACCTTTGTCACGATAATAATAAATCTGCTAAAGTAAACTAATTCAAGAAGATTCAAATTACACACTTTAATTCACTTTTTTTTCTTGTTTATCTATAAAAATAAAATCTGTTCCTCTCTAAACTACTCAATTTAAATATAAAATACTAAAACTATAAAAGTTAAAATTACCAAAACTTGGAAAGCAATATGAAATAAGCTTGTATTGGTTGTTGTGATAATTATCAGCATTTTAGGCATGAAACTGCTAAATTTATCTAAAGCAAAATCAAAACAAAACCCCATAGGACCCAAATAAACCTAACAGTTTTCTCCTTAATATGTTTGTAAAGATATTAACTATATAAACAATTCAACAAGTTAAACAAAATATGGTGTCATGACTTCATATTCCAGAACAAATAAATTAAAATACTAAAACATGGAGAGAGAATTCAGTCTAAGAAGTTGTAGCTGTGTTGTTCATAGCTAAATATCGTTTTAGTTCTTCAGCAGTGTCCTCCGAGATATCATTTCCTGGAACAACACTTAGTTCTATTATACTTGTGTTAGATTTTAACAGATCTCTCAGGACTCTTCCACCATTTTCTGTTAGACCGGCACTCTCTAATTCAAGAGAACGTAACCCTGTGTTGACCCTCAAACCTTTCGCCAAATTATCAATCCCGGCATCTCCAATATTTGTGAAATCTAAAGATAGTGTCTTTAATGTTTTGTTTTTCTTCAAAGCTTGCCCCAGCCTCTCCCAGCCTGATGGAGATATTTCACGATTTCCATTCAAATTGAGCGAAACCAACGTTTTGTTGGATTCTAAAAACCTTGAAATTTCAGCAATTCCAGCATCGCCAATTTTGCTGTCGCCAAGATCTAATTCTTTGATGTTACAGCCAGTATCATTAGCTTTATCTTCGAGGTCGACATCTTTACGCCTCCTCTACCTGTTTTCGAGCCTCGGATGGTGTCAAATAACCTGACCCTCGACGTAAAATGGAATGGGGTCCATTAAGGCATCCATGCAATACTTTACATCCCACATTGCCACAGGTTTTCCATTTAAAGGCAATAATAAAACAAAACTGGTTATTAAATTAAACAAATAATAAGACTCCGGTTTAGGTTTGTTGGCTTACTGATATAAACTTTTGAATAAAACTCCAGATGCTTTATTTATGTTTTGTTTATAACGTCGGAACAACACATTGAAGGATTATGCGACTTTGCAGCTTTATTGCAGCTGAAACCAGTAAATCACCAAAGTACTAGCTGGATAGCTTCTACAGGATAAGCCTTGGGAAGAAAAAAAAGAAAGTTTCATTCATGAACTGACCACTTACATAACGATTTCAATTGACGGTTTATTTTTTATCGCAACTGATAGTGGTTGTAGCGACTTTGCTCCTAGCTGATTCTGACTAAAATTGACAAGGTTCGGACTGGACTGTGTGACCTGTAGAGACAAGGCAATGTTCTGGAATGAGGAATCATCGAGGGAGCAGTTACGTAATGTTACAGACTTGATGTTCTCTACTTCAGCTAGGTAGTTGGTTATTTCTGTTATCTAAAATACAGAAATGAGCAGAATTAAAGTAAATGAAAAATACACAAATGTGAAGGATTCAATGTAATGGAAAAAACACAAATGTGCAGGATTCAATGTAATGGAAAATACACAAATGTGCAGTATTCAATGTAATGGAAAATACACAAATATGCAGCATACAATTTGATGTAAAATACACAAATGGGTGGAATTCACATAAGTATGAACTTTCAGAAATTAACATGATTCCATAAAATTTAATGTTAAATACATAATTGGACAAGTTTCCGAAAATTAAAACAAAATTACTGGACAAAATTTAATCAAATTTAAAACACACAAAATGAGTAGAATTCAATAAAATCTAAAATAACGATTAAATCTAAAACACAAACAAGCAGACTTGACATCCATGATTATGACCGCTTAGCCACTTAAATAAATGATAAGCAGGTGAAGATAAAATACATAATAAAATACACACTATAGCAATACACTCACCTGACTTTCATCTAATTTTACTCCATTCAAGTCGACAGCATTGGAACCTTTTATCATTGGTAGTATGCTGCCATAATGTACCATTGGTTGACGCACGACTGACTTGACAAGCTGGGACTCTACAGGTGTACCGGACTTTGCTACATTTTCTGGATCATTTCCTGCAATTTTTAAATAGTAAATTGAGTAATTCTCAGTTCTAAAATCCCCACATAGTTAAAAATGTAAAGAAAATCAACTTAGTCTATAACAAAAATCTGAAAATGAAAAAGGTATGTTTTGTTTTTCGTTATTTAACCTTTGTAAAATGTACGGTACTTGGTTAAGAAGATTTAATAGTGCTTAAAGGAACTCCACTGAGGTTTATAAGCCTAAAACATAAACATTTTAATTTTTCACATAGATTAACACGAGCACTTTAAACAAAAATATAAATAAAATATAACAAAGAAATATACAAGAAATGCATTGAAAATCATATGTTTGTGCTATTCTCAGTCTGATTTGAGTGAAAAGTGTTTAAACGCTTTTCAAATTTTGGTCATTTTTCACTATTTTAATAATTATTCTGGAAAAATGGAGCTAGCTAATGATCTGAAATTTTACACATAAGTTATTAGGATAGATCTACATCAAATGGAGTAATAATCTCAAAAAATTATTTCCAGTCCCCTCATTGTCAAAAAACCTCAGTGGAGTCCCTTTAATAATGATGTAGGAAAATAAACAATAGAGATAATTTTGAATTTTAAATTTTGACCCTCGGACTTGATTCTTAAATCTTAATGAACATTTGGCCATGTGGTAGAGAGGTGTGCATTATTTCTTTTAAATCACAATCAATTTTTAATTCTGCAATTTTCATCTACTTTTGTTTATTGTAAGTAAAGTATGTATAATTTAGGCTTTAAATTTATCGAGACTGCACAATTCATTGTCATTCAGCACTTCTACTGATTCTCCCTATAAAATGAAGGAAATTTATACAAAAAAAACAACAACATGAAAGAGAAGAATGTACTAGATATTTACCTCCATGCATATTTTCTGCCTCACTTTCACTGGTAGGCTTCGAACCTGAAAACAACAAGAAACAAAAGTTTAGCGAGAAATAAAAGAAAATGTGTGCTTATCAATAAATTATTACATTTTCACAGAAATTTTGTTATTTTTTTTTAGTTAATTCCATCGAATTTGAACAAGAAGTAAGACAGTTAGTATTGAATGTTTGGAAGCCAATTTGTATAACTAATAACAAAAATACAAATAAAACTGCAGATAAGCTCCAGATGCTTTCTTGACATTGCAAAATAAATTTAATATTCAACTGTTTGTGACCTTGACCCTTAATTGCCCTAAAACTCCACCCGTGGGTAAACATAAATTTTGTACTAAATTGTGTATAAAATATTTCAGTCAATAAAATTGCAGCTCTATTGAGGTTAAAGGTAAAAATCTATTTTTAACCTCCATGATGTTGGATAAAGGTAAAAATCTATTTTTAACCTCTATGTCCTTGACCCTAAATGAAGGACACACCAGCAAAAATCTTTTAAGGATGGTCAACATGAAACTAAATCAGGATATCTAAATAAACTAACTGATATAATCTGAGATGGTAGAAGTCTAAACAAATGAAAATTCCATTCCCAAATATAAACTAGAATTAATAATTATGTCCACAATTCTAATATTTTACAGCAAAATAACATTCCAGTCTTAGTTACGTTGAGAATTCATGTTCAATTAATTACCTAAAGCCACAAAAAAGCTCCTTTTTATCAATTTTTAGCAACACACATAAATACAAGTAATGACTAAATTATGTAAAAGCATTTCAGTATGGTTAAGTAACTTGTTAAATTAACACCCTTCTTATGACAAAACAAAATAGAAACCAGTCAAAAAAAAATCTGTAATCTGATTGGCTGAATTTGAACAGTGTTTCAATATTGACCAATGGGAAGGTTCATTTGGGAGACTGGTTTTTTCAATTAAAATTCTGTTAATCTTTTCCCTCAAGTTAACACAATACTTTGATTATTCACTGAGATATGAAAAAATCTGACAACATTAAATTTATATACCAAACTGTTTTTGATAAAGAAATTAAAAGATTGCTATATAGTTAAATAAATCTGTACAAAAAAAGCAAAACAAACAAAAAATCAAACACATCTTTCAGCAAATACGTTCAAAAGCTCTTTGCATTTTCTTTAAATCCAGTACTTAGCTACAGATATTGGAAGAAAATCAGATGAGGGAAATTGCAGAAATATTTTTTTCGTGTGTGTCTGGGAACAAAAAAGTAAGATACTAGTACACTTTATCTACATGCAAACTTACTTTACGACCAGTCCACTCCTGCCTCTTTTTAACCCTGAGATGTCAATGCTTCTAATTCAGGTATAATTATCTGTTACTATGGTAACATTTCATTATTTCCTGGTATAATCATACTATATAGGTAATATTTTATAATTTTCAGGTGTAATCATAATTCTAATCTAGGTAATATTTCAGGATTTTCAGGTACATTTTTCCATAGAGGTAATATTTCAAGAGATTCAGGAAAAAAATTAAATGCTTATGATTTTGTTCTTGCATAATTTATATGCTAGAATTTTTCTAGTGGTCGCAACTGTGACAGAGGAATCATATGCTTTAAAATGATGCCATCATTTTTGCATTATGAATTATGGTGTAAATTAATATGTAAATAAAATAAAAAAAATAGCAAAAAAAAATTGTTTTCCAGTTTCATATAATTTATGTAGTATGCAAGAAAAAGAAATACATACAAGCCATCATCAGACAAGAGGTTTCCTAATTTATGATTCAGAATAAAACAGAATTTCAAAGAAGGTTACTAACAGTTAAATTAGCAATTTACAGAATGTCAAGGGAGGTAATTTGAGACAAATTTGTGATTTATAGAATATGTGATTTAAAGAATATAAGGGGAGATAACTTGAGTAAAATGTATGATTTATAACATCTATGGGGAATAAAAATGTGATTTATATTGTTGTTACTAAGGTAGATACTGGAGCTGCATATGTATTAACTTGGTCTCTACATTCAAAGTGAGTTTTAACAATGCTGGATTCAATTATAAAGATAAATGTTTTTTTAACAAACTATTTGCTTCATAAGTAAACAATAAATAAATATATAAAAAAACATGAGAAGATGTCAAGTGAAATAAATAAATAAAAAAAAGAAAAGCACAAAATTTTTAGAGATATTCTGATGAAAATAAGAAGAGAAAATGTAATGAATATGCTATGTTAGTATAAATAGTAAAGACAGCTAAACCTAAAATATTGTTATGCAAGATCATATTTTTTATATATAGTTAAATATAGGAGGAACGTGACTGAACTATAATAAATCAACTACAGATAAATTGTAACCCAATTAAAATCAATTTTTAGATAATTGGAAATATATTGTAATCCAATTATAAATACATCATATTCATATTTAATGATTTTTTTTTTATACATTAAAAGCATTCTTTGACAATTTAAGGTAAAGAGGCAGGATTTTGGCTTCCAAACATTTCTGAAGAAAAAAAAAGCAACATGTGTGTTTTAACTTAGTGTTAAAACCAATAGAGTACAACTTACACAAATTGACTAACCTCTTTATTACAACAGTATCAATAGCAAAACATGTAATACTATTTTGTTTAAAATTTAGCAGGCAAAACTATCTCAGATGCCTCAAAGACATTGACAATGACAAGTCAACATGAAACCCTTCCAAAGTAGAAAGATTCATGAAAGGTGCCAACACATTAAATATTTAAAATATCAGTTCTTAATGAAGGTTCTATGAAAAATTATTAGTGTATGACAAGGGAAGAAAAAATAAAATTTCACACAGAAAAGCAAAAAAGCTTCACAAAAAGTTTTTGATGTCGGACTTAAAACTGCTCTTAGAGAGGATTTTTTAACCTGAAGGTGGTCTTTGTTACAGATTTAAATGGTATAAAGTTTTTCCTTCATCAAGTCTCGGAAATGATTGATAAGTAATTTATTCATTCGGTTTACTTAACAATGCATCATAATTATAGATAAATCAACTATTACATGGAATACTTGATATTATGCTCTAAAACAATAAATCAAACAGATCAATAGGTCATAATATTGAACATATTCTCACCTTTCTTTTCTTTAGTTTTATCATTTTCATCTTCACTATCTGAAGAGTCAGAATCGGAGTCGGAACTTGAACTATCAGAACTGCTGTCCTCACTCTCCACCTTCTTCTCCTCTTTTGCTGGCACTGAATTATGTAATTGTAAAAATATGATTTACTGAGATTGATTGCATGATGTTACTTGCTTTTCACTGTAATAATAAGAGTTTATCATACATTGTTGAGTACAATACTGAATTCAATTGGACAAGTACACAGCTGTCAAACCCATATCGGACAAGGCACTAGCAACTTCTGATATTGGTTTTGCAGGTGTGTACGAGTCCAATAGATCAGTATTGTTCTCAAAAATGTATAATGACCTCTTTATTTCATATTTTTTTGACATTTGACACAGGAAATTTAGAAAACATGAGCTGCTGTAAAATAGTATTTAGAAGACACTCACATGTGGATTGGGGAGAAGTCTCAGATTTCAGAATTTCTTTTTCTGGAATTATCGTCTCCTCGTGCTGTATCCCTCCAAATGGAGCTGGTGTCTCCGGTTTCTGGGCCGGTTTAACCTCCGACTCTGAAGAATCAGAAGATGAAGATTTCTTCTTTTCTTTAGCTTCTTTCGTTTTTCTTGGTGGTCTGAACTCAGCGTCTGACATAGATTCACTTCTAGAATAACTTGAAGAAGTAGAAGATGATGATGATGACTTTCTCTCTCTTTTAGCCTCTACCTTTGGTTCAATCACAATCGCCTCTTTTTCTTTTGTTTTTTCAGGTGGTCTGAACTCATCGTCTGAACTCGCGTAACTCGCTTGATATGATGATGGAGGGGACTTCCCAACTGCTTCTATTTTTTGTGGAACTTCTTTTGTTTCTTCTTCCTTTTTAACTGTCTCCTCTACTTTTTTGTTATCTTCATCAGATTCAGACTCAGAACTTGAACCTGAGCTTGAATCCGATGTTGAGCTGGCTCGTTTCTTTTCTGGTTGTGGCTCTTTAGCAGTTTCTGGAGATTCTTTCACAACAGGCGTTTCAACAGCAGTAGTAACTACCTTCTGTTGAAGTTCTGGCTCTTTATTTACTGTATGTTCACCTTCAGAGCTGCTAGATGAAGAAGAACTGGAAGCACTTGACGTTGACTCACGCCGTGCCTCTTTTGCTTTCTCTTCTTCTGTTATGGTTTTCATGGATGGTACAACTGGTGTTTGCTTACCTTTCTCAGTATCACTTCCAGATGTTGAACTAGTGTCAGTTGATGCCGAAGATGAAACCTCTCTAGGTTTTTTCTCTTCTGCTTCTGACCTTAATGAAGCCACAGCTTGCGAAAATGGAGATTTTTTGTCTTCATTTTCTGAATCACTCTCAGAGGAACTTGTTGATGATGATGCTTCTCTTCGTCTCTCCTCCTTAACTGGTGTAGCCTCAACTTTATCTTCCGTTTTAGTTTCACGAGGGGTAGTATCAACACTCAACGTAGATTCACTCTCTCTTTGACTCTGGATAAAGGACAACTGCCTCTCGTAATCTTTCTGTATGCGTTCCTCTTCCGCCATACGTCTTTGTCGTTCCTCTTCTTTGGCTTTGTTTTGTTCTGCAAGCTGCTGTTGACGCTCCATCTCCTGTTTCTTTCTCTGCTCTTCCATCATACGCAAGCGGTCCTGAAAATCACAAATTATATTTTATTTCATAATGACTCAACATTATAGACAAAGTTACAGACAAAAACATACATACATGAATTTTCATATTGCCAACTTATAATCAGTGACTCTAAGTCATATTCATATTCTGGGATATGAAAATTCATTGGAGATGTTACATAGACGGACCAATTTTAATGTTGTGATTTCATAAAATTTACTAACCCATTTTGTCTGCATTTAAAGATGAATGATTTTTTTTAACGCTCAAAACAATAATTTGCTTAAAATATATTTGTTCAATTAAATAAGGGAACTAATTCCTCCTGGTAACATAGTTGCAAAAAAACCTTACGGATGACTCAATGCATCGGAAAAAAAATATCAGCACAAGAAATGTTGCCATTAAGGTGATTTGTGGTTTTTGTTTGTTTGACGATAACATTTATGAAATCATTGCATGAAACAAGAGCACCAGATGCTTGTCTGTTAAAGGGATATTCAGGCAAATGATGACAAAAATATTAAAATGATCTTATGTACTCAAATCGTGCTTAAATGACATTTCTTAAAGTTCCAGCAGGTTTTCTGTTTAAATTCTATATATTTTGGGTTTGAAGCATAAATATATCTATATTATGTTGAACAAAATTTAGATGCCAATAGAATCACCGAATAGTTTTAAAACAAGTCATGTGGCTTGAACAAACCCTTGAAGTTACAATAATAGATTTTGTGGATATTGTATGATTGAAACAAATCTAAGTCATTCATTTGACATGTTCTTTTACATTTCCAGAGTTCAGTGTGACATATATTGTGAAATCCTAGCGCTCTAACCTGACCCATGCGGGTCAAGTTAGGAAACCACCATTTTATTCTTTATATGAAGAAAAGTTTTGTTCCTTTGACTGTCTAATGTATTCATTTTGATGGCATTTACAGAATAATGAATGAAAAATTTCAAAATTAAGAAATGAAAATTTTGCCTGTGTCTCATTATGGCCATGCAAGTGTAAATGGTAGGTGTATAGATTTTGCCACAATTGCACTCAGTTCTATAGTCTAATTCATGTGTACAATCAATAACCCAAGTGCCATACACAAAAAATCTATAAATAATCCATGGGAATGTATTGTTGACATTCAATTGATAAAAAGAGTATTGTTGACGTTCAATTGATAGAGTGGGGCAGTTGCAATACTTCTTAGTGGCAGTTATCAAATTTTTTTTAAAAAAAAATCAATTTTGAAAGTCCCATTTCATACGTGAAACTGACTTTAGAGGATTTCTTCAAATTGTGAGAGGGGTTTGGTACGGGGGACGGGGGAGGTTAATAAGTGTAAAAAAGTGCTGTTATTACATACCTGACTCTGCTGGCGCTGTAACTCAAATCTTTTCTTTCTCTCTTCTTCTGCCTCAGCTCTTCGTCTTTCATCTTCGTCTAATTGTTTCTTTCTCTCTACTTCCCTCTCTTCAGCCTCTTTCTTCCTCCTTTCTTGTTCTTCATTCCTTCTTCTCTCGTTCTCTTCTCTCTGTTTATTATTTCTCTTCTTTCTCTTATACTTCTCATCCTCGCTATCAGATGACAGAGTACTAGAAGAGGAACTTGAACTGCTGCGCCTTTCTTTAGGTTTCACTAATTCTTGACGGTTCGATTCCATCGTTGTTTCCGTCTCAGTTGTCAGGGAGCCACTGGTCGTACTGCGGTCTGAGCGGTCAGACCGGGGCGGGGCAGATTCCTCCGACCTTGCAGTATGTACCTAAAATATAAATACATATATCACAGATATCATTAAGATGCTTTAAAAGAAATTTGATAACAATTGTAAAACTCTTGTTACTAAGTTTTTTCTTTTGAAAGATTTGTATAAGACCTTAAACATCTTTGATTGACTCAATTTTAATTTTCTTATACTGAAATCCAAACAAGAGTGCCATGATGGCCCTGAGGTCGCTCACCTGTATATAGGCCCCCCCACCCCCCAACTTTGCAGGGCCAATTTTAACCCAAGGGCTTTTATTTGCACAAACTTGGTAGACACCCATAAGAAGATGTTTCATGCTAAACATCTAAGCTCTAGCTCATTGGGCTTTTTAAAAGAAGATTTTTTTTAAGTTTTTACTATTCACATATAGTTAAAATCAATGACACCCCTGGGGCTGGGCCAGTTTTGACCCCAGGGCTTTTATTTGAACAAACTTTGTAGACACTAACTAGAAGATGTTTCATGCTTAATATCTAAACTCTAGCTATTTGGGTTTTTTCAAAGAAAATTTCAGGTTTTTGCTATACACATATAAGGAAAAGCAATGATCCCCGGGGCGGGGCCAATTTTGACCCCAGGTCTTTTATTTGAACAAACTTTGTAGACACTCACTAAAAGATGTTTCATGCTTAATATCTTAACTCTAGCTATTTGGGTTTTTTCAAAGAAGATTTTTTAAGTTTTTGCTATACACATATAAGGAAAATCAATGACCCCCGGGGCAGTGCCAATTTTGACCCCAGGGCTTTTATTTGAACAAACTTGGTAGACACCTATTAGAACATGTTTGATGCTAAATATCTTAGCCATAGCTCTTTGAGTTCTTTAAAAGAAGATTTTTTAAGTTTTTACTATATGCATATAGGGAAAATCAATGACCCCCCGGGGCAGGGCCAATTTTGACCCCAGGGCTTTTATTTGAACAAACTTGGTAGACACTTATTAGAACATGTTACATGCTAAATATCTTAGCTCTATCTCTTTGGGCCTTTAAAAGAAGATTTTTAAAGTTTTTACTATATGCATATAGGGAAAATCAATGACCCCCTGGAGCGGGGCTAATTTTTACCCCAGGGCTTTTATTTGAACAAACTTGGTAGACACTCATTAGAAGATGTTTCATGCTAAATATCTTAGCTCTAGCTCTTTGGGTTCTTAAAAGAAATTTTTTAAAGTTTTTACTATATGCATATAGGGAAAATCAATGACTCCCCGGGGCGGGGCCAATTTTGACCCCAGGGCTTTTATTTGAACAAACTTGGTAGACACCCATTAGAACATGTTTCATGCTAAATATCTTAGCTCTAGCTCTTTGGGTTCTTTAAAAGAAGATTTTTTTAGTTTTTACTATATGCATATAGGGAAAATCAATGACCCCCTGGGGCGGGGCCAATTTTGACCCCAGGGCTTTTATTTGAACAAACTTGGTAGACACTCACTAGAAGATGTTTCATGCCAAATATCTAAGCTCTAGCTCTTATGGCTTTTTAAAAGAAGATATTTAAAGTTTTTTCTTTCGGTTGCCATGGCAACCAGAGTTCTGCATGGAATTAAATTCTTTGAACAATTTTTAAAGGTGACAACCAAAGGAACATTCCTGTGAAGTTTGGATGAAATTGGCTTAGTGGTTTATGAGGAGATGTCATTTAAAGTAAAAGTTTACGGATGACAAACGGATAGACGTCGGACGAAAAGCAATCACAAAAGCTCACCCTGTCACTTTGTGACAGGTGAGCTAAAAAGTACTAACTGACTAATCATCTACAGTAGGCCAAGCCAATAATTTAACAAAACCTGTCTGCAAACAGCATGCTTCACTTTTCTCTGTGCTAGACTGTATAAAGCAGTCAAATAAAAGAAGCATACACTTTACAAAACTAAATGTAAGAAATGTTTGCCCTTTTTATATGGTGTCCCACAGTTTTTTTGAAAAAGTAGACCCTAATTAAAAGGTTAACCAACACTGATGCAAAACAGTTGGTTATTACAACTTGATAATTTGAAACAATTTGAAAAGTGGAGATAAAACTAAACTGTGTAAAAGTTAAACTATAATCCAGATAATTATGTACCTGTACAACTGCAGTTTTCACTGGTTCCGGTGACCTTGTTTTCCTCTCGGGGGTCGTAGGTCGTGGTGTTCTCTCTCTGTCCGATGAACTTGACGATGAAGAAGATGAAGAGGATGATGACCTAGATCTTTTACGTTTTACTGTTGATTTGTAAAAAACACGACAATGTCATCATTATAATTATCATCATTGTAATAGGAAATATTATCAAGATTAATGACCTGCATGACATTATCAATCCATCATTATAAATACATTGCTCAATAGAGTAACACCTCTTGCCTGAGAACAAAGATCCTGTCCAACGCTGAGATGTTGCACTGTAGAGGTAATTGAAGGACTTGGACTTATTTGTGGTAAATAGTAGTTGAATTATTCTATACGGACCACGAAAAAAACTTTGACACATCAAAAAAGTCGACACATAAAATTTCAACTCATGTATATGTTTTTATTTGGAATATATTGGGGGAAATATCGGGGCATTCATTTTATTTCGACACATCTAGAAAATCAACTAATTGAAGTTTGACTTATAGAGGTTCTACTGTATCTTTTAGTAATATCAATTTCACTTTTAACAACCCTGATGCAGACTTGTGAGAGTCAAAATGTCAGTTATCATCATTAAATAAACCTTAAAACTTACTCTGTGTTAATTTTTTGTTCAATTTGTATCTTTTTTCTGAATAGTTTTACTTCATTATCATTACTGAATTCTTTATTTTATCATTATCATAAAGCATAGTTTTCATAATTTCATAATAATTTATATTTAAAAGATCATTTCACAGTGCTTTTACAAATAAAACAATTACAAACATTATCAAGATATTCATACTACAATGAGAACATAATTATAATTGGTACCTTTTTTCTCAGCATGGATATCAGCTGTGACCTCGATAGACTTTGACCTTGGACCCTCGACGTCCTCATCCTCGGAGGAATAACCCTCGACCTGTAACGATACATTCGACAGATATAAGTATAATCTTTATACCACTTTCAAGCTAACACCGTGATAAAAGAACAATTCCATTAGTCAAATGTTACCCAAGCCCCCACCCCATCCCCCGATTCCCAGGGCTGTGCCATGAGCAAATTTGTTTTACTTTCTGCTATTGCAAGGTCAATGTGGCAATTTTGTTTTCAAGTTTCAGAAAGTAGCAGGGAAGGTTGGAGGGATCCAACTTGGTAAGTGGGGAGCACTGAATCTACTCATGATCTGAACTGTTCACTATTCAAACAACTTTTTCATTTAATTTTCCTTAAAAAATAATGAATTTTTAGGCAAGATTGATTAAAGACAAGTCCATATTAGTTAATTAGCTTGTTATATTTTAGGGTTAGAAAGATTGTTCTATTTAAATGTTACAGTAAACCTATGCTTTTACTTGGGGATTTCATAACCTAACAGTCCAGTCACTACTATATCTCCATGTGTGTGCCAGAAGCCATGGTTACACTGGACAGATTCATTATCTCTTTAAAGCAGAAAAAATACAGTTTTACTCATGAGAAGCTGCTGCATTATACAATACTAAAATGTTATTAAAAATGCACTTTGCGAGTTGATTTTGTAAATGAAAATGAGCAAAAAATACTGTAATAAAACCATGGCAACTCCCGGGTACAAAACAAGGACTATGTCAAACCAAGTGCCATGTTTAAGGAAGCATAGTCAATTAATAACCATAAAAAGAAAATGTACGTACATCTCTGTTAGCAGGTACTACCCCTCTCTTCTCGTCCTCTTTCTCCTTCTCAGAAACATCGTTTGATACGGTTTTACCGTTTATACGGTTCTCGTCTTCTCGCAGACCAATGATGTGCCGTCGGTCCGATTTCTGTGCATCTTCTTCTTCAAAATCATCCTCGTATTTATTATCTGGAGGAAATAAAAAATTCTTGTTCCTGAACATGAATTATTGTCAACAGAAGATTATTATCAAATTTTGTTTTGTTCCTATTTTATTTTTTTAAGTATGATTAAAATAATCACAACTTTTTAAATCAAGATTGCCAAAATTACACTGCCAATTATGTATTTTTTGTTCACGTTTTGACCTTATGGCAGATACTTCGATATCTAGGTCATAAGGCAAAAATGTTAATGAAAATACAATGTACACAAGTGACAACAGAGTCCTATGGATAACATCTGTGACATAAAATTAAAATCGCAAAATAACAGTTTTTGTTACAAAGTTCATTTGTATTTCTTTTTTAACAGAATTAAAACGCAATTTCATTACAAACTAAAAATATATAAAATAGATGGAAAAGAAAAGAATATCCTTATTTCAAATTTACTCTTCATGGTGAATTTCATTGTTCACATACGCTTATTGATATAATCCATCAAACATAAGGAACATATAATTTAAATGCAGTGAATATCACACAGACAGACAAGAGATAAGAGAGAGACAAATGTGTAAATTTTACTTACCATAATAATAGAACTCTGTCCATTATCAAAGCATCAAAGAGGAACTTAAATTTTTGGGGGTTCAGTAACATAAAACAAGGGTCATGTCACTTAAACATGGAATCTTGTATAAACTTAAACATGACAGTCATTCTGAATCAGTTTCTTAAAACTTAAACATGGGGTTATGTCCATTTTGTCACTTAAACATGATATCTGTCAATAAAACATGGAATCCTGTCATTTAAAAATGACATTCAGTTTTGTTAAACTTAAAACATCGGGTAATGTCCTTTTAACATGATGTCCTGTCACTTAAACATGGTGTCCTGTCACTTAAACATGGTGTCCTGTCACTTAAACATGATGTCTTATCACTTAAACATGATGTCTTGTCACTTAAACATGATGTCCTGTCACTTAAACATGATGTCTTGTCACTTAAACATGATGTCCTGTCACTTAAACATGATGTCCTGTCTCTTAACACATAATATGTTCATATATACATGTATATATAACCAATTTATGTCACCTAAAATAATCTGTCAGTTAGTTTCCCTATGGAAGATTTTATTCAGTTATATACTTTTAATTTTTAAGGCAATATTTCTCAAAAACAATCAATAGTAGCACTCTGAAACCTCTATTTTAAAATATAAAACAATTCAAGTCTGTAAAAATTATTTAACAATTTATTCACAGAATTTCTAACACTAGGATATATATTGATATAGATATATGTTTATTATGCATTCACATTAAAAAAACATTTGCCACAATTTAGGTTAATATATATCATAAACAAAACAAAAGACTATAATCAATATTAATAAAATATAGTGAAATAAATTACCATGCTTACAGTTGAACAGTCTAAGACAAGAATAAAACAAAGATAGTAAACCAGTCTTGAAATGGAGCTCTGTGATTGGTAAATTCAAAATCTATATTCAGATTCGATCAATCAGATTGTCCAGTTTTTGACTGGTTGCCAATCATAAGTTTTATAAGCTTATTGTCACATTTTGTGAAAAAAGTAACAAAGATATTCAACCTGGGTGAAGTCAGTGCTCCAGTGAATGAAAGCTTGATCTAAATCATGTCAAAACTTTACCAACAAAAATTTACAGTGACTGGTTTTAATTATTTCATAACATTCACGATTTTAGACTTAAAGAGGCACATAAAAATTGTGCATGCTCAACAACAACTACCAGTGGGTTTGAATATTCACCAAAATTGTTAAATGAACTTGAATGTCTTAATTTAACATTTAAAACTAGAGCTGTCTTTGATTCAGCCTAAAGGATATCAACAATATATCAATATCAGATGACAAATTATAGTGTATGACTTTTTAAACAATCAAAGTGTAAAACTTTTAAAAAAATTCCAATCAACAGAATATGCTGTGCTTAATTTTCCATGTGATGATAAGTTAAAAATGGTGAACGGATATATAACTGATCACAATTATTAGCACTTCAAAATTTAGCATCCATAGATAAGTTGAAAAACAAAACAAAATATGTACAAGACTTATAATACAATTAAATGCATGCACATCTCAGATTTTAGAGTCTTTCTTCATAAGTCTATAACTCACATCATGAATCAACAACCTCTTATTCTACCAAATTTGTACATTAAAACTGTCTTATATTGGCTTTGGAACCATCTAAAATATTTGCTTATCTTAGAGGTCTTTATAACAAAGTGATAAAATTCATGGCCATTAATATAGAATCTGGTCAGAATGCACAGATGTCCTGACTCCTTGCTATCTATTAATGCTCAAAGGCAATTCTTTATCAATAATAGCAATAATTTTGTTTACGTTTACTTGGGATTTTTGTAACCTAAATTCAAGATCATCTAAATGCATCTTTAACATAGCTGTATACAACGTAACATAAAATGTACAATTACATAGCAAATTCAAGTATATTTTGATTATAAAAAACAATCACTACTGTGTATATTACTGATATTCAAACATTTAAATTTAAAGTTCAAAGTCAAAGGCATATCAATGTTACAGACTCCCGTACATTTGGATGATCAAACATTTAAGCATCTAAACATATCACTACAAAAATCCAAACACATCCGAAATCAACCAAAATGTTTAGATTTTGAAAGTTTCAGGAATTTTAAAGGTCAGGAACTTAAGTTACATATTATTCAATAATATGATCAGATAAAATAATTAGCTGATTTACAATTTTTCTGATAAATAAAATTAGTGATATTTGAATTTTTTTTCTCTTACAATACCATCTGGAAAAAACTGAAATGTTTAAACTAACAATTTTTTTGATGTTTACACTATAACATTTATTTTTCAACATTTTTTTTTAAAATCAGTTACAATTAATGCAATGATAATTTTCAATGGATATCATGTTTATAAATTTATTGTTAAGAACTAGCCAATAACTGCCCAACTGACTCTTGAGACTTTCTTTTCTTTGCTTTATGGTCATCCCCCAAATCAAACCCAACAGACTTTCCATCTTTCTTACTAACTTCATCTCTCACACTTTCAATCCCTGAATCAATTGTATCTCTCTCAATTTTAACAGCATTTGTGTTTACTGTTGTTTTTGGTCTCGCCCCATTATCCATTCCCATGTTTTCCAGATCTCGCAAAAACTCAGCTTTCATACTCTCCTTGTCACGTACACTGTGTCTCACATCTTCTTTTTCAACTTCTACAACAGGTTTAACATTCTCCCTTGCTCTCCCCTCTTCAACAGTCTCACTAAAACTCTGCTCCATTCCAGACTCACTCTCAGAATCATTTGGTAACTGCAGAGATAACCCTGTCATCTTTTTCTCCAGTTTTAATTTCAACTTGTCCATGTTCTTTTCTACTTTTCTACATTCATTAGCTCTACTTTTATCTCTTTCATCCTCACTCCTCTCTGACTGAAAGCTTTCTGATTGGTCAAACCCGCTATCTGAAACTGTGTTACCATTTCTAGATAGATCACCATCGAAACCTTCAAACAGACTCTCAAAACTTTCATTATCATCAACATCGTCTTGGTTACAAAAGTACATCATATCATCATCAACAATCTTTCTAGGTTTCTCAATCAACTCCATTTTCTGATCATTTTTCATATACACGACTTCTGGCATTCTGTATGTGTACTCCTTTACAGGGGGCTTTCTAGAAAATCGTGGGGATGCTACAGGTGATTCCTTCACAATTCTAGGTGATGGCCTGGCTCCTAGTAAAATATAACAAAAGACATTTAAAATAGTATATAGCTGAATACTGGTCACTTTAATTACGCCAATTTCATGAAGTGCAATATCTTTGAATGACATGATTTCTACATTTTGTTGATGCACAAAAATACAAGAATCATGAGCAACTTCTCAGTATAAAATGAAATTATGTACAAAGTAAAAAAAAATAATTTATTAATCAAACAGTATGTCTTATGAATTATTTACAAACAAATAAACATTACATACCATCTCTCTGATCAAGCTGGTTCTTTTTCATCATTTCTCTCAGTCTTTGTTCTTCTAGTGCCCTTTGTTTCTCTAACATTGCCCTCTTTTCTTCTTCCATTGCTCTTTGTTTGGCTTCCCTGGCATTCTGTTTCTCTTCAATTGCTTTCTGTTGCTCATCCATTGCCTTTTGTTTATTTTCCAAGTCCTTTTGTAAGCTTTGTTTGGCCATAGCTTCTTGTTCAGCCAGTTTCTTTACAGTACTGTCTGCCTCTTTTTGCATTTCTTGTCTGGCTTTTTGTTCTTGTTCAGCAAGTCTCCTTGCAGAGCTCTCCCCTTCCTTAAGTAGATTCTCTTTAGCTGAAGCCTCTTGTTCAGCTAACCTTTTTGCAGACTCCTCGGTTTCCTTTTGCATCATTTCTCTTGTTTTCTCTTCTTGTTCAACCAACCTTTTTTGAGTTTCTTCACTTTCCTTCTGAAGCTTTTGTCTTGCTTCTTCTTCTTGCTCTGCTAATCTTCGTGCAGTTTCTTCACTCTCTTTTTTCATTTGCTCTTTAGCCTGCTCCTCTTGCTCCTTCAGTCTCCTTGCTGTTTCATCTCCCTCTTTTCTCATATTTTCTCTTGCTGCTGCTTCTTGCTCTGCAAGACGTTTAGCCGCTTCATCTCTATCTTTCTCCATTTCTTCTCTTGCTTTTTTCTCTTGCTCAGCCAGTTTCTTCTGTGTTTCCTCACTTTGAGCTGCCAACTTCTTTTGTGTTTCTTCACCTTGCTCTGCAAGTTTCTTTGTAGTTTCCTCGCTTTGCTCAGCAAGTTTCTTTGCTGACTCCTCACTTTGCTCAGCTAGTTTCTTCTGGCTTTCTTCACTCTGTTCGGCCAATTTTTTACGAGTTTCTTCTCCTTCTTTCAATAATTTTTCTTTAGCTTGAGCTTCTTGCTCTGCAATTCTTTTCTGTGTTTCCTCACTTTCCTTCTGCATCTGTTCCCTAGCCTTGGTTTCCTGTTCCTCAAGTCTTCTTTGTGTCTCAGCTCTTTCTTTCTCCATCTGTTCCTTTGCCTGAGCTTCTTGTTCAGCCAGTCTCTTCTGAGTCTCTTCCGATTCTTGCTTGAGCTTTTCTCTGGCAGCTTCTTCTTGTTCAGCAAGTTTTTTCTGACTTGCCTCACTTTCTTCTTGCATTCTTTGCTTAGCACTTTCTTCCTGCTCTTGAATCTTTCTCTGTGATTCTTCACTTTCTTTCAACAATCTTTCTGTAGCACTCTGCTCTTGCTGATCAATTTTGTCCAAAGTTTCAGTCAAGGTGTTGTCGATCTGCTTCTGACTGTCTTCAAGCTGTTCATTTATCTTTGCCTGTGTTTCATGTAACTGTTTGTCAATTGTGTCCTTTGATGTCTCTAGCTGCTCTGACATAATCTTCTGGTTGTCAGTCAGTTGCTTAGATAAAACATTCTGAGAGTTTGTAAGATCAGAAGCAATAACTTGCTGAGATGTGGCCAATTGTTCTGACATTTTACTCTGGGACTCTTCAAACTGAGTAGTCAAAGCATCTTTTGATTCTGTATACTGCTGAGAAAAGCTAGTTTTAGCAGCTTTGAGTTGCTCAGCTATTGTTTGTTGTGAATCCTTAAGTTGCTCTGCAATAAGTTGTTGAGAATCCTTCACTTGATCAGCTATCATAGTTTGGGACTCTTTCAGCTGATTGGTTAAAGTGATCTGTGAATCTTTCATTTGAGTAGTCAGCGTATTCTGTGATTCAGTCAACTGATCAGACAATAGTTTCTGTGAATCCTGAACTTGATCACTGAATACTTTTTGTGAATCTTTAAGCTGATCTGCAAGAACATTTTGTGAATCTTTTACAAGTTCTCCGAAATTATTTTGTGACTCTTGTAACTGACTGGCTAAAATTTTCTGAGAATCTTCTAACTGGCTTGACAAAGCTTTCTGTGAAACATCTAAACTGTCTCTCAGAGCTGTCTGTGAATCTTTAAGCTGTTCTGTTATTGTGTTTGTTGCTGCAACCAACTGTGTTGACAGATCTCCTTTAACAGTTTCACCATGGGATGATAATGCAGCCTGTGCTTCACTTAGATCTTCAGCAAACTGACCATGGGCTTTCTGCATCTGTTCTGCAAACATTTCTTGCTGCTCTTTAAGCTTTGTTCCAAATATTTCCAAACATTCTTGTAATAACTTGTCAATTTGTTGTTTTCCATCTTCTACTTTAGCATCTATGTCCTTCCTAGCATTATTTAATTCATTCTTTAGAAGATTTCGTTTAGGAGAGGGTGACCTTCCTCTTCCTCCTTTCTTAGGAGATCTGGACCGGCTTCTTGATTTAGTATTTGCCTTGTTTTTCTTCCCTTTCAGAGGGACTTTTAATATATGGACAGCATATGCTTCTGAGACTCCAGGACCTATTGGTTCTTCTATAATCTGCTGTAGTATTGGCTTTTCCTTCACAGGTGGTTTTCTCTTCACTTTTTGAGGAGTCTTTGCTGGTTTCACTTCCTTCTTTTTTATAGCTTTTTCCACATCTGTTTTCTCATTCATATTCACATTAATGTCTACTTTAATTGGTCTTGGGGGAGCTTGATCTACTTCTAAATCAGACACTTCATCTGCAGTTTCTTGTTGATCAGCCCCTGGTATCCTGATATTTATGTTTCCCCTGTTTCCTTTACCCACAGTTACATCTTCGTTTGTCATACCATGAATAACTGCATCAATTTTATGAGGCAATTTCTTTGTACCAGAGTCTATGTTAATATTGATATCTCTCTTTCTAGAATTTGCTCTATTTAGTGCATTCCTTTGAACAGTGTTAGTAACATGTCCAAGCCCACGGTCATGCATACTAACACAGTCATGAACTGGAGGATAATATTTTGCTCTCATGAACTCAAAGTCCTCTCTTTCTTTCATTGACATAGTTCTACGTGCAGACACGGGTCTTAAACCTTGTGAATCATACTCATTATCTCTGTTATCTTTCTTCCAAGCAGTTCTGGGTCTATTGTACTCTCTGAATTCCCTATGACTAAGACTACCATTCTGGGATCGAGATGGCAACCATTCAGGAGCTGACAAATTGAATGAGTCCCTGCTCCTTGTAGCAGATGACACAGATCTAGAGGACATGGAGCCATCTGATTGGTAATTAGGACGACTCTTAACCTCCGAGTATGATCTTCTTAACCTTGACTTTGGTCTAGCAAATCTTTCCTCAGATTCAGATTGGGATGGTGATGAAGTGACAGCATCTTGCTTCTGTAGTCTTGGGTGTGCTTTCATTCTATGTGGGTGACTCTCAGTCATTGATGTCTCATCTACAGATGAACCATAATCCAAATATTCTACTGTGTCTGTGCCTTCACCTTCTGTTTCACCTTCTTCTTCTTCAATACCTGGCAAGTCTATTTCAGGTAGGACAGTCCTTTGGAATTTCTTTACATGAACAACATCAGGGTCTTCCTCCTTGTTGAACTCCATCTCTGCAGAGATATTTCCAGGACAATCTTCTGAGATTTCCAACACAACACGTTTACCTAGTTCATTAACTTGATTAAGAAGTTCTCTGTCACTTTCATCTTGGATATCTACTTTTAGAGGCACACCTGTTTAAATTAAAGACATTTAACATGCTTACTATCCATATTATCTAGATTTTCATGTTTCAAACCTCAGTTCAAAATCAAAGTAAATTAGATCAATTTAATAGAAATAAAAATCAAAGTTACTTTACGTGAACAATTTTCAAGAAATAAAATTGCAAAAATGTTATTTTATATCAATATTAATATCGAAATCAAATGAATTGGAATCAAAATATTGATGTAACAAGTACTTTAAATTCTTTTTTTTGTTTAATAATTAAAATCTGAACTTTAAGAACTTGAAATTGGGTTATGTAACATTATCTAAACAAGATATGTTTGTAAAACATGTATGCCCCCTATCAGCAGCCAATTAGTCAAGTGAAAAGGTTATTATGCATGACTTCTGACCCAGTGATCAAACAATTAATAAGGGTTATCAAGTATCTACTGGTCATGACCTTAACCTTTGACCCCTTGACCCAAAACTCAACATCTGCTGGTCACGACCAATCATCATACAAAGTTTGAAGTTCCTAGGCCTAAGCGTTTTTAGTTAATTGATCGGAAACCGTTTTAACATACAAGGTCAATGTGACCTTGACCTTTGACCCCTTGACCCCAAAATCAATAGGTCATCTGCTGGTCATGACCAATCACCATACCATGTTTGAAGTTCCTAGGCCAAAGGGTTCTTAAGTTATTGATTTGAAACCGTTTTTTCCTAAGAGGTAAATGTGACCTTGACCTTTGACCCCTTGACCCCAAAATCAATAGGGGTCATCTACTGATCATGACCAATCACCATATCAAGTTTGAAGTCCCTAGGCCTAAGGGTTCTTTCGTTATTGATCAGAAACCGTTTTTACCTACAAAGTCAATGTGACCTTGACCTTTCACCCCTTAACCCCAAAATCAATAGGGGTCATCTGCTGGTCATGACCAATCACCATACCAAGTTTGAAGTTCCTAGGCCTAAGGGTTCTTTCGTTATTGATCGGAAATCGTTTTTACCTACAAGGTCAATGTGACCTTGACCTTTGACCCCTTAACTCCAAAATCAATAGGGGTCATCTGCTGGTCATGACCAATCACCATACCAAGTTTGAAGTTCCTAGGCCTAAGGGCTCTTTTGTTAATGATCAGAAACCGTTTTTACCCATGAGGTCAATGTGACCTTGACCTTTGACCCCTTGACCCCAAAATCAATAGGGGTCATCTACTGATCATGACCAATCACCATACCAAGTTTGAAGTTCCTAGGCCTTAAAGTTCTTTAGTTATTGATCGGAAACCGTTTTTGCTTACAAGGTCAATGTGACCTTGCCCTTTGACCCCTTAACCCCAATATCAATAGGGATCATCTACTGGTCATGACCAATCACCATACCAAGTTTGAAGTTCCTAGGCCTAAGGGTTCTTTAGTTATTGATCGGAAACCGTTTTTACCTAAGAGGTAAATGTGACCTTGACCTTTGACCCCTTAACTCCAAAATCAATAGGGGTCATCTGCTGGTCATGACCAATCACCATACCAAGTTTGAAGTTCCTAGGCCTAAGGGCTCTTTTGTTAATGATCAGAAACCGTTTTTACCCATGAGGTCAATGTGACCTTGACCTTTGACCCCTTGACCCCAAAATCAATAGGGGTCATCTACTGATCATGACCAATCACCATACCAAGTTTGAAGTTCCTAGGCCTTAAAGTTCTTTAGTTATTGATCAGAAAACCGTTTTTGCTTACAAGGTCAATGTGACCTTGCCCTTTTGACCCTTAACCCCAATATCAATAGGGATCATCTACTGGTCATGACCAATCACCATACCAAGTTTGAAGTTCCTAGGCCTAAGGGTTCTTTAGTTATTGATCGGAAACCGTTTTTACCTAAGAGGTAAATGTGACCTTGACCTTTGACCCCAAAATCAATAGGGGTCATCTACTGATCATGACCAATCACCATATCAAGTTTGAAGTCCCTAGGCCTAAGGGTTCTTTCGTTATTGATCGGAAACCGTTTTTACCTACAAAGTCAATGTGACCTTGACCTTTGACCCCTTAACCCCAAAATCAATAGGGGTCATCTGCTGGTCATGAACAATCACCATACCAAGTTTGAAGTCCCTAGGCCTAAGGGTTCTTTCGTTATTGATCGGAAATCGTTTTTACCTACAAGGTCAATGTGACCTTGACCTTTGACCCCTTAACCCCAAAATCAATAGGGGTCATCTGCTGGTCATGACCAATCACCATACCAAGTTTGAAGTTCCTAGGCCTAAGGGTTCTTTTGTTAATGATCAGAAACCGTTTTTACCCAAGAGGTCAATGTGACCTTGACCTTTGACCCCTTGACCCCAAAATCAATAGGGGTCATCTACTGATCATGACCAATCACCATACCAAGTTTGAAGTTCCTAGGCCTTAAAGTTCTTTAGTTATTGATCGGAAACCGTTTTTGCTTACAAGGTCAATGTGACCTTGACCTTTGACCCCTTGACCCCAAAATCAATAGGGGTCATCTACTGGCCATGACCAATCATCATACCAAGTTTGAAGTTCCTAGGCCTTAAGGTTCTTAAGTTATTGATCGGAAACCGTTTTTACCTAAGAGGTAAATGTGACCTTGACCTTTGACCCCTTGACCCCAAAATCAATAAGGGTCATCTACTGGTCATGACCAATCACCATACCAAGTTTGAAGTTCCTAGGCCTTAAGGTTCTTTAGTTATTGATCGGAAACCGTTTTTGCTTACAAGGTCAATGTGACCTTGACCTTTGACCCCTTGACCCCAAAATCAATAGGGGTCATCTACTGGTCATGACCAATCACCATACCAAGTTTGAAGTTCCTAGGCCTAAGGGTTCTTTAGTTATCACTCGGAAACCATTTGGTCTACGGACCGACGGACCGACAAGTGCAAAGCAATATACCCCCTTTTCTTCGAAATGGGGGCATAATAAAAATAAAAAATAACATTCTGACCAGTCTTAACAAAGGATTTAGTCATTCCACCATAACATCCCAGTTTTATTTTCCTTTTAAACTTTAAACGAGATTTTTCTTATAAATATGCTTGTACGTCATCAATTTTAACACAAGTCAATTCAAAATTTTTATCAAAGTTTTCAGACAGCTATTAATTGACCAAAAATATTATGGTGGAATTTTATCTTTATAAAAAGATAGATCAGAATGTTGTTTTTCTTTTCTTTTCTTTTTTTAAGTTTACAAAGTGTATATTAGAGTGACTTAATTCTGGCAAAGTTATAAACAACTGCACTCAGTTATGGGGTACAAAACCAATGACTGATGGAATGACTATACCTTCTGTAAAAAGAACCATTCATTTATTTTAAATATTGCTTTTAATTGCTTTCAAATTAACTTTCAAAAACACAATATTTTTTTTCAAGAAAAACATCAGCTTTTTAGACACTGGTGCTAATAACAAATATTGGTCTTGAAATTGGAAAATCATTCTTTATTATATATCTGTAAATATAACACAATTACCTGTACATCAACATATTATTCCTTGTTTGCATTGTCTTTGTTCTTGTTGTTGTTGTTGATGATGACGATGATGATGATGAGAAAACCTGCTGAAAACATCTCTTTAACACATTGCCAAAAAAGAATTCCAAATCAAAGTTGTTGCCATTCACAGCAAAGTTTATGAAGATGTTTTTATCTTTATGTTCTGTGATGTCTGTTGGAAAATTCAATTTCATTTGTGCTATGAATTTCTCTGATATATACATTTTCAACACTCTAACCCACTAATACTTTACACAATCTTAATTTTTCTTCATGAATATCCAATCCAAAATCATATGCATCAATTCAATTTAATCTGCCATGGATCTTTTTACTATTATAATACTTCTTAAATTTCTTTCCTTCATTTTGCTCTTGTTCTATCCTATATCTCAAGTAATTCTAATTCTTCTATCATATAGTTTAACATCTATCTCCTCTCCCCCACATCTATCTCTCTATTTGACCTCTCATTATATCTCCACCCTTTTTACCTCCCTTTTTTATCTCTTTCTATCTCATCCTCTACCTATATGTCCCATTTCTGTTCCCACCTTATGATTCACCATACAATTTCACTTATTCTTTATATCATGTATCAAGATGATTTTCTGTTCATTATCTTTTAACATAGTGAAAAAACACATTACTCAAAGCTTAGCTACAATACAAGAAATATCTACTACTGGTTAAATTCATTTTCACAAAAACAATTCACATTCAAAGCATGCATTATAACTAAACATGTATTTTACAATCATCATTAAATAGTTCAATTTCCAGAAAAAGAAAAAAAATTGATACACCATAATAAGGACATAGTAATGTTCATAGTAATGAAATTAAAACATTTCATTATCATTATTGTTATCCAGAACTAGGTAAAATGTGGGATATTTTTTGCCCCATCTAATACAGTGGTACAAACAAACTGTTCCCTGTGCACTACTGTTCACAAAAAAAGTGATTGCACTTATAATTGATATACATGTATGGTGTGTAACAAGTTGAAAAGTTTGTTTAAGATAGGAAAACCCACATCTGCTAAGTTCTGGAGTAAAACATTACCTAGAAATTGTTAACAATTCACTTATAAAGCTACATAATACTTTATATGCACATATAATTAAAAATAGTTATTTAACTTTTCCAGGAAATTCTGATCGACCAAAGTTCATAAAAATTAATAACAACAAGCAATTATCATAGTATTGCAAGCAATCCATAAGTCCCCTACCGGATAGAACCCCATCAGCATTCTGAAGGGCCATTGGCCATTCACTAATGTGTAAATTTTTCTCTATTTTAGGTAAATTTGTTGGAAATGTTCTTTAAAAGTGATCACAGGAAAAAGTTTTTATGAACAGACAGACAGAAGAACTGAAGGACACTCTAAAGTTAATATTTGAAACATCCCTGTTATGAAAATATAACATTTTAAAAAACAAAATTCTTAAAGAGAAGATAACTCTGGAATTAAAGATGCAATTTCATAAAAAGTTTCAGCTCTTTTTGACTAATCACAAATATTGTTATATTTGCCATGTTTTAAGCCTATTTGTTGCCAAGGCAACCAATATTTTTTCAAAATAGGGAGAACTGATAAGACCTGCTTAATCTCAAGATTGCCATCTACCCATATGTCAAGTTTCATAAAAATATTTCCAGTACTTTTTGAGTTATCACTGGGTGTAGTTTATGTGTAAAATTTGCCATATTTTCAGTCTATGTGTTGCCATAGCAACCAGAATTTTCAACATAGGAAGAAAAGAAAAAGACGTGCATAATCTCCATACTGCCATCTATCCATATATCAAGTTTCATAAAAATATTTACAGTACTTTTTGCGTTATCACTGGATCCAGTTTATGTGTAAAATTTGCCATATTTTCAGCCTATTTGTTGCCATAGCAACCAGAATTTTCAACATAGGAAGAAAAGAAAAAGACGTGCATAATCTCCATACTGCCATCTATCCATATATCAAGTTTCATAAAAATATTTTCAGTACTTTTTGCGTTATCACTGGATGCAGTTTATGTGTAAAATTTGACATATTTTCAGCCTATTTGTTGCCATAGCAACCAGAATGTTCAACATAGGAAGAAAATAAAAAGATGTGCATAATCTCTATACTGCCATCTATCCATATATCAAGTTTCATAAAAATATTTTCAGTACTTTTCAAGTTATCGCGGGATCCAGTTTTGTGGACGGACGGACTGACAGACAGACGGACGGACGGACGGACAGACGGACAGACGGACGGAGGGTAAACCTAAAGTCCCCTCCGGTAAACCGGTAGGGGACTAATAATTTCATATCGTAAAATCTAAGTTCAGTACACACACAAAAGAAGACAGATGGATCAATAGATCATAGTTTACAATAAAAAATCAACATGCAGACATTGCTTTAGACATAACATGTTTAGAAATTTGATTATGAGCAATAAAACTTGAAAAACACATCAGAATCAAAATAAGCAAAAACTTTATATATCAAGCTACCTGAAAAGGGGAATCATCTGAGCAAAGGCTGGACATGTTATTAATTGATTGAGCATGCTGAATTTGGATAATGAACTTAATTGCTATGGTTTGAATTTTTTAACTGCCTGTTGTTCTTTTGAATTAGTTCATATTTATTGTACTGATATGTATGGATATGTAGGCTGCAGACTGACCTGACTGTAAGGTTATGAAGGCTGACTTGACAGTATGGATATGTAAGCTGGCCTAAATATATGGGTATCTTAAGCTGGCCTGACTGTATGGGTATCTTAAGCTGGCCTGACTGTATGGGTATCTTAAGCTGGCCTGACTGTATGGGTATCTAAGGCTGACCTGACTGTATGTATATATAAAGGCTGGCCTGACTGTATGGATATATAAAGGCTAGCCTGACTGTATGGATATATAAAGGCTGGCCTGACTGTATTGATATGTAAAGGCTGACCTGACTGTATTGATTTGTAAAGGCTGGCCTGACTTAATGTAAAGGCTAGCCTGACTGTATTGATATATAAAGGCTGGCCTGACTGTACTAATATGTAAAGGCTGGCCTGACTGTATGGATATGTAAAGGCTGGTGTGACTGTATTTATATGTAAAAGCAGGCCTGACTGTATTTATATGTAAAAGCAGGCCTGACTGTATGAATATGCTGGCCTTACTATATGTATATGTAAAGGCTGGCCTGACTGTACAGATATGAAAAGGCAGGCCTGACTGTATTTATATGTAAAAGCAGGCCTGACTGTATGAATATGCTGGCCTTACTATATGTATATGTAAAGGCTGGCCTGACTGTATTGATATGTAAAGGCTGGCCTGACTGTATTGATATATAAAGGCTGCCCTGACTGTATTGATATATAAAGGCTGCCCTGACTGTATTGATATATAAAGGGTGGCATGACTGTATTGCAATGTAAAGGCTAGCCTGACTATATGGATATATAAAGGCTGGCATGACTGTATGGATATATAAAGGCTGGCCTGACTGTGTGGATATATAAAGGCTGGCCTGACTTTATTTATATGTACAGGCTGGCCTGACTGTATGGATATATAAAGGCTGGCCTGACTGTGTGGATATATAAAGACTGGCCTGACTTTATTTATATGTAAAGACTGGCCCTGACTGTATGGATATCTAAAGGCTGGCCTGACTGTGTGGATATATAAAGGCTGGCCTGACTGTGAGGATATATAAAGACTGGCCTGACTTTATTTATATGTAAAGACTGGCCTGACTGTATGGATATGTAAAGGCTGGCCTGACTGTGTGGATATATAAAGGCTGGCCTGACTGTAAGGATGTGTAGGCTAGCCTGATTATATTTATATGTAAAGGCTGGCCTGACTGTATGGATATATAAAGGCTGGCCTGACTGTATGTATATGTAAAGGCTGGCCTGACTTTATTTATATGTAAAGGCTGGCCTGACTGTATGGATATGTAAAGGCTGGCCTGACTGTGTGGATATATAAAGGCTGGCCTGACTGTAAGGATGTGTAGGCTAGCCTGATTATATTTATATGTAAAGGCTGGCCTGACTGTACAGATATGTAAAGGCTGACCTGACTGTACAGATATGTAAAGGCTGGCCTGACTGTACAGATATGTAAAGGCTGACCTGACTGTATGGATATGTAAAGGCTGACCTGACTGTACAGATATGTAAAGGCTGACCTGACTGTATGGATATGTGTAGGCTAGCCTGACTGTATGGATATATAAAGGCTGGCCTGACTTTATTTATATGTAAAGGCTGGCCTGACTGTATGGATATGTAAAGGCTGACCTGACTGTATGGATATTAAAAGGCTGGCCTGACTGTATTTATATGTAAAGGCTGACCTGACTGTATGGATATGTAAAGGCTGACCTGACTGTATGGATATGTAAAGGCTGACCTGACTGTAGGGATATGTAAAGGCTGGCCTGACTGTACGGATATGTAAAGACTGGCCTGACTTTATTTATATGTAAAGGCTGGCCTGACTGTATGGATATATAAAGACTGGCCTGACTTTATTTATATGTAAAAGACTGGCCTGACTGTATGGATATGTAAAGGCTGGCCTGACTGTACGGATATGTAAAGACTGGCCTGACTTTATTTATATGTAAAGACTGGCCTGACTGTATGGATATGTAAAGGCTGGCCTGACTGTATGGATATATAAAGACTGGCCTGACTTTATATGTAAAGACTGGCCTGACTGTATGGATATGTAAAGGCTGGCCTGACTGTATGGATATGTAAAGGCTGACCTGACTGTATGGATATATAAAGGCTGACCTGACTGTATGGATATATAAAGGCTGGCCTGACTGTATGGATATGTAAAGGCTGACCTGACTGTATTTATATGTAAAGGCTGGCGTGACTGTATTTATATGTAAAAGCAGGCCTGACTGTATTTATATGTAAAAGCAGGCCTGACTGTATTTATATGTAAAAGCAGGCCTGACTGTATTTATATGTAAAAGCAGGCCTGACTGTATTTATATGTAAAAGCAGGCCTGACTGTATGAATATGCTGACCTTACTATATGGATATGTAAAGGCTGGCCTGACTGTATGGATATGTAAATGCTGGCCTGGGTCAATATGGAAGGCAAAGGCAAGATATTACCATTAACAGCATTAAATAGCTAAAGCTGGAAAACAATAATTATTTACAATTTTCAATCATACACAACAGCAATATCAAGTGTGTTGAAGAAGCATGTGGCCAAATATTATCTATATCAAAGAAAACACCAAATGATGTCACAATATATTTACAGAAA